CCCCCTTTTCTTTCAGCTTCCTGGTGCACCTCAGCCCTGTATACACTGTGTAAAGGCGTCCCGGGGGAGAACCCCCGGACCCCCCTTCCTTTCAGCTTCCTGGTGCACCGCAACCCTAAGTCCACTATACAAACGACAAGAGAGACCCCCGGGGGCCCTGGATACAATTCATACTAATCTAAGTGACAGGTATATGCAAACAATGCTCCGGAAATGGATTAATCTCCTACTATCTAAGCAGCATGCTCGCCGCAGCCGGCATCACCCGCGAGATCGACACCACCCTCATCACCGCCACCTCGCAGATGTTCAGCTTCGCCTGCTCGCTGGCCTTTGCCTTCCTCCCCGGCCGCCTCGGCCGTCGCCCCCTGCTCCTCTGGTCAATGGGTTTGATCTGGCTCGTCTTCGCGCTCATCACCATCTGCACTGGCGTGTTTGTCGAGACGGGCAGTACGAGCGCGAGTTATGCGACCGTCGCGTTTATTTATCTGTATAATGCGGTGCATAATCTGGGTTGGACGGGGGCGATGATGTTATATGGTAGGTTTCTCGTCGGGAAAAGGAGTTAACAAAGAGGAGGGGGGGGGGATAGGTCTGGTTGGCTGCGCTGACTGCCAGGGCAAATAAACAGTGGTCGAGATCCTCCCTTACTCCCTCCGCGCCAAAGGCATCGCGCTCTTCTGGCTCGTCACTGGCGCCGCGGGCGCCTTCAACACCTACGTCAATCCACTCGGCATCGATGCGTTTGCTTGGAAGTACTACTTCTTCTACGTCGGGTGGATTGCCGTGGAGTTTGTCGTTGTTTGGTTCTTTTTCATCGAGGTGCGTTTCTCCTCTTCGGCTGTCTTCGACTCCGACCGAGGTTGTTGGGCTTGGGCAGACACTGACAACGTAACAGACCAAAGGACCGAGCTTGGAGCAGGTCGCCCTCCTGTTCGACGGCAAGGATGCCCGGGTTAGTCACGTCAATCCTGTCGCAGACGAGTTTCTGGAGAAACAGAAGGACGGGGCAGAAGCGAGGGAGATTGAGCTGGTCAAATAGTGGATAAATCTTCCAAGGCAAGTCGTATTAAATAACATCATCGTCACACATACCGCAATGATACGTACACCATCCCACGGCGGCAATAATATAACACTCGAGAAGAAAACAACCACCCATTAAACACATAGACCACCCGTAGGTGTGGGATGCAAAACAGAACATTTTGTACACACGTCATCCATTACTCCGGCTTGCGAGCAACCATCAGGTACATGGGCGTAAACAGCTTCTTCTCACCACCCGCAACCAGGCAGTCACCCGCCAGAGCCAGACTGTCGGCCGTCTTCTGCGAGCCAGCAGGCGCAAAGCCGATCTTCTCCAACGCACCCACAAACCGGTGAGCGATGCCACGGCCCCACCACGTCATGCGTGCAATCGTGAAGAAGTCCCAGATCGATCCCATGTGCTTGAACGAGCCCGCCAGGGGGTAGTACCACGGGACCGAGTCAGGCCGGTCCGCCAAGTCCTCGTTGTGGATGAGCTCGAAGCCCGCGTCCTTGATCGCCTGGAGACCTTCCGAGACCTTGACCATGTTGGAAATACCGTCACCCTGCTCGATACCGAGACGGATCTTGCGGTGCTCAGCATTATCATTATCATACGCCTCCGTCATCAGCCACTCGTACACACCAAACACACCACCGGGCTTGAGCACGCGGAAGATCTCGCTGTACACACCCACCAGCTCGGGCGCGTGGCACGTCGCCTCAATGGCGTAGACGGCGTCGAATGTGTTGTCCTCAAACTTCATCTGCATGAAGTCACCCTTCACAAAATTCAGCTTGTGGCTCAATCCCTCACGCTCAGCGTAACGGGTCGCGCGCTCAATCTGGTAGTCGTTGTTGTTGAGACCGGTGACGTTGGCATCGGAGAACTTGACGATCTCGCGGGCAGGACCGCCGACACCACAGCCCACATCCAGAACCTTCATGTTGGCCTTGATGCCCATGGTGTGGGCCAGGTAGTGTTCGTGACGAGCGATCGCCTGACGGAAGGGCTCGCCAGGAGCGAAGCGGCAGAAGTGGAAGGAAGAGCCCCAGCCATACTCATAAAAATCGGTGGCAAGGTTGTAGTAGCTGCAGGCCAGGTTAGTCGGCAATGGAGATCAATCAGCGGGTGGACATACTGTCGGGTCAGAGTCGCGTACTCCGCTCGGCGGGCCTGTTTGCGATTGATTAGCTGGGCTTGATCAGGGGCACCAAGTGCTCAGTGCTTACCGCGCGAATCTCCTCCGTCTCGTCCTCGGCGCTCTTGTTGTCCCAGTGCTTGAAGTACTCGTCGAGAGCGGCCTTCTGGGCAGCGGCATCCTTGCCACGCATGGCAGCGATACCACCCTGCGCCTGGGCGGACTTTCCGTGCAGGGCGCGGTTGAACTCCGCGTCGCGCACATGGTTCTCCTGTTCCAAAGCCGTGGGGGGAGCCATTGTGATTCAGGTGAAGTGGGGAATAAGAGAATTAGAGGAATTAAAAAGGGGGTAGCCGGGTTGAAGAGAAGAATGGAATAAGGGAGGGAAGAAAGGCAATTATATATCCACGACCCAGTTGAATGGAAGGGAATTGATAATTAAGAAGAGGAGAAGAGAATTGAAGCCCAGCAGGCAGCAAGAATGGCAGGGAAGCAAGAAATAGAGGAGGTGAAGGAGAGAAGCCCAGTAGATGGAGAGTGAAGTGAAGGGGTGTGGAGTGAACAGTGAACGAACAGAACACGCAAACACGAAGCAGCAACGGAAGGCAAAGAAAGGGGAGGCGGAAATGGGACCCACAGCCTTCCTATCTAGGTCTAGTGTCATTTTTCTACCGGCAGAATTATCGTGTGATTGTTACTATAATCCTGTCAAAGCAGGTGCAGGTTCTCAGATGATCTTCAATACAATCTGTACTTTTCTCTTCCAGACGCTTTCAGGCTCTCTTTTCCCTCTTTTCCCGGGCGCTCGCAGGAGGCTTTCTGTTCCCCAGCCATTGCACGCTAGGCCGCATTGGGCGCTCCGGGGTTCTGACCGGGAAAAAGGTAATGCCGAGCGGGTCAGATTTGCCCGATCGGGCTTAGAGCCAGGCATCTTCCGCCCTCCAAGCCTTGATCTTCGGCGCCAACTGTGTTGCGTGTTGCGTGTTGCGTGTTGCGTATTTGCGTATTGCGTATCTGCGTATTCCGCCAGGCACCCTGCATGTGCAATGAATACTATGTAGTAGTTAGATTGCAACAGGAGAAATGCTGTTTGGTCTCACATGCATCCTGTTTCATGAATATTCGCATCACTCCGTATATCCATACAGCCCTCACCCTCCCCTCTACTCGCGGAGTCAGCAACATCCGCTTCTCACGTGACCCCTGATAGGTCATCACTCGCCACTCACTAGCCACATTCAGCCACGATGACTATCGATAACCTTGAATCCAGTTCTGCTGCCCGTCGTCAAATAAACTCTCCAACTCCACTGCTTCGTCGCTGACCACCAGCACAAAAACTCCACACACCATGCCTCCCGCACAGATCAAGCAGGATCTCAATCGATCCGGATGGGAGACAACCGACTTCCCGTCTGTCTGCGAGAGCTGTCTCCCGGATAACCCCTACGTGCAGATGCTGAAGGAGGACTATGGCGCAGAATGCAAACTGGTAGGTATCCTCTCACCCACGCGCACACCAGAAACATGCCACTGACATCTCCAGTGCACCCGACCATTCACCATCTTCCGCTGGAAGGCCGACCGCACTGCGCGCACCAAGCGCACCACCATCTGCCTCACCTGCGCCCGTCTGAAGAACTGCTGCCAGTGCTGCATGCTGGATCTGTCGTTCGGTCTGCCCATCGTCGTTCGTGACGCAGCGCTTAAAATGGTCGCCCCGGGTCCCGAAAGCACCATCAACCGCGAATACTACGCCCAGGGCCACGAGAAAGAGATCGAGGAAGGCCGCGGTGCGGTCGAGGAATACGAAAAGACCGACGAGAAGGCCCGCGAGCTACTGCGGCGTTTGGCCAACAGCGAGCCTTACTACCGCAAACAGCGCCGCATCGAAGCCTCTGACGATGGAGAGGGCCCCGCGCCTGCTGTTGCCGGCGACGCGCCCGTCGTGCACAGTCGGTACGGCAACGGGCCTGGTCCCATCCGCACCAGCGAGAGTCGGAGGGGCACGCCGTTGCCCGGACGAGGGGGACGAGGAGCCGGCGGGGGCATGCGTGGTGGGCGGGGGGGACGGCCATTTCCCAGCGCGGCGCAAGTGCCGCCCTCCGCGGAGGACATCACCCCCCCGGCGGACCCCAACATCACCTCGCTGTTTGTGACGGGTGTCGAGGACGATCTCCCCGAGCACGAGCTGCGCACCTTCTTCACCCAGTTCGGCTCCCTGCGTTCCTTGATCTGTTCCCATCGTGCGCACTCCGCGTTCATCAACTTCGCCACGCGCGAGGGCGCCGAGGCCGCCGCCAAGCATTGCCAGGGCAAGGCAGTGCTGCAAGGGTGTCCCCTGCGCATCCGATGGGGCAAGCCCAAGCCGCTGGATAACATGGATCGTGAGGAACGCATGAAGAACGCCCGCGAAGGCCGACAAGCCGTGGGGATGCGCTCCGGCGAGGGCGGCAAGAAAGCCATCACCGCGGCGGGCGCGGACATTGCCAGTGCCAGGGAAGAACGACCGCGCAACTACGCCGTGGCGCCGCCGCCGGGTGCTGGCGAAATCCAGTATTCTAGTCTCAACGGCGATTAGACGGGTGGTTTTCTTGCTTATTCTGGAAGTAGGAAGCGTTCATGTGATGTATGTTTGAGAGCGGGCGTTTGTCTATTTTACCGGCTGTGTATGTATCGTCTATCGAATTCTTAACACATTGATGCAACCGAATACCCCAAGAGACGCCAGAAAGGAGAGAAAGAAAAGTTCGGGTATACTATAATACAATCCGCAATGCATATCTTGCACATCCGCCATCATCCCAGCTGTACAGACGTAAGAATTCAGGCCGAGCACGGCTTATCCACCTTAACCTTCTTGCCGGCCACCTTGATGGAGTCGTTGTCCCCGCGCTCGATCTCGTCGTGGATCCGGAGTTCTAACAATGTAGATTAGCGACATCTCCTTCCTTGCTTCGGATGGGAGGGAGCGCACCCCACTTGGCATTCTCGTCACCATCTTCCCGTACGCCCTGCACGATGTTGTGGCGAAGGATGTTGGCCACCTCGATGGCGTGGTTGATCTGCATGGGGGTGTCGATGCCCTGGCGCGTGTGGTTGTCAAAGTTGCGGCGAGCTTCTTGACGGGCGGCAACGAGAACACGTAGGTCGTCTGGAAGAGCAGAATGGTTAGTACTTGTTCCGATGTCTCTGAAAGAAAACACGCACCGTGGAAGGCGATGCGAGTCGCGCGGAGGAGTTGACGGTAGGCACTGCGTGCGGAGGGGACGGTGGAGGAAGCCATGTCGAGTGTGAAAGGACTGAAGTGATGGTCCGCAAGTCAGATGTCGTGTCTTCTCAAAGAAAGTGTGTCCTATAGAACCCTCTTTAGTTCGCTTTCAGTAATGAATGAAGAAAATTGCAAACAGCAACTGAATCTATTGTCACGGCTGTTCAGTTCATGGTCGAGGCAGTTCCTCCGAAACAAGCCGGCGATGATTGGCCCCCGGTAAGCGGCAAGTCGGGGCAGAAAAAAATAAAATCAGCTAATCTTTGCAGCCCAGCCGCACCTCACTTTCTAGTTTCTACCTTTCCTCCCCAGGTCTTCTTCTATTGTCTCTACCTTCATCGGGACATCTCAATCCATCATGACTTCTACTCAGACTTTCAACGTCGCTCTTCCCGCCCTGCCCTCCGGCTGGAGTGCCGAGAAGGACTTCAAGGCCGTTGGCACCCTCTCTGGCGCCACCCAGAGAAACCTCGAGGCCGTGGGTCCTTTCTTCCTGGCCCACGCCCGCAGAGTAAGCATCCTCCAGACTCCTTCTCCTGTGCCACGCTTACACCATCCTCCAATCTACAGAAGCGTCACGGACGCACTTTCTCCGAGGATGAGAGAATCCAGGCTCAGCAGAACGTCAAGAAGACCGAGGAGGATGACCTTGGCGAAATCTCCGAGCCCGAGGACAGCATGCTCCTCGCCAGAGAGGCCAAGGACTGGAAGGTAAGATCCACTACTGACTGCATCCCTGCCTCTGCTAACCTTGCATTCCTTGTAGAGCCAAGATCATTACCAGGTTCTCGGCCTGACCAAGTACCGCTGGCGCGCCACCCCCGAGCAGATCAAGCGGGCCCACCGCAAGAAGGTCCTGCGTCACCACCCCGACAAGAAGGCCGCGCTGGGCGACCGGGACGAGAACGACCAGTTCTTCAAGTGTATCCAGAAGGCCCACGAGGTGCTCTCCGACCCCGTCAAGCGCCGCCAGTTCGACTCCGTCGACGAGGCTGCCGACGTCGAGCCCCCCACCAAGAAGGAAGCCTCCAAGAACTTCTACAAGCTCTGGCGCAAGGTCTTCATCTCCGAGGGCCGCTTCTCCAACAACCAGCCCGTCCCCGAGCTGGGCGACGAGAACAGCACCCAGGAGGAGGTCGAGAACTTCTACAATTTCTGGTACAACTTCGACAGCTGGCGTACCTTCGAGTACCTGGACGAGGACGTCCCCGACGACAACGAGAGCCGTGACCAAAAGCGTCACGTCGAGAAGAAGAACGCCAACGCCCGCCGCAAGCGCAAGACCGAGGACACGGCCCGTCTCCGCCACCTGGTCGACGACTGCGCCGCCGGTGACGAGCGCATCAAGAAGTTCCGCAAGGCGGCCCGTGCCGACAAGGACAAGAAGCGTCTCGAGCGTGAGGCCGAGGCCAAGCGTCTGCTCGAGGAGAAGGAGAAGGCTCGTCAGGAGGAGGAGCAGCGCAAGAAGGAGGCCGAGGAGGCGGCCAAGGCCGAGCGCGAGGCCAACAAGAAGGCCAAGGAGGCCGCTAAGAACGCCACCAAGAAGAACAAGCGTGTTCTCAAGGGATCCGTCAAGGACGTCAACTACTTCGATGCCGCTCCCTCGGCTGCGCAGGTCGACTCCGTCTTGGCGGATGTGGATCTCGTCATCAGCAAGATCGATGCCGAGGAGCTGGCGGGTCTGGCTGGCCGCCTTACTGCTGCTGGCAAGGACGCTGCTGCCGTCAAGACGGTGTACACCGAGGAGGTGCAGCGCCTGGTGGGAGCCGGTAAGCTCAAAGAGGGAGAGGCCAAGTTCTTTGCTTAGATAGGATAGAGTCTTCATCGCTAGCCATGATATATAGATGATAGATTGGTGCTGCAATTAATGAGCAATGATTCTTACAACTGTTCAATCTGATGGTGTACGCACTCACTGGGCTGTTAGTACACAGCGACAGATACACCGTGGTATCTTCCTGCCTCCTAGTAAGTCCATAGTACCTCAATTTGTTACTTGGTTCCCACCCGTAGATGCGGATGGTTGGAGCACGTGCTCTCCTCCCGGCCTCAGGCCCACTTGGCCATCCCGTGCGGTGTTCGGCCAGTCAGCGTCGAGTGAATCGCAACGTGCATGCATCTTCCATCCGCATCACCATCTTTTTTGGAATTTCCAGTCATTCGGAGATTAAAATGCTTATAACTGCTTCAACATCGCTGCAGACTAGTGCACCTGCAGGCGGGTCTCGTCAACGTCGCTTAATTGACCTCGCCAATAGCCTCGCTGCAATTAATGCTGCAATGGCTGCAAGCTTCCTATCGGCAGCGGAGATGTAGACACATGGTTCATCGCCTGTCAGCCATCTTGGCCGATGTCGCAAAGACAGAGATATAAAGGCACTGCATTCTGGTCTCATGCTCGCTTTCCTTCTCTGTGCCTCTCAGCCATCCTGTTCAATTCCTCCCGGCCTCGCTCTACCGGCATCATGTTCACCAAGCAATCCCTCATCGCCCTCCTCGGAGGTCTGTCGCTGGCTCTCGCGCAGACCACCACCGAGGAGTACCCGTCGGCTGCTGAGATCGCTGCAGCCAAGGCTTCTGTCCAGCCTTACTCCCCCGTGTCGAATGTCAAGGGTCTCTCGTTCAACCGCTTCGTGAACATCTGGCTGGAGAACACCGTATGTCACCGACCCGTGTACAGTGAGACTTGGGCTAACGTGACAGGACTACGATGTGGCTGCGGCCGAAACTCACCTGGCGGCGCTGGCCAAGAAGGGTCTGTTGCTCAGCAACTTCTGGGCCATCACCCATCCCTCCGAGCCCAACTACTGCGCCTCGGCCGCCGGGGACACCTTTGGCATGGACAACGACGACTTCCACCAGATCCCCGCCAATGTGTCAACCATCGCGGACCTGTTCGACACCAAGAACATCGCCTGGGGCGAGTACCAGGAGGCCCTGCCTTACCCCGGTTACCAGGGGTACCGGTACCCAGAGACCGGGGCCAACGTCTATGTGCGCAAGCACAACCCCTTGATCTTGTTCGACTCCGTCACCGAGGACTCGCTGCGTCTCCGCCAGATCAAGAACTTCACCACCTTCTACGACGATCTGAAGCACGAGCGTCTCCCCCAGTACATGTTCATCACCCCCAACATGACCAACGACGGCCACGACTCCAACATCGAGACCTCCGGGGGCTGGACCTACAGCTTCCTGGCCGAGCTGCTCGAGAACGAGTACTTCACCAAGGACACCCTCATCATGCTGACGTTCGATGAGACCAGCACGTACGCGATCGGCAACAACGTCTTCACCTTCCTGCTGGGGGGCGCCGTCCCGGAGAACCTCCGCGGAACCACCGACGATACCTTCTACACTCACTACTCGGTCATCGCCTCCATGTCCGCCAACTGGGGTCTGCCCTCGCTGGGCCGCTGGGACTGCGGCGCCAACCTGTTCAAGTGGGTTGCCGAGAAGACCGGCTACGTGAACTACGAGGTGGACACCACCAACCTGTACATGAACGAGACCCACCGCGGCCCGCTGTCCGACGACGACTACAGCACCTACACTGCCGGCTGGCCCGTCCCTCTGACCCAGGGCACTTGCTCGGGCGGCTACGGCATCCTGTCCGCGGTCCAGAAGACCTGGAAGGGGTTGACTGCCACCTTCAACTACACCGCGCCTTTCCCGTACGACTCGGCGAGCAACAGCAACCTTGGCGTGTCGTACAGCCGCAAGCTGGTAAGTCTGCTGACATCCTCGAGATGGGTTGTGCTAATGCTTTGCAGAAGAACGGGAAGGTCGAGTCTGGAGTTTCTGCGTGAGGATTTGTACGATGTATATATGGATACTAGCGACTCTATACAATAATACTCAAAAGCGTCCCGGGGGAGAACCCCCGGACCCCCCTTCCTTTTCAGCTTCCTGGTGCACCTCAACCCTGATCAAAGTACAAGAAGCTATCCCGGGGGAGAACCCCCGGACCCCCCTTTCTTTCAGCGTCCTGGTATACTCAATCCTATTTAGTAATACAATCCAGAAACTGGCGTCAGGGTCTCGCCCCGAACCCACCTTCCCTATACTATATAAAGATGTATACACCTAGAACAAAGCCTCAAGCCCAAACCTCTCCACCCCCAACTGCGCCGCAGAATCAAAGTGAGATTGAAAACAGAGTTACCCTTGGAGAGCATTAAGGTAAAAGAAATGAGATTGCCCAAGGGGAGGTGCAAAGGTGTTGAAATGGGGGGGAGCAGCAGACAGACGGTCGAGGAGGAATGTACCAGGCCGCAACCGATGGAATCAGACTGGATGCCGCAAGAAGTCGAGTCAGGCAATGTGATAGGTAGTGAGCAAATCCAGCGAGAGGTAAGAAGAGACAAAGAAATGCCTCATAGAACGCTCTATTCCCCACCCCACCGGCTTGTCTCCGCATAGCATGAGCCGTAAGTGGCCCTAAAATGACCAGGATGATCAAGACTAGGCGATCGACCCCTGCCGCTGAAGCGGGTTTTGGGAGTAAGCACTAAGCAGTCCGATTACCGGACTAAAAAGCGTCAGGTACTTTTGTTCTCTGTCACCGATTAGCCGAGAGAAACTGGCGATAGTGTTCTGTGGAAGTCCAGGTAAGGTGGTATATCGATGTATAGGAAGGTTGAGCTGAACTGCCATTATTGCCAACAACAACAATCAATCAATCCCAGAACTACCTTGCATAGCGTCGCAGTGATGGTAGACACTGCATGGTAGGCAGGAGTTCAAACGATTACTAGCTCTCATCCACGGCTGCAGTCACACAGAATCCACGCCGCGAGAGCAGTGGGCTTCAGGGGATTTTGCTAACGACAAGGTGGGGTAGTGAGGAACATTCGATGAGTAGGGCACATAAGAGCCGGCTGTATTGTACAATACATTGATCGAAGAATGACGGTAGTGAGAACTGAGATCGAGATGGCAGTAACAATGAGAGCAGCAAGAATGAGAGTGGTCGGACAGAGTAGTGTTGATGGGAACAGACAGTCGATGCAGTGAACTACACTACAATCAACCCCGCATTTTCCCCCACCTCTTCTGTCACCGACATCTCAAGGATATCATCATCATCATCACCTCTTCTTCTTCTTCTTCTTTCACAACTATCCATCATTATTATCTCCAGCTCCCCTATCATCGCCAACATGCCTATCAAGTTGAACGCCGTCTTTCTCATTCACCTTCTCGTCATACTCGTATGTACCTTCATCTCATGAAGTATAAACAACACCACTAACAACACCAGTTCTCCATCTTCGCCTTCATCCTCGCAGTGTACGCAACCACCAACACTTCCCAACCACCATAAACCATCACAACAGACTAACTTAACAACCACAGAATTGCCTGGACCCGCACAACAACCTTCCACCTCCCCCTCCCCTTCGCCCTCCCAATCCTCACCACCCTCCTCGTCCCCTTCACCCTCATCAACTTCCTCCTCACCACTCTCCTCACCAAGCCCGCCTCCACATCTACATTCATGCACGTACGCACCCTCTTCAACACCCTCCACACCATCCTCTCAACCCTCCTCTTCTCCATCGCCATCCTCTACCTCTCCCGCTCCAACCCCATTAATGCCTGCACCCTCGACCAAACCTGGCAGGCCTTCTTCCACGCCCGCGACGCCCCCGCCATCCGCGCCATCCAGGACCGTCTCCAGTGTTGTGGTTTACGCAGTCTCCATGACCGCGCCTGGCCGTTCAAGAACCGCGATCACGGCGATGATGCCTGCGCCTTGCAGATGGGGTATACTCGGTCGTGTCTCGGGCCGTGGCGGGCGGAAGAGGCGGGGGTTCTGTGGTTGATTGTCGGGGTTGTCGTTGTTACGGGGAGTTTGAAGGTTTGTTTTCTGTTTTCCTTCCAACGTTGTTCTTTTATTGAAGTTTGGGAGAGGGGTTGATCGGGTGTAGCTGCTCTATGTGTTTTTGAGCATCTTCAAGTGCTAACTGTACTTCTGATAGATTGCGTTCTGGGTGCTTAGAGGCAGAGGGATGGAAGCCGGCTGGATTGTGAAGGCTGACGGTGCTGGGGGCGATGCTCGTCGCAGACGGGAGTATCAGCGAATCTTAGATCGGGAGGTCGAGGAGGGTGGTGAGGATGGGTCTGGGGTGGAGGATCGAGACCACAGAGCGGATGAACGTGATGCTGCTGCGAGACTCCTGCCGCATTCGGAGTCGGGGTATGAATGGAGGCAGGAGTGATGTGGACTTAGGTCTGGATTATGCGGATGAGTTGGAAGATAGGATCTGAGGATTGGATGGGAGTTTCACTTCGTACTGATGCTAGGCAAGGGTTCCAGGATTTCACAGCCGATACATCTGGATGTTTTTTTGGGAATTAGTGGTGATATGGGCTTTTGCTCGCTAAAATGATATGCTATGTACAGTGTGCAGCTGCCTGCGTGGTCTGGTAGCATGGCTGCTTGTGCCTGCACAGGCACGCTACACGGACGCTCGATATGTAGACTGTGAGGGGACGGGTGACACTACCTCAAGCCTTGCCATATCCCACGAGATTTCCATAATACCGCTCGTCCAGACCCGCCTGCATGCGCGCCTCTGTGTTGAACGGCTCCCGCAGCGCTCCCACCCAGTACTGCTGCACATTCGACCGGAACACCTGCACAGGGTCCGTGTGCTCCTGCGCGCAGATCCACGTCAACCACCGATGCCCCGTCGTCACATGCGTAATTTCGTCGTTGTGGATGATCTCGAGCGACTGCACACTTTCTGTATCCCCAGCCTTGCGGAACTTCTCAATCGTCATCGGATTCACATCCAGTCCGCGCGCCTCATGCACCAGCGCAATGATACTAATCCTCGCCCGCAGATCATGTCCCGTCAGCGTCGCCGACTCCCACAGCCCATGATGTACGGGAATCGCCCCAAAGTACGAGCCCATCTCCTCCAGCCGCGCCCGCAGCAGGGAGAAATGCTTCGCCTCGTCGCTGGCAACTTTCAACCAGTCATGGAAGAACGCCCGTGGCAGACCCCGCGATTCGTCCCCCTTCGTGCGGAACGACGCAAACCGCACGCAGATGTCCACCGCCAGATCGATGGCCCATTGCTCGATGTTCGCCAGCGCATGCAGCATCATGATACGGCTCTTCTGCGTGCCTCCGCGTCCCGCACGGGGCATCTGGCCCGGCTTGATATCGACTAGCCCGTCCCGTGGCGGCATCGCGGGCAAATTTACGCCAGTGCCATCCCCAATCTCCATTTGGTCGGTTGTTCCTTCGCGGGCCGTGAATATGGAAAACAGGTGTGCCGTCAACTCGATCTTGTGCTCCGGGTTCGATGTGTTGAGGATGTGCGCGCACCAGTCGCAGACCGTCGCGTTGTTATCAAGATAGACCGCCGGTCCTGCGGGGGTGGTATTACCCTCTTCCACCGGTTGAGTGGCGGCGCTGTCGTCCCTCCGGTCCAGCTTCTTAGCCTGCTTCGGCTCCTTTAGTTGCATCCTCTCGCTGACAGCCTCCAGCTTGACCACCCCCACCCCTTCCTCCGGGTATTCCAGCATCACCTGCCCCCCGCCCTCTGCCCCCCGCACATCGACGGCAAACGTGCACGCCGTGATACCCACGCTCGACTCCCCCGTTTCCACGTTGAAGTCGTACGCATGCCACGGGCACGAGACCACGTACGCGGAGTCCTCAATGTCGACCGACGAGTCCTGCATCGGCCCGCCGGCGTGCGGGCACTCCGCTTCCATGGCGTAGTAGGACCATCCGTTCGCTTCGTTCTGTGCGGGGGTGGCGGATGGCTCGATGGTGGGGAGGCGGAACAGCACGAGGCGTTTGCCGGTTGTCAAATGAATGACGTAGCGGGTTTGGGTGAGGAATTCGAGCGGGGCGAGAGGTATTCGGGGCATTTTGCGGATGGGTGTGAACCTCGGAGGATTATTTGGGGTGTGTGTGTGTTTGGATGCAGGAGAGTGCTGGGGGTGCCTGGTGGATGCGAGAGAAATTTGAGATCACGTAAGTGGGGAAAGTCTAGACGGGATTTGGGTGGGTCGGCTTATCGATAAGGGGGGCTCTTCTGGTCTTCTTGGGTGACCTGTCAGCTGCTGTATGCGATGAGGCATATCAGACAAGCTCAATCATGATGCGAATAACAGTGAGATTCTACAGCCTCAAAGTCTCAGGTCAACCGCGATGAAAACATCGAACGGTCTGTTGAATTTGTCGACCTAACTTACTCAGAAGTTGTGTGGTTGTGACTGCAAGCGCAGAGCGGGGAAAATGACAAAAACAAGATAGCATGTCCTGGTTTCGATCCAGGGTCCTCCGGGTTATGAGCCCGGCGCTCTTCCCCTGAGCTAACATGCTTGGTGGATGAAAAAAGTGCAGATTTTATGCAATATAAAGGTAAAAAAAGAAGTCTCTAATCACGCAGCATGTTTCATCTCTCCCTGTCAATCTAGCTGATCAATTTCTAGCATAATTTCGTGATCATCAATCACTGTCAACTTCTCTTTGTGGAATTGCCAAGACTTCGGGTGAAAACTCTTCCGATAATCAAACCCTAATTCATGCCCGTGCATATCGACATGTTGCTGGAGACAAAAAACATAATCTAGTGAATGAATCAAGTTAATGAAGAAATCAATCTACTAAGCGGATTTCCGAATGGTAGACAGAGCACAGATGCCGGACCTACAAAGTCTAGCCATGTGCAACGCTCTTACGAGCACTTGAAAAAGTCACGACCTGGATTTATGCACAGCGCAGTACATGGGAAGTATGGACATTAGCCATGATACTTACTTGGCATTATACTCATTGTGCTTTTTGTTTGAAGCTCTCGGAAATGAATCTGAGAAGATTGGGGCCTTCAAGAGGTGATTACCGCAATCAACTGCGGGGTGACAATTCCCAGGATATACAGAAGATCACCACCAAAATTGGAGACGATGATTAGCGTAGTAAGCTGCTGGGATGGGAAGTGAGACGGGAGTTTTCTGGTCACGGAGTAAATGGGCACATTTACCAAAAAGTATAAAGTGTCTTAGGCTGACACCGCATCTTGTCACAACACACCACCCACCAGCACCAAGTATCAAGACAAAGGAGTTTACCTACGCTATTTCAGATATATCGAGTCTCATTTGGTCGACACGTTACTCAGTACCATGGCCAGAAGGTTGCACCCCCGGCCAACACGCCCCCAGTCAAGTCCTCGACCCCAGGCAACTCTTCGCCCCGCGGCAACTCGAGCGTACATCGCGCCGCGGACCCGCCGCCAAGCGGCTCTGAGACGCGCTTTTCTTGAGGAGGCTGACATGTCTGAGGAGGCTGACATGCCGGAGGAGACCTCCCTCGAGGCTTCACCCAAGGCCGAACCTCCAGCGACGGAAGGCTCCGCCGACAGCGAGGCCACCGTAACAGACCCTGCTTACCGGTCTGGGGAGTCTCCAGTGGTCAAAGCGGAAAGCCCAGCCTCCAATGAGGCTCCATTGCCCGGAGCCACCGAATCCAATGTCGCTCCTACGCCCGAACCTCCTGATCAGCCCGGTGAAACAGAACCGCCTGCTGCAGCCCCCCAGCCCGCGCCGTTATCAGTCGATGCCGAGGGGATGTCTGACATCACACCGAGCCAGGAGTATCTTCTCTGCTGCCTAGCAGTGCTGAACGAGAGAATCAACGGTGGGCTGGGGAGTGACATCCCACGGGATCTCCTCCATGACTCCACGGTTGTGTTTGAGGTAAGCCCCAATTCCGAGACGGTATTAGTTCGGGTTCGTCGTGAGTGGGAGCGACGGAGTGGTCCGGTCCCCGCTGCACCACCTCACTGAGGCCAATTCGCTGCGGCAAACGTGGATTCAATATTCTCCTATGTTGACTGACATGTTTGGGGCCAGGTAGACATTACGTGCCGATGAGGACTATAAGTAAGAAACTAGTAAATGGAACCATTGATCTTCCCTAGCGGGTTCTACGGGAATTATGACCAGAAAAAAGAGACCCTAATAAGCTCATTATAAAATCACATCATGGTAAGGTCGTTCTTATGGAGAAGATCGTATGCAGAGCATCTGCAGCAATAAACCAGAGTGGATATATATACTCTGTCAGTCCAGTGTCTATAGCCAAGATGTCACTGAATCTCTCTGCCTCAGGAAGCCATTACAGTATGTAATACCTTGGCAGCACAGCGTCACTCCAGACCACTTTCAGGACACTGGATTTGTCTGTCATTCTTGATGCTAACTTCCCTTGCAGTGGCCTAAGGGGGGGAAGGGAGACGGGGCACAAAAGAATCAAGCAGATGCTGATTAGTCGAATGCAAGCCCTAACATGACGACTGTTCTACATACGCTGGCGGCTGAAGTCACCCTCATTGTCTCATCGTCCAAATGGATAGTCCAACTACTCTCTGGTGTAGGTTGTCATGTACTTTGTAATTTGCACACCTGATGTGATCCACAGTGAACTAGGGTGCAGAAGAGCACGCCCTTAGGGCGCGTCGAATCCCGAAGGGACAAACCTCGCCAGCTCTTACCACCACTGCTCACAGCGTCAAGCGTGGATTGCACTGCAGTGTGGGTGAAAGATTGACATAATGGCAGATAGAAAAGCCACAGATGATCGCCCTGGTTACTTCTGTCTAATCTGGTATCCTGTCCGGAGGGTTCCCAACGCTATATTAAAACTCCAATCATGGTTTTACAAAGCTAATATAATAGGCCTTGTGTATGTCCACGGGGAGAGATGTAGGAAATTGCCAGGGTGCGGAACACCTATGAGTCCGAGTGTGTAGTATAATTGCCTCCGCTCTCATGTGATAAATTGTTTCTACAGAAAACTGGCTGAAGTGCGCTGCCCCGGGCTTTTCCACCATGATTGAACTGAGGTTGTCGGGCTTTAGATTAGATACATCTCTATAGTGGTTTGCTGCGATATGTAGGAGTAATATCGTAGTCCATTGTTACTTTATTAGCTCTAGTTATGTATAAACTTGAATTTCACTGGTCGGATTTGTTCAGATTCGCCTACTTAGATAAGTTATAAAACAGGACATTTACTAACCCTGATTCTAGTGCCTTTGCCGGTGAGAATCATCCTCTTTTTCTTCTACCGTACGAATAGTCATCTTGTCTACCATCTCAACTTCTGAAAAGGATGCTATGGCTAGGGCTCGGCTCCTCCCCGGCCCGAAACAGGCTGCATGACACTAACCCCAATCCAGCCAGCTACTAAATTAAGCCCGCGAGAACTAACCCCAAAGCAGTAAACCGTTTGTGATGGATCGGCCGGTTTATTGATTCCGGTCACGGGATCAGGCCGATCTTTTCTTTTCTTCAGCTTCCAGAATCCACAAATCCAACTAACACACCGTACGCGGTAACTACGCCGTACTCTAATTCCGATCCTCAATCTGACACCGCACCCCTGACATACGTCTCTCGCCTTTACCCCTCATCCTCCACAAGGGTTCACCGCCACTTTGGCTATCCTACAGAGTACTCTGTACTTACTTGTACTTGAGAAAGGAAGAGTTGACTTATGTGAACGGAAAAATGCTATATTGCAATCAAAGATTCAAAACCTAACGCTAACTGAATACAATCTTCTGCCACCCACTACCGGAACTCAAAGTGTCCGTCGATGTTGAACAGACGCTCGGCGAGGTTGACATCGGCGACGTGCCAGTGGCCGTGCTCGTCGCGGAGCTCAGCGCGGAGGACGGGCACGTGGGCGCCGCCCTCGACGTCGAAGTGCACGCCGCGGGCGGACTCGATGAAGTTGTGGCCGCCCCATTGGAAGTGGCCTGCGATGATGACATGTTAGCTCCTACTAACCAGCTTTTGGATTGTAGATAGTAAGGCTGGGCTGGGCTTACCGTTGTTGTTGCCGATGAAGTGGTTCAGGTCGATGTGGGCGGGGCGCTCGCAGCCGCGGGCATCGCGGAGGAGGGCGTGGAGGAAGGGTCCCTCGAGGCGGATGGAGCCATGGACGGCGGACTCGTGGAAGCTCATTTTGAGGATTTGGTTGGGGAGGGGTGAGGGGTTGAGTGGATGATGGTTGTTGGTTTGAGAGGATGAGGGATGAGGAATGGAGGATTCAGTCCGGTGGTATGCGAGCTCCCTTTTATATCTTGGTCTTCTCCCCTCCTTTTCTCAGACGAGGCGAGCGCGCTGTCCTCCTGTGTCGGTCAGGATTGCCCGCATTGACTGCTCAGCTGAGTGGGGATCCGTATTTCGTCTGTCGAGGGGGAGACGGTGAGGGTCGACTGGGCCATTGCTGGCGAAGACAGCCACAGTCGTTTCGTATTTGGAGGGGGACGGCAGCTGAGGGGCTGAGGCTGAGCATCGCCATTTGTGAGGCGTGGCTGAATGGGTAATGTGTACTGTGTAGACTGTAGTGTAGCTGAAGATTAGGATGTATCCACTTTCCCTCATATCCGGTAAGGCGAAGCGGTCTCGCGGGTGGGTCAGGAGGGTGGCGATTACCTAATGGGTAACGATCTCGTCTACGTGGACTTCACGATGACTGCTAGACTTCCCTGCAGTCGATCATGGCGATCTAGAGCGAGCCACTCGATCATACGGGGATCGAGTGGCGACATTAACGGTGATGGCGCGATGAGGCTAGTCCCCGGATATCAATTCGCTCGCAACACCTCAGCTTACTACGATCACGTACAAACCAGCCGGTGTAGGGGATAACAAACACTCTTTGACGCATCCTTTTAGTGACAAATTCTGGTTGATTGTAGGTAAGTAGTTTGGGCACACGTACTACATCCTAGCAAAGAACCTGCCATTCATCGATGCCAGCATTGCCATCACCATCACCAAAACACGACCACCATCACTACCCAAACATGCGTCAATCAAAGACAACCCGATCTTTGCTAGGCTCTGTCTCCCCCACCAGCCAATCCTCACTTGCCAAATACAGAGCTAGCTGCACACGAGGCAATCTCACTGAAACCGGCAAGTATCACTTTGTCCAGCCCCATTATTGACGCACCCCCAGCTGCATCCGGTGATAATACTGATGCCACCGCCCGGCTCGCAGCGGTACAAAAACTTGTCCTTGGTGTCGACAAAGGACCACCAGTTGGTGCCGTACTTCTGCTTGATCGCAGCGTCCATTAACGCGTTATATCGGGGATCTATATACAATGTTTCCGTGCATTAGCGAGCGTGCCATTGGAGTTCCATAGGGTCGATCTTACCGATGTCATCCAGGACACCCCAGCAGTAGTTCATACCCGCAGTGCAATCTCTAGCCTGGACGGAGGCTGCCAGGGCCAGCGAGCTGGCGATCAGAGTGGAGATGAGCTTCATGGTTGAGTTGGTGTCTAAGGCGGGAATTTGAAGTTATGCGCGCAGTGATGAGATGATCGGCTGTGGGAGTTGGATAGATGGATGATGGAATTGATAAAGCACGCGATGATGAAGCTATATATAAATCCAAGATGCGCAGAGGATCGAGTCTGCCGGTTACAAGAATGAAGTTCATGACGACGAGACCTCTGATGTACTTTGGAGTCATGTAATCCTTGCATTTGACTTCGGCCGATCCGAGAAACCAACAGAGTATCCTCAAGGAGTGTTTGGACCGTGAATACCTCTCCTGATGTCAGGGGATACTTGTACGACGCCGTTCATGCAGACCGAGTCATAGCTAGTGTCTGTGGATAGATATGTCTTTTGAGTATGCATGACATGCTTGGTGCTACCGGTAGCTGAGTGATATGCAGCTCAATTCCCTCAGGCAAGCTTCCGATATAGCTATGGATGACACAAATGAACAATGCCGGTCTGAATATAGGCAGATTGAATTTGGGCATGACTCAAAGGATGGAGCTTCGAGAAGCAAACCGATAGGTATCAAGTTTTCACCATCCTATTTCTAGGTACATGTTGTTGATAGCCGAAATGTGGCAGCATTGAATGATCGGATCACCCGCAGCTGAATCCCTGTACAAATTGCCCCGAGCTGCAGCCAATATCCCTCGTCCCATCCCCAACGTGTCAATGTGCGACAGCGACGTCTAACAACCCTTCCCGAAGCTTCCCGAGATTGTGCATTGCACGGCTCCGTTGTTGCAGTTCGGTCAGCACGGTATCCAATTTCAAGTCGGCCTCAGGTTCCACACCAATCATCGTGAATCAGTCTGCGGGACTCGCTCAGTCGTCAACGTAGAGTTGCCTATACCAAACTAGTGCAGGAGGATATATGTGATGGGCGGGGCCTGATGAGTTGGATTGCGTTCTGTGCTTGTTCAAGTGTCCCTTCTTTGTTCACCGATCATATGCATGAAGGCCTGCTAATGCTGTCATATATTCCAGCGTATGACTATAACGTGGGGTAAAATTGGTGGAATGGGCATATTTCATTGATGGGTGCAGAGCGTCTAACCCAATTCTACGACATCTCGCAGCCCACTCCGCTTCTAAGAATCTTTTCTTGGATACACGTATAGCAACTTTGAAGATGAGGGGCCTTTTCGAGGACGGATAGATATCAAGTGGCTTTATGATAGTCCTTGAGCAAGTTAATGACTGAGGTTGTAAGGTTCTGTCGTAAAATCATCGCTAATCTATGAAAAGCCATTGCGTATCTGACAGGGCCTACGCCAGGAAACGATATTTTTGAACCGCACATTGTAATATCTGTTTTCACTAATCTAGTTAGGCACCTAAATTTGCACAAAATAGACAGAGGCGCGACTACCGAGCCTGCAGTAGCATGGTCATGCCGCCGCTCGATATAGCATTGAGGTGTCTGTGTTGTTCGTGCCTGTTACTCCCTAGTCTTTGAGAGTATGAACTGGCCCATTGATCGCGTGTCCACGCCAGACTAGCTTCATTTCCATAGTGCTGAAAGCGGCACCGTCCGCAGTCTGTAGTCGCACCGCGCCCGCGAGTGACGAGCTCGTCGCGCTGGGGACGAGCGAAGTGGGAGTAGCTTTGGCCACGACGCTCGGTGACCAATTCACCAGGATAGGCGGCGGAGAACCCATAAGGACATAACCAGCCTAGCGCTGAGCTCGACCTCAGCTTTCCGAGACTCATAGGTCTTCTGTAACACCTCACTCGTCGTCGCTATCGTAAGCAACCAACGGCCCCGCCGGCGCAGCCTGCTGAGGCTTGGCAGAGACAGACGCCCGGGCAGCCCCGAGCGCGGCCAAAGTGCTGCTGGAGAAGATACCGCCCTGTTCGATCTGCGGCTGAGAAGGTTCCTCCTGCTGGCGGTGGTCCTCTGCTGCCGGAAGTGCAAGCTGCTCTTGCTGGCTGTGTTCCGTCTTCCGCAGCCCAACTGCAAATCGCACCTGGTCCGGCTCATCATAGCCCTCGAGGTCGTAGTTGGTTTTCTGTCTCTTCGCATGAGCATCCTTGCCTTCGATCTGGGCGATGAACTCGGCGGGGAGAGCGCGACGAATAGCCTCCGCGGCTTGCTCTTCAATACGGCGGGCTTCGCGTTTCTGTGCTAGTGGATTGGGGTCCTGTGTGGCCCAGCGAACATTCAGGATTTCGTTGTGGTCAAGACTCTGGTGGGCCATCGCTTCTTTCGCAAATTGTGCCATTGCTTCGGTTTTGTAGGTCACCTAGGACGGTCAGTGTGCGGTAGGAACGAAAAATTGGTGGCACATACGAATGCAACACCGCGACTGGTCAGAACTCGGATGCGATCGATTTCGCCCCATTCTGCAAAGTGACGCGCGACAACCTCCCTATTATGGACCCAGTCAGCCTCCGCCTAGAGCATCCAGCATATTCTCGCATGCACAGAAAATCTGCTCATCTTCCATCTTCTGCGTGTTCGGGTGGGATAAGGGTCGCTTACTCGATATCGTCACTAGAGGCGAATTGGTTAGTGGTGGGCGCAAGAGACGGGGCCTGAGATATGGACCGTACCTAACATGAATCTTTCCAACGTAAATCGTCCTATTCTGTCGCAAGAAACTACCCACACCGCCCATATCGTCCCGATAGTCGTTAAACTTTTCGCGACCGAAGACATCCATCTGCGGGGGGGTGATGTCATGAATCGTCGGTCGACGATGAAGGTATTCGCAATCCTGGCCACGATGGCAAAGTCCGCGAGCCTATATATCGACGCGACGGGTTAGTATGTGTTTCACGCGACCACCAACATCGGGGAATCCTACAAAGTGCAGGCAGATGTGCGCGCCGGGCTGCGCGTCGGCCTTGGTGTATCCTGAATCGCGAGCAAGATTACATCTGGTCTGAGCTGCTGCCTGTGACGAGTCCTCCCGATCACCGCCAGCCCATTTGTTGTAGTAGATGTTGTAGGTCGTTCCGGACTGGGGCTGGAACTGGGCCTGGATCTCTTTGGCCTTGTCGGCCTCGACCTGGACTCGCGCGGGGCGGCGCTTTTTGCGAATGATGCGCTTCTTCACCACAGCATCGGGCTGTGGGCTGGGATCTGCTGGTGTCGTCTCTGTTGTGCTGGGAGGTGTGGTGTCTGCCATGGTGAAGGTGGAGATATTGAGATGGAGGAGGTTGATTGTTGCGGCGACGGGATGAAGCAAGCAATGATGATAAGAGATTCCGCCCGAAGTGTCAGAGTCACGTGATATATTGGGCGGGATGAGTAAGCGCTGTGTTGGTGCCTTATGGACCAGGCTGTATTCTTTCGCAGCCTTGTTCCCATTTTTATTGTGGCCAAACAGCGTCATGCGCCTCTACAGACAAAATTTATCACCGAAGATTCCACCATTATCACAAACCTGTGCAAGAACGGATACTGATTTAGTAGAGAGCATCTTATCTAGACTCTATGCTTGATTTACTCAATGTTAATCCACCTCGAGCCTCCTTCTTAGATCTTTAGGCTTGAATATACATACGAATTGGAGATGACCTCCATGATAGTAGGTTTCTTCTCATTAAAAACTCTTCGTAGAGTCCATTTGAGAAGAGGTTGCAGATAAGAGTGCCTCCAAGATACCAGACTAAATCTTGTATTCACATCTCTCATCACCATACATGCAGAATAAGAATCAGGTTTCCGACTCCGGTCTTTGTCAGATCTGCACCACGCTCTAAGGCTCTCTTCTTGGAGATCGTCATTTATTCCAACTTAATTACTCGTTATGGATGTCCTTCTTGTAGCTATAATAACTTGAACTTGCCAGCCCCACGAAAGCCACCAACCAAGCACAGGACGCCAACTTACAAGTGAAACCTTCCCGCTCATCTTTCAACCTCACAACGGAGTCATGACCGCCGCGCTCGAGTCCTGGCGAGATCTACTTGTGGATCACATCTTCGTGGACCTCTGGATCCATCCTACGGCCACTGCCTGGATTCCCGGTGTCTACTATGCTCTCCGATTTACCGTGATTGATCGGATCAAGAGCCACCTATTCAAGATGGAGCTCAAGACCCCATCCTCGGACCATATTCAGGTTCGGGTCATCATACCCAATAAGCCTGCGTCACAAACTCCGCTCGATATTTTGAGGCTATTAAATGATCGGTTACAGGAGCTCAGGATTCGTGGCACTGGTAGCAGCAAGCTCGATGCTGTCGAAGAAATACGGGATATCAAGTGGTATCCGCGGCACCTGGTTCAGGGGGAGTTTGAATTTGCCCAATTTCTAAGAGCTTCAGGTTTGGAAGTCCAAACAGAATCTGACTGCGTCCTCTGTGGATGGGGAAGCTTTATGAAGCTTGGTGACTGAGTCATGCTCCACTTGACATACCGGACTCTCTTGTTGATCAATAACATTATTGTTGATGACTCTTGAAACCTGCAAAATATCGATGAATTATATTCCTACGAATACTACGGGAGCGATCTTTCCATGACTGACCCCCGGTTTGATTGGTAGCATGGCCTTGAACCTAGCAACTACGAGGTCTAGAACATGTCTACTTTTAGGTAGTGCGCAGGCAACAATCTTGAGCAGCCTGAAGGATAGGTGCCTATTATGATCTAGTTTTACTACTGCGCTTGCTTCCATTCGCGGGGGTAGTGTTCCTTCTCTTTATGCTTACTCCAAGTTACTTGAGCAATAAGTAAACCAGCATCAGTTCGTGCCTTTCAGTCCGGCTCGATGGATATCTTCCGAAAGACATGAGTACCCGAAAGTCTCATCTAAAGCATGAGAAAGCCAGTCACGGAGTCGAGGTTTTTCGAGAGAACGTCGGTTCTGACCTAAATATGATAAGCTGATCAGTTGTTCATTGTGTCCATGCCACAATCCAAATAACAAGGGCTGACAAGAAGGTTGTCACAACAGAGAAAGTAAAGACTTCATCAGAAAATAATCGCACGTTCCTTTCATGAAATGGATTACTTAGTATTACCTAGATCGTTCTTGCCCCGTGATCTATGAATACAGCTCTGGCCCTCCACTTCTAACGACCATTCTTCTCCAACAAAGGATGTCAATGTATACATGATGCAGTTGCCTCAATCACTCGGGGCCCCAGTACGGTATTGACCGCCCTCACGCGTAGGCATTACCATGCACTTGACTGACCCCCTCCGCCGCGCTCAGCCAACCCACCCGATCCTTGACAAACTGTTCGATCCGAGGCTTCAGCTTGGTTTCATGCAGATTGAAATCATCGATGGTTCCAATGCGTAGGATGCTCATGCCTGGGAAGCCGGTGCTAACGCGGTACACCAGGGTGCCGCACGTAGAGCAGAAAAAGTTGGTCATGGTATTGCCCGTGCCCACAGTTTTGGACTGGCTGTATGATGACAGAGACTCCCGACCGCGCTCATGGATCAAATAATCATCGTCGACGGTGAAGTTCGAGGCGAACATGGACGCGGTGATTTTGCGGCAGTCAGTGCAGTGACAGATGAAGGTGTCGACGAGACCGGGACCCTGGGTCGGCTAGAGATGTTGTCTCATGTAAGGAAGGGAAATGATCCTGAAAGACAGGTGTAGATCATGGGGACTTACAAAGCTCAGCTGTACAGCACCGCAGAAGCATGTGGCTGTTGCTCTGTCTTCGTGAGACCATCCGTCCTGTCGGGCGCCTGCTAAGGGGAAATATGATTCGGTTTTATGGTTATCTGAGGGAGATGCCATGGTATGTGTACTCTTATTATATTCTTGAAATGATGTTGAGGGTTGTTATTCATATCTCAAAGCCTTTTCTTCCAGATATTTATACAATTTTGAATTTGCCGGTGCTTAGCATGCCTCTATTGCGGAGTTGCGGAGTTGCGGAGTTGTGTGAGTTGCGGACTCGGAGTCGCGGATGTCCCAATGACGATGTTGAGTATCGATGATTAGTTTACGTTTTGAAGCTTCGGCGGCAAAAGCCCGCTGCAAATGCTCTGTGGCATTACTATGTGCTCTCCTTTATGATGCCTAGATACGGTGCATTTGGTGTGATGAAGAAGTCAGCTTGTCGCTGTTTTGCAGTATTCATTTTGACATGTCCGGAACCTGGCTCATTAACTCATGTTCAACTAGGGTTCTTTGGCACAAACCAATAAAGCACGAGATCAGTTCATGGCTATCGTCTTCTCAAGCACTGGCGCTATGTAAAGGGTGGATGGTCTGACAGCCGGAGTTGCTCCTATTTGCGGGCATATAGACACATCATGTTGTTATACTCCGTAACTCCGGCTCTCAGACAAATGGAACAGACAGCTTATGCATTGTTACATTCTCTTCGGTGCCAGTGATTTCCAAGCAACATAACAGGGCCACGGAGTCTTGCGTGTAGATGTCTGGGTGCCAGCTGGAAGTGAAGCACACCCTGCTTTTATCATTGCTAGAACTATAAAATTTCTCCCACCACCCGCTCCATCCATGTGCTACATCTCACTCCTATCATCAGATCTCAACTCATAGTCATCCTTGCAATCGAACCCTTCAAGAAGCTTCTTGACTGTTCTTTCTAGAAACCACCAACACATTTCAACATTGACCCCTGCGCAGATGGCAACAGTCACCGCTACCTCCACCGGTCCAGCGCCGGCCACCAAGACCATGGCGCCCACAGTCAACCCTGCATCGAGCAGATTGTTCGAGCCAATACAAGTGGGCAGGATGAAGCTCAGCCATCGCATTGTGTTCCCTCCTTTGACACGCAACCGCAATGATGATGATCACACCCCGCTGCCGTTTATGGCTCGGTATTATGCCGACCGTGCGTCGACGCCAGGAACACTGGTGATCTCCGAAGCGACTGCGGTTTCTCATCTTGAGGAGGGCCAGGATAACACTCCGGGCTTTGTTAGTGACCGTCAGATTGTGGCTTGGAAAACGATCATCGACGCGGTCCATGAGAAAGGGTCCTACTACTTCCAGCAGGTCTGGGGCATGGGCCGGGCCTCTTATCCAGAGCTAATGAGGCGCAAAGGACTGAAGTACCGTTCGAGCAGCGCGGTTCCGATGGAAGGTGTTGATGCGGTCCCTGAGGAAATGACGGAGGAGGATATCGTGGAGACGATTCAAAGCTTTGCCGATACTGCTAAGCGAGTCATCGCCGCCGGGGGTGATGGGGTGGAGGTGCACTGCGCCCATGGCTATCTTCTCGATCAGTTTCTCTCTGATGCAGTCAACAAGCGCACCGACAAGTGGGGTGGATCCACAGAGAACCGTGCAAGGCTAGTCCTGGAAGTCATCAAGGCAGTCGTGGATGCTGTTGGTGCTGACCGAGTCGCCCTCCGACTATCCCCCTATGCAGCCTTTCAGCAAGCCGAGAAAGGGGACATCCACGGACAGTACCTCTACCTTATTGCGCAGTTAAAAACGACGGTGCCGCCTCTTGCTTACTTGTCTCTTGTGGAAGCAACGGGGGACCCCGGCGCATTGATCTTTGGCGGCAAAGCCGTCAACCAGGGGAAGACCTTGGACTTTATTCTGGAAGCCTGGGATAATCGGTCTCCGGTAATTGTCGCGGGGGGTTACCATCCCGAGACGGCCGCCTGGGCTGTAGAGAAGCGATACAACAAGTGGAATACATTAGTTGCTTTTGGTCGCCATTTTCTGGCAAATCCCGATCTGGTCTTCAGGATTCGGCATAAGATTGAGCTGAACAAGTACAACCGGCCAACCTTCTACCTGGCAAAGAATGAAATTGGCTACAATGATTACCCGTTCAGCAAAGAGTATCTGGCCGCTCAGCAACGTCAGTTTCCCTCTTCTCTTTCATGCTTTGTATGTAATGATCCTACCCTCTGCAGCGAACAATTATATAACTGATATCTGACAAGCCTGAAGGTGGTGGGTAGAAGCCAGCCTGTTGCCTTCAGTAACGCAGTCATGACTGGTTCTTTCTCTGCTCAATGAAGTTTTAGCTTGAACAACCATGGGCACACCGGGAGACTAAGTAGTCAACTGCTTATGCCGAGGTAGGTTCTGTTTAGGTTGGATTAGCCATCAGTTTTATAGGCCACTGCAAATGACCTACGGGTGCTAGACAGGCTCGATGTGCTCGGAGAGCCCCATTGATCTGATACAATTGATAGAAGAGAAGGAATAGATGTTAGAAACAGACTGGATAGATCTGGAGAGCAGAACGGACATGCTGTGAATAAATATGAGCGCCAGCCTCTCGCTCAAACTAGTAGTAAAAATGCTGAGCCAGAGTAGACTGGTTTCTTTACTTATTATTATTACCCCCGTTGCTGCCTTAGTCTAGAGCTATCAGGGAGAGCACAGAAATAAATATTAAGCGAGCTCTCAATCTCAGTAGAGCGGACCTGAATTAAAGTGGCAGAGTCTGGCGGACTGGAGAGCACATGGCCTATAGTAACAATACAGTGCAGTTGCACTTTACCAGGTCGGACACTACAACACAGTGCTGGAGAGGCGTTGAAGAATTTTTCAGAAGTAGCAGATCCAATACAAAGAGACTAGCTTAGAGAGTAAGACAAATATTTGTGTTATTCCCTTCGAGTTTCCTTGCTTTTATAACCTCCTATACTCGAAAATGGGGAAGAACTACTTTATTAATAATTTTCCAACAACGAAGCTAATCCCCAGTATCGTCAACGGTGTCCCCAACCACTACTTTTCCTACAATTTTATATCGTTTCAGGTAGTGCTCAAACCACTCATTAAGTATGGTTTGCTCTTGCTCGCCTAGGTCATGGAACTCAGCCTTGCAACGTGACTTGTGAAATGATGATCGGGCCAGTGCACGAGAAGGATCCTTCCCAGCGAGCTCTATACATAATCATTTGACATTAATCCTATTTGTACATTTATTTTGAGGTCTATTACATACCGTGATAACATCCCCCTGGCGCAAAGGAGGGATTTTGGCTGACATCAAACACTATCCCCTTGATCGCAAATAGCGTTGGGCGATTTGGGTCCGTGCCTTGGATATCCGACCATATTAATATAAGTCTGAGATCCCCTCAACCGGTATACTCAGTGTAAGACTGACCATCGGCAAGGCGCAATTCATGGGGACTGATGGGGTCCAATTCATTGAAATTAAGCAATTCGGGACAATTCATTGTTGGATCAGGACTTCCGCTCTTTTGTGTAGAGCAGCACACTATTCGCAATCGCACTGTCATTAGGTCGGTAGCCTCTTCAGATTATAAAGGTTATGTTCCTAAGCAGTAGTGATGGACGTTTTCTCTCCCGATTTGTCTCTCTATCTTCTTTGTCTAATGAGAAGGATCTGTCCCTTGGTCTGATTCAGCATGTGATCTGCGTACGCGTCTTCCTTTTCCGCGGACCAGACAATCAGCTGACGATGCATTAATTGCTTAGTATAGAGGTGGCCCTTGGAACTCTTTACTTACCTAAATCTTATTTTGAAATAACAATTAGGGTAGTGGACCCGGTTGGGTTTGCGGCAGGTTTAAGTTTAATAACGGTACGGAACTCGGCTATGGCGTCATGGATTACGCCGACCCTATTCTTTCAGGTTATTCAGGTGAAAAAAAGAATCTCTCACTTCAAATGCCATAGGTACACCACTCTTGATCTTCGTATTGGTGTTTCGAATGGTTCTTGCCACTGTGACGCTTTGGTTCGGCCGAAACTCTTGGGCCATACGACAAATCTCTTCTCATCTAAAGTTGCACAATACGAGAGGAGCAGGTGCTCCTTCCTTCCCCTAGCTACTTTCTAAATTATCTGGTTGCCCATGATCGACATTACGCGTACGTCCAGCTACAGAGTAGAGCTAATCCAAAAGCTAAAAGCATCTCCATAGCGGGGCATTTAAGCTCCATGTATAAAGCGACAATCCCGATTGTCGATACAGGGTCAAAGTAAATTCAAAACAACTTTCATCGAACGGACTGCAAAAGATTGTGTAGGAGATATACGGATTTACGCCCTCTCAAGCAGAGTACAGAAACCAGTCACTCCAATGCTGTTCGCATCGCCTTTGCACCAATGGATCGCCTGGACATCTTCGCGTATCAGACAAAACAACCCTACATCGTCGGACGAGGATGCGCGAGACATGGAATGTTGTCCTGAGCAAAGACAAGAGGTCTCAAGACTAGGACTGAGTTGCACGAGGACAAAGCTTTTTCTTCTACTCTTGCTGATAGACTTGACTGTCGTCGGGCTGCTTCTACACACTCTTCGGCCCTTGATCACCCTGCTATATCGAAATCAAGAATTGTTTGCTGCTCGTGGAACTTTACCCTCCAGCAATTTACTTCCCCAAAACCTAAGTGAATATCCAAACCCGAGCGGGATTCCGTTGATACTCCACCAAACCGCGGCTACTGAAAATATCCCCGAGCGCTGGCAAAATTCCCAGCAGAGTTGCGTTGAAGTATACGCCAACTACCAATATATGGTAAGTTCTGACATACATCCTGCTTTCGACCACTATTCACCTCCTTTGTAGTTATGGACAGATGAATCTGCCCGTGACTTTATCTCTAAGCATTACCCCTGGTTCCTTCCAACGTGGGATACCTATACTTTCCCAATCCAGCGGGCCGATGCACTGCGCTACTTTGTTCTCTATCACTACGGCGGGATATATCTCGACATGGATACCTGGTGCATCCAGCCGATTCCAGTCCAAGCACTCCTGAATGACAACCCAGGGCGGGATCTCGCCATTTTCAAATCCACTACCCCGACTGGAGTGACGAATGACTTTCTTGTTACGACGCCGCGTCACCCTGTGTACGGCGCTGCGATAGCCAAGCTACCCGATTCGGCTCAGTTCACTCACCCCTGGGCGCGCTTACAACCTTACTCTGCGATCATGGCATCGGCGGGGCCAATGTTTTTGTCTCTAGTATTGAAGGAATATTTACTAGGACAGCAGAATCAACAGCAGCAATCTCGGCCCTTCCCGTGGCCGGAAGGGATTGAGATCATTAATAAAACCGAGCTGGCCCCTTACATCACTGATCTTGAAAGCAGCACGTGGCACCACTCCGATGCAAAAGTACTAATGTGGCTCGGCAAGCGCCCGTGGCTCTGGTACACTCTAGGCTTGGGGGTTCTGGCGACGGGATTATACATGATTGACTATCTGTTTGTGATTCTCTATGTGCGGAGCTCCCGTAGGGCTGTCTCTCAAACTTGTGGTACAAAATCAGCTAAGAAAGCATAACCTCACTGAGGGACTACTTACCTTCGTGATATCTGTCGGAATATTTTTTTGAACTTGAATATGAAATGGCCTTACTCTTCAATCTCGAAACTTCCATTAAGCCTTACGATAAGGAAGAATTAGGCTGCATTCTATAGAGTCTTCCGGACAGTCCTCAGTACAGATAGAATATGATTCAGAATCTCTCCTCCGCATTCTTCGATTGTCTCGATCAGACCATATATTGTCCCAAGCATTCGGTATCACCCTGGCTTTGGGCCTGAAGCCACTGCTCGAATATATAACCAATCTTTGTAACAATACCTCTATCTAGACAATATGGCCGAGCGGTCTAAGGCGATAGACTAGAAATCTATTCTCTTCGGAGGCGTCGGTTCAAATCCGACTGTTGTCGTTTCTTTTTGTTGTGGAGGGCTCGGCTCTTATGGCTGTTTCAATGAAATCCATCACTAGATGCAATGACGGATATGCTTGAGGCATACATCGAACCTATGAGAAATCTGTTATCCTGGTGAAGATTGGATGTTGAATCTACTCGCAGATGAAACCCCCATCTACTACCAACACCACCCGATTCCGTAGAACTAGAGTTTCTCCGTTCAGTTTTCCACGTCAACCTAATCGCACTTTTATTCTGAATGGAATTGGGAATTTACTGACAACCTCTGTGGATAATCTGCAAGAATAGTGGCCTTTAACATGAGTTGAGTAGTGTACACACTACCAGTGCCGCTCCGAATCCTCTCAGTGACTAAGTTTCTCCCGCCGCCTCCCCCCCTCTTCTACCATCTCTGCTTCAAAAACCACCGCTTATGCTTTTTATCTTCTGGGGCCGGCAGGCCAGGACTTTGTTTTCGGTTCCACCTTGGGAAATCACTGTTGGAAGTAAAAAGGGGGTTGTAGGGTACGAGCTGGCCCCGTAAGACGCAGATGCACCGTGGGCAGGGATATTCAAACTGATTGATATGCTCCAGGCAACGGCTTACGAGAACGATTCTCCAGTGTGCGCGCTTTTCTGTGGGGGCGATGAGGAGCCAGAGTATAATTGATGCATACATCATGTCGCTCGGTGCATCGCATGTCTCAGTCCCGGGCTTGTTCTGATGGTAGTTAGGGCTAGGAGAAGCCGTCCCCGGCAATACGTTCAACAAAGATACGGAAGGGGGCTCTTCATACACGATCTACAACTGGCGCGCCGCTCGTAGGTATGATCTTGCTGGTTCTTTACATGGATCTTGTATGTGTAGTAACCGGTGCTCGACAGAATAGTGCTTCTGAGATTCAGTCGCTCAGTTATCTTACTGGAAATACTAGCAATCTATAACTAAACAAATAATATTCCTTACCGCTGTTAAGGTCTCATCATTCGTTGCAGTGAAGCTATCAACATTGATTATGGTGCAATCTCACCCACCTGCTACACCTCATGATCTTCATCAAGCCAACTCAGTACATACCCACTTGACGTTCTCGAGAGCATAAATGTTGAATTCGTGGTGCTAGCTACATCTCTATTCAAATCGTCACCGACCAGAGTCCATGATTACCTTCGAGCAGGAGCGATATCGGCCAAAATACCCCGACAAGCCATATCAGACCCATGACAGCCAGCCGATCCACCCGCTCACTCACACTTCACCAAAAGCCGCTGGAGATACTCCGCGTCCACAGCGTAACAGGTGTGCTCATCGGTCACGTCGTAGGTAGCATAGAGTCCACTGATGCAGTCATCTTCCTGCGAGGTGTAGGTGTAGAGCACGGGCGACTTGGTGGCGTCGCTGCAGGTGCCGCTGGAGAGGTAGGGCGCGATGGATTCCCAGGGGTACCCCTCGATGCCAAAGCAGGAGTTCTCGTATATGCTGTAGGTGACGGTGGGAGTGGTTGAGCAGGTGTCGTTGGTGAAGTAGAAGTCGATGGAGACCTGCGCCAGGGCCGTGGCTGTGACGGCGGTGGAGAGGAGGGTTAGAGCCTGTGCAAGGTGTTAATGCATGTACTTTACTGAGAATAGGTCTGGGGATAGGGGTATTCTGACGGTGAGTTGCATGGTGGAGTGCCTGTGCTTGCGCGGTGAACTGGTTGGAAATGAGGTGAGGAGGCAGAGGGCTTGTTGGCTTGGTTTCTTGCACTGAGCCCGGGAATGAGGCTCCTTTTATAGTTCTCAGTGATAGTACTTATCCCTAAACGCCATCCTATCTCTCCGCAGATTCTCTACATCAATTCCGTCCGTCGTCGGAGTCCGACGCATCGCGCAGTCAAACGAAAGTCTCCGAGTCAAGTCGAGAAAGGCTTTGATTCGTTGCCTGGCGAGATATGATTAGTGAACTGCAGCCGGACTCCACATAGTTTTCTTCATCCCGGTCAGCTTCATCCCGAAGCAACCTCGTGGCTGCTCGTATGCGTAAGCGTCGGGCGCCCCGAGCAGACGGAGATCCTGAAGAAGAATAGTAACACCAACCATAGCTTGACCCCGAGTCATCAGGGACCAGTGTTGGTGTTCTGTGCTCTGTAAGCACGGAAACTCGTGTAGCAAACATGAGTACCCCGTGGAATCCGCCAACGTCAGCGGGTGCGGGTAAGCAAGGGTTCTGCACGGACTAGACCGCTAGCGTGGGATTGAGGCTCCACTATCACGATGGCTTACTTGCATGTCTAGTTCACGACAGAAGCAGGAATGATTCGCAAGTTCACAGAAAAACAAAAGCAAGGGGCGGGGATCTGCTTTCTCATTCCAATATTCTTGTCAAGTTGTTGGAGTTTCAGTCTAGTGGGTCAAGATCTGAATGATATTGCATGTGTTGTTTGCATTGCCTAGGAGGTGTTGAGCAGGCACTGCAAGAGGCTGAAAAGCTAATGCAAGAAAGGGAGGATAATGATCAAATGTATTGTTAGGTTCGTCGAAGCATTGCTGATACCTGCTGGTTGCCAGTGGGTGAGAAACGACTCGAAAGACGGGGAAACGCAAGACATCATACCGGGCCAGCAGGGCTATATATCACTGGGTTATTGGCTGGATAGAAGCCCGTTGTGACGTCGCTCAGGGCTTTGAGCGAGCTCGCTGCAGTTCAAGCTCGGGACTAGGTACGGCACAATCACGAGCTACAACCATTTGATACTCGATGACTGCTTGGTGCAGGTCAAAAAAACAGATTATGGAAAAAAAGCCTCACTGTCACACAAATAGCGATTATGACAGAACGTAATGAAGCATTAACGCCAGTACTGCTGCCGCAGTATACACACAGCCTTTTCTCCTCAGTGCCTGTTACGGAGTAGAGTTCAGTTTGTATGCAGTAGAACGGACAACCCAAACGATGCATATGACACCTATATTCGATGCAGATGCGACGAACGATAGGTAACTACGGAGTATTATCGCCATATACTCCGTACGGCCTGTCGATTGGACTGACAACGGGCCCCCGAGGTTGGACATTGCTAACAATCATGCGTAAAGGGACCCTTCTTCTAAAGTACCTGAAAGCCATTGATTTGGTCAGAGAATGCTCATGGCTTAAAAGGATTGGCAGGCAGAGATGGCGGAAATGATGGCACTTGCGCAAGACGTTGTCAATACCACGTAGAGATCTCAAGAACTTGCCAGAATCGACTACGCGAGTAAAAGGAATTTTTCGCAGAATAGTTCATTGACATGCTCTGTCGTTTTCTTAGGATGAGTGAGATTTTTAAGACCCACCTTTTCAGATGCGTATGACACCGTCTATTTACCCGAAGAGGCAAGCGGGCGATCGTCACATCCAGCATAGCTAACGAAAAGTTGTGGCTGGCCGCACAGCTGCCCCGTGCGGGATATTCGAGCTCAGCGTGATTATTACCCTTTGGTGACGGCCACTGCATTCTATACTCTCTATGACCACAGTTGAGTGTGTGACATTGCTCCCGTCCCGTTTGGGCAATATCTGGAAGGAATGGGGCGGGCCGAAGCGTTAATTTCCCGAGCGTCGGAAGTATACGGCATGCTGTGTACGGAGTATGTACTATGTAGGTATCCGTGGTATTCGATAAGATACCCATTGTCATGACTCGTGAAACGTTAATTTCATGCAGAACCTTCCCCTGCAGCTTTGTGTAACCCTGGAATGCGGTAGACGGCAGTTGGCCATCGCCATCTTGGCATCGTGTTTCAAATGTGGCTAAGCGAACGCCTCCGGCGGTTCCGGCATCTCGGTTACAGGATATCAGGATTCGGCCCATCCCGATCGTCCATTGTTGGGGAAAGCCAAGAACCACGAGTCAGGGCGGCCAGTGCAGGGACAATAGTATTGCAGAATTTGAGAGCATGATTCGTTCCCGCATTCAACTGTGATCTCGCTTAGCTGCTCAGGATCTTCGTCTGAGCGTTCCTGTTTCATGTCAACATCTGCTGGATACGTTCGATCAAGGGACAATGGCTGAGAGTGAAGACTTTGCTGAGGAGCATCATCCATTTGAGCAACATAAATAGCTTACAACTCACTACAGAATGCCATGCTATTCATCAACAAACAATCCATTCTCTTCTCCACAGGCTAGTCCTTCTGTCATTCTTTACTCCGTTTTGTGTAAGTTGTGCCTGTGGCAAACGACTTGCCGTTCACTCATTACCATCGCGTCAATTGTCCGGAACAAACTTGACTTAGACAACTCATCTTTCTTTTCTTATTTCATCCAACATGTTCTATCAACCCAGTCTCATTGCCGCCTCGGTGCTTTTCGCCTCGGCTCGCGCCCACATGATTATGAGCCACCCGGTCCCTTATGGCAAATCCACCCTCAACAATTCCCCCTTGGCTGCGGATGGTAGTGACTTCCCTTGCAAGCTGCGCGACGGAGTGTATGACTGGCCCTCTGCCGATGAGATGAACTACTTCGAACCCGGAGTGTCTCAGGTCTTGAACTTCACCGGTATCGCGGTTCACGGCGGTGGTTCCTGCCAGGTGAGCTTGACCACCGACATGCAGCCCTCCAAAAGTACCGTCTGGCAGGTCATCAAGTCTTTCGAAGGCGGCTGTCCGGCCAACGTCGACGGCAACCTGAGCGGCGATGCCTCGACTCCCGACCCGTATCAGTTCAACTTCACCATCCCGGCTGAGTTCTCCGCTGGTAACTACACGCTGGCTTGGACCTGGTTCAACCGCGTCGGAGCCCGCGAAATGTACATGAACTGTGCGCCCATCACTGTCGTCGAGAGCACGGCCCAGAAGCGTTCCGTCGAGAAGCGCAGCACCTACCCCGACCTCTTCGTCGCCAACATCAACGGCTGCACCACCACGGAGGGCGTGGATATCCGCTTCCCTAACCCGGGTGATGTGATTGAATATGATGGAGAGTCATCCCGTCTCGCCGCCACGGATGCTGCTGCTTGCACTGGCGTGTCTACCGCGTGGGGAGGCAGCTCTACCACCGCGGCTGCATCGGCTACTACCACCACGACCACTACTCCCGTAGAAATTACCGCCACTGCCCCAATCGTGGCTGTCGAGACGACTTCAGCAGCTACTGACACCGCTGTCCTCACGACCGCCGCCGCCCCTACCGCTACTACGCTCCCCGGCCGCCCCAATGGACACCAGCAAAACGCCGTTGCGACCACCTCGACTTCCACCTCCAGCTCTAGCACTTCCACCAGCAGTGCTCTGTCCGGTGTTTTGAATGGCGCCTGCAGCCCCGAGGGGTCCTGGTGGTGCAACGCGGGCACTTCCTTCCATCGCTGCGCCAACGGAGTCTGGACTCCGTCGCAGGACATGGCCATCGGAACAGTCTGCACAGCGGGCCAGTCGTCCGATCTGACCATTTCCCTTGCTAAAAGCCGTCGGGACGAGCAGCGCATGCGCCGTCGTCAGGTTGTCTAAACAATCAGACCAACACGAGGTATATTAGTCGATCTTCTTGAGTCTGTTGAACAGGAAACCAAGGGTACTAGAGGTCGGAACCAGAGCCAGTCGAACCTGAGATTGTCCCAGAGGAATGACGAGACCAGGGTTCTAGCGATGCTGGAATGATGGGCAGATGAACAAGCAGATGCTGGAGAGAGACCAGGAGGAAGTGGGAGAGTACCTATGCGCATGCACTCTCTCTGTGTCTCTCTCTTTCGTCTGTTTTGCTTTCGTTCTTCTATCCTTCTATGACTACTGTATTTACTTCTTGATCCTCAGCAGGATCAGATATAATAACAAGTTAGTTTAGCAAGATTTCATTCGAAGGTTGACGTTCAGAGCCAACTAGTGTCTTCGTCTTGGATCTAACCTCTGCATTTGCAGGCAGCCGCCAATGACGGTAGAGGAATAAAGCGACCGGAAGTGAATGTTGCTCACTTTGATTGTCTGGGGCTTAGCGTACTTCAAACAATCAGATTGAGATGTTCGAATGGTTTGTTCGTTGTCTTCTTTGTTGGTTGAGGTGAAGCGGTGCCGTGCCCTAACTCCGATTTAGTATGGCTAGTTGGACGGCTCCCTACCCAGAACAACCACTGCGTAAGCCCTGGAATACAGCCTTCCCGGGGAGATATCCCTTCTTTTCAACTTCCTGAGCATAAAGCGCTCCCGGGGGAGAACCCCCGGACCCCCCTTTTCTTTCAGCTTCCTGGTAAGCCTCATTTGTCTTGACTGGATCGACTTTACTCTCCCCACCCAGCTGCCGTATTTACTGACTCCCGATCAATCTTCCTCTTGCTGTTATGTCAATAACCGCAGAGAAATCCTTTTACCGTGGTGTAAGACGTATACAACTGAAACACTGAACCCCCCAAATCATGATTCTCAAGCAGGCACACCTCCAGCCCAGACCACGACCACCCCATTCACCCATGCTCAATGACCATGTCTATGTCCAGCTCAAAGGTTATTCAACACAGCAGAGCCCATTCATCCAACAAACGTCCACAACTCTTTGTCTCACTCGACAAAGAACCGCCTCCCACCGGGCAGGAAACCCACCTATAAATGACCATCAACACCAACCTACCGCGACAACACCAGGCCGGACTGACCGCGCTCCACGTCCATCAACGACTCCGGTAGACAGATTCCAGGTGCAAACCCCCAAGTCTCTACGAGTGTTTCCGACTCGCAATGGAGACTCCTCGCAGCGTGTTACTGACCGACTTGCCGCCGGAGCTGATCCTGCTCTGCGCGGAGTACCTCCCCCCGCCAGATGCATTCAGGCTCTCACTAACAAGCAAGGAGTTGCGCGGGCTGTTGACGAACCTGCTGGGGGAAATGCGCGAGTGCGGGCTAGCGGGGGCCAAGCACTACCGGCTGCGGACGTATCTCTGCACGGAGGCCGGGCGGGAGGGCCATCCCCGTCGACGGTCGGACAGGGTCTCGCGGGCGCTGCCGCGCCAGCCGCTGGTGGAGGCGGTGCGGACGGGGCAGGTGGTCGTCGTCGAGAAGGCGCTCCTGCGTTTCCAGCAGGACCCGAACAGCTACGACCTGGCCGCGAAGCCGCTGCTTCACAGTGCGGTGCTGTATCGGCGGCTGGACATCGCGCGCCTGCTTCTGCAGCACGGGGCCGACCCGAATGTCACCTCGGAGCACGGGCGGACGGCGCTGGATTGCTGGACGAGTCTGGTCGAGGGGAAGAACGTCAGCGAACGGATCCCCATGCTGGAGTTGCTGCTGGCGCACGGGGCGAAGCCTGCGCAGCCGGGGTTGTTGAACGAGGCGGTGCGACGGCTGCCGTTGGGGCTCGAGCTGACACGCCGGGTGGTGCAGGTTATATACGACAATATGGAGGATCTCAATGATCTGTTCGGCCCGAGTCTGTTCCTCCGTAAGACTCTCAAGTTCGCCACGCTGGACTACGTGCGCACGCTGGTGACCCTGTGGCCGAATCTGTTGGAGCGGCGGTTTTATGATGGGGGCTGTCTGGCGGCGTGGGCCGCCCACTATGGCCGAGTCGATATCGTCGCGTATGTCCAGTCGATATGGGGGTTGTCGTCCCTAGAACCTGACGTGGAACCTGACGTAGAACTGGACGCTGACTTGTGATGCCAGCCTGTGCTAGACCACGCGGGTGGAGGTAAGTGCCCTTGCATAGCCGATCTATACTCAGTATACCCAGTAGTAAATGGAATGATGCAACTCGAGCACCATATATACATACACTCGCATTCGCCTGAACTACCTCCTATACACCGTACCATATCTCTCGACTCCTAATCAAAAACCCTCATCCCCACGAAATCCGCCCCCCAACTCACCACCCCCTCCGCACCCCCGACATTCCCCACGACAACCTCATTTGCCCCCTCTTTCCACCCATCGACACTCACCCCCAGCGTCGCCGTATCCCACCACCCCAACCCCGGCCCAAACAACTCACTATGGCGTCCACTCAACGGCACCTCCAGCCTGACGGGCACCCCCCCATTCACACTAATCGTCAGATTCCTTGCATTCCGCCCCTCCTCCCAGGCGGACTCGAAGGCGATGTCGTTGTTGATGTAATCCAGTTCCACGTATTTCGTTCCCCCGGTTGACACGGCGATGGTGTGCGTGGCGAGGCCGGTCTCGGAGAGGTAGCCGATTTTGCTGCCGACGGGGAGACAGAAGCCCTCGGCGCAGGGGGTTAGGGTTGCTGAGCCGGAGAGGGTGAAGGTGGTGGAAGGGTGGTAGGTGCCGGTTGGGGGGGTGAGGTGGATCGTGGTTATATTGAGTTGGGAGGGGTGGTGGATGGTGAGGGCTGTGGTTGCCACGTCGAGGACGATGGGAGTGGTGAGGGTTGTGGTTTGGCTGGGGATGGTCAGGGTGGTTGCCATGCTGTTGTTCCCTGTGTCGATGCGGATGGCGGTGGCAGTGGACACCGGGCGGGCGAGGGTGAGCGTGAGAGTGTAGTTGTTGCTGGTGGTGAGGGCGTAGATGGGGGAGAAGGTGGTGGAGTTGCTGCAGTTGATGATTATTAGTTGCTTATGCCATCATACACCAACCACCATCCCCCACCATCCCCATTCCTAACCAGACAGCAGGATGAAGACGACAAAAAATAAGGAGAAAGGCTCACTCACCCTTTCGTCTCCGCGAACCACTCCCTCCGATACTCCCCGCGCGGCTGCGTCGCCCCCAACTCCAGCAACATCGTCCCATGCCCCGGGACCGTCGCCGTATACCGCGTCCTGACCCCCTCATCCGCCACGCTGCTCCCCTCTGCCCACACATTCCTCACGTTCCCCGCAAATTGTAGCCCGATATCCGGCAGCTCGAGCGTTAACGCCCGCGACTCATTCCACCAATTCACCAGCGCCGCCACCGTCCTCCCCCCGGCCAACGGCCCACTCCACACCTCATAGCCTGCCTCCGACCACCTCCGCCGCAGCCGTGCGCTCTTCCCCAGACGATCCTGGTTAAACGCAATCACGTCCGCCTGCATCAGCACCGCCAGCGACGCCTCGCTCGCCTCCCGCAGCGCCGCCCCGATGACCAGCGGGCTTTTGAGGATCCCCCACAGCGAGAAGTGGGTCTGCTCCTCCGCGACCGACAGCACCCCGTTCCCCACCTCCAGCATGTCGAGGTCCGGCCACTGCCCGGGGCCCGCGACGTCCGTCTGCGGCGCCGCTTGGTTGATGATCCGGTAGATGCTGCGCCACGCGGGGAGGATGTCGTTGCCGATCCGCCAGGTGTGGCCCAGCGCGGGCGCCCACCGCGCAGGGAAGTCGACGCCCCAGTCGCAGATCTGGAAGAGGACGGTGCGGTTGAGGGCGGCCAGCGCGCGGGACATGGTGGCGTAGTGCGGGGCCGGGGAGGTGGTGGGCGCGTAGTTGACGTCGGGGTAATTGGTGGCGGCGTCGGAGTAGCAGTTGTCATCTGTTTCTGTTAGTCTTTCTCGCTTTCTGCTTGTTCTGCTTGGATTGTTTGGGGGAAGGAACATTTGAGGGCGTCGATCTTCCACGCGGCGAATGTCGCGGCATCTTGGGTTTCGTGGTCTGCGTGTGAGAACTACAAGTCAGCACTGATGTCCAATGGGGATCGCGGTAGAAACAGCGGTGCTGATTGCAGTGCAAGGCAGGTCGGATACAGCGAAAGTAAAGGGGTGACCTACACAAATTGCCCGTATTATTGGGCGGACTCCCACACAACAAGATCCCCGCGTCCCCATACACCCCGAACAATAGCCCTAATTCATGGAGATACTCCCCCAGCGCGGGGAACCCCTGCGGAAATAAGGTCGCATTCCACGTCAAACTCCCATCGGGCAGCCGGTCCGCCACTGACCAGCCGCAGTCGGTGGTCACGTAGCGGTAGCCCAGCTTGTCGAGCCCTAATTCCACCAGCGCCTGGGCGTTGGTCCGCACAATCGTCTCGTTCGGGTAGCAGTTGTAGTGATTGTAGGTGTTCCATCTGGCACGCACGCTTGGCTTTTAGCTGGAGAGTCGCAGATACAAAACTAGGTAGTTATGCGAGGGAGACTCCTACCCCATTGGTGGCGTTTGGGCCAATCCATCTTGCAGTCGGGGGTGCAGTGAGGAAGCGGCTGCTGCAGCTGCACTCGCAACCCCCAGGAGCGAGACAATGATCGGTGCAGACATGGCGGGTTCTGAGTCTGGGGGTTTGAGTCTGGGGGTGCTTTGTGTGCAATGCGGAGTCATTGGCCATTTATAACCGCATAGTGCATGGTACAATATGAGGGGAAGCAGGGGGGATGCGCCAAGCTAATTAGCCGAGGGGCTGCAATTGAGGCCATCCCCGCGCATTCGTTATTTACCCGGACCTGCAGCAGAGATTGAGGGGAAATTGACATCGTCGCATGCAGGACAGAATGAGTATCGACATGGATTCCACCAGTAAGCGCGCACAGTCCTGGTCGCGATGACGCGAGTGTGTGACGATAACTGCATGCACCGAACCACAGTGTCTATCAAGTTCTTCACAGCAAGTGACAGGATTCATGGCTGAATTAATCATTTGTCGGTATGTGCAGCTCAGTAGCGATTCCTGTCTGCACACCAAATTGTTGACAAGCACAAATCCACCAGCCAGATGGATTGAACCGCAAAAATGCATGACTTGCAGCGAAATGCGATCATGGTCTGCATGCTATAGGATCATGGCAGAGTCCGAGGCCCTGCCTTCACAGCTGCGAAAGATCGAAGCTGAACCTATCGATAGACAAATCATCGATCGGAGACCACTTGATCGCTGCATCTGCAGGACAATAGCACATGCAGGCCATCCACCACGTCAACCTCACACCGCAACTTCCTGTCCAGCTCCGCATTTGTAGCCCTATTCCATGCATTTGAGTTGCAACGAACGTCGTAACTCCAGCTACTACATCTAACCTCACATCCACCGTTGATTCCAGCCGTATCCATTGTGTTCCAACTACCCAACCCCGCTCCAATCAACCCGCAAAATGACCAAACACCTCACAATAGCCCTCATCTACGAAGAACCCTCCGACTACCACAATCATGGGCACAGCCCCGCCGCCATCGCTCACCTAGAAGTCGGCGCCGCCGCTCCTGCCATCGCCGCCGCCCTGCAGTCCCGCGGCCACACCGTGCTCCGCATTCCCAGTATCCACGCGCTGGTCGCCCGCCTCGCCACGCACGAAGCGCAGAGCTGGGACCTGGCCTTTGACATTACGGAAGGGGTGTACGGCCCCGCGCGGGAGGCGCAGGTGGCAGCCATGCTGGAGGCGTACCAAGTGCCACGCACATTCTCGGACGCGGCGACCATGGCGCTGTGCTTAGACAAGGGACGCACGAAGATGGTGCTGGAGCATTTCGGGGTTCCGACAGCGCCGTTCGCGGTGGTGCACTTCGACGAAGCCGACCCTCAGAGGGAGCTGACGGAAGAAGAGATCGTGAGCATGATGCACGCCTCGAGACATGCGAAGACACTCCTCGCAAACTACCCCTTATTTGCTAAGCCATTGGCGGAGGGGTCGTCAAAGGGAATCGCTGTGGCTAATAAGATCTTGTCGGCGGAGCAGTTGGCGCCCGTGGTGAATGCCCTTCGCGCGTCCAGTCCCTCGTCCTTAGGAGTTATGGTCGAAATGTATCTTCCCGGGCGGGAATTCACGGTCGGCATTGCAGGAACAGGCGCCGATGCCTGGGTGGTTGGCGTGGACGAGATCGTTTGGCGCAAGGACGCGTCAGCGAAACCTGCAATTCACTTCACGACGGAAAAGTCCAAGTCTTCGGACGATTGGAATGGAGAGGCGGATGAGATCAAGGTCTCTCGTGAAGACAAAGAGGCGGACTTGGCATGTCACACTGCTTTACGGGCTTGGAGGGCTTTGCGATGTCGCGATGGAGGCAGGGTGGATGTCCGCATGGACGCGTCGGGAATCGCTCATATCATGGAGGTCAGTCCCCTTCTCACAGGGTGGTTCGCGCTGCTAACGCTGACAGATCAATCCGCTGGCCGGGTTGCTCCCTCGCTGGTCTCAATTGCCGCTGATTGCGGAGCATAATGGTGTTACGTACGATGAGTTGATCAACCATGTGGTGCAGAGTGCACTCGAGCGGAGGTCACCAAAGACGGTGTGAAGATGTAGACAGCAGTCATAGCAGGCAGTCAAGTATACACAAGATCCAAAAGCATCTTAGACAGCCACAACTCGACCATCATGAGCCAAATGCTCAATAATCAGCCCTCATTAATCTAACTCTTTTACCGATCTTTTACCGGCATCATCCGATCCTTCCGCAACTTCTCCTTCCTTCCGATGCGAATCACCCCGTTTTTTCACCCCCATCCAGTCATCAATCGGCTGCGGCAGATACCGATGTTCCGCCCAACAGCACATGGACCAGAAGCTCTCCCCAGTTTCTTTGTAGAACGCAATCGAGACAGAAATACATCCTCGGGCCGCTCGGTCCAAAGGTCTTCATCTCGAACGGCGGGTCCATGCAGGGTCCATTGCAGGTGGTTCCGTTTATGACTTCGATTGTGTCTTGAAATGCGGAGATATCAGGAATCGCGGGGTGGGTCTTTGTCAACGAGGCGGTTGAGATGGACTCTGTATCACTGGTATGGCCGATGGCTTCTGATTCTTGATACGAACTATTTACAGCAGGATGCTCTCCACTCTTCTGCGTGCTTGGCGCCACGGTCAGGCTGGATACCTCGATCTGGGGGTCAGCAGACTCTGCTCGCTTGGACGGACGCGATGTGGCCGATGTTTGATTGCTTTCCGATCCTTGACTTTCAGACACAGTGCTAGCTACGGGATCCGCAGTTAGCTCGTTGTTTCCCGCGGTCGGACTTGGCGTGGCAGCCGCCATTCCGGGTTTAAGAGTTGATTTCGTGTCCGACATGGTGCAACACGGCTAGGCGGTCATGCGATGGAGAGAGGGGTGCTCGCGCGCGACCGGGGAAAGGGGGAAGGGAGGAGCGAGATAAGGGATGGGGGGGGACAATGGCGGGGCACAAGCATATTGTTCCTGCGAGCTGAAGAGTTCTGATTCCTGCTCCTGATTATGATGTGTTAGTGTCAGGTGGTGACTCGGGCAGACGAGGCTGAGATAGTGCTAACCATTCTTAATGTGCGGGTCTCCGGGAGATTCCTCCCCCGCGCGATCGGACAGGCTGAAGCAATCAGCCACGGGCACGGCCTGACGCGCCTGACGGGATGGATACGGGGCTGCGGAGCATTGGTGAAGAGCTTGTGCAGTCTGCAGTGTCGAGCGAGGTGAGAATAATCCTTTGGCCGTGGCATACGAGGGTTGCTGTTGCTGAAGGCGGGGGAGCATGAGACGATAACGTCGAGACGATAACGTCGCGTCGATATCTGGGGAAGATCGAGAGTCTGGATTTGGGTCGGTGGGGATTGGCGGGAGAAGGTGGATCCGTCATCCGGTGGGCTGATGCCTGGCTGCCTGATTTACCCCCAAAAGTGACAAGATCACATGACCAGTAAACAGCCCAGTTGACCGCCTCGAGTCGCCGCCCGGAAGTAAAGGATCTTTCCTGCCGTGTCAACCCAGCAGAAAAAAACTTTCCCATCTCTCTCGACCCAGGCCTGGCCGAGCAGACACTCCCTCAACTTTTGCCACGGTGAATTTTCTTGTCTGTCATTCCCAACTGTGCTGAGCAACACCCACCCACCAATTCATTTCACTTCCTCATCTCCGCACTTCATGGCCACGATGCAGACCGTTGTTCACAAGACGGGCGGCGCATCTGGGGAACCGCTTCCGCCGACACTTCCGGCCGACCCCGTCCCCGATCGAGTCAACACGTCCAGCCTGGGATCATGGTCTCATTTGATCGCCGGCGCGTGAGTGTTTCTGTGTGACTTGTCTCTTGGGATTCCAGCTCATACAATCTAGGACCGGCGGGATGGTAACCGCCGTCGTGACGAGTCCGCTTGATGTTCTCCGCACTCGGTAAGCGCCATCACCTCTGCTTCACTATCACCCCCAGCTAATCGCCCTTTGCCGGCAGCCTGCAAACCGACTACTATCAGACCTCCTCCAACACGCGCCTGACGCCGCACCCCAACCAAATACGACAATCGTTCGTCCGCTCCTCCGTCAACCACTTCCGCGAAACCTTCGGCATTCTGTTCTCGATCCACCGCGTGGAAGGGTGGCGCGGCATGTTCAAGGGCCTAGGCCCCAGCCTGACGGGCGTCGTGCCGGCCAGCGCGGTCAAGTTCTACACATACGGGAACTGCAAGCGGCTGCTGCCGGAGCTGCTGGGGTGCGACAAGGACACGACGCTGGTGCACGCGATGTCGGCGGCGTGCGCGGGCATCGCGACGGGCAGCGCGACTAACCCGATCTGGGTCGTCAAGACGCGGCTGCAGCTGGACAAGGCGGGCGCGCGCCGGTACAAGAACAGTCTGGACTGCACGCAGCAGATCCTGCGCCACGAGGGGCCCAAGGGGCTGTACCGTGGGCTGACGGCGAGCTATCTGGGGACGATCGAGACGACACTGCATCTGGCCATGTACGAGCGCATCAAGGGGCTGATTGCGCAGAAGGTCGATCTGGAGGGCGCGGGGCCGGAGTCGAGCCAGTTCGTGCAGGGGCTCGCGCTGAGTGGAGCCTCGGGGTTGTCGAAGATGGTGGCGTGTTTGATCGCCTATCCTCACGAGGTAAGTTGTTTTTGGAGAGGAGTAGCTGGACGAGCATACTGACGCGTCTAGGTCATCCGCACTCGTCTGCGACAGGCGCCCATGGCGGACGGTCGGCAGAAGTACACCAGCATCCTGCAGTGCGCGCGGCTGATCCTGAAGGAGGAGGGGGTGATCGCGCTGTACGGCGGGTTGACGGCGCATCTGCTCCGGACGGTTCCGTCGGCGGCGATCACGATCGGGACGTATGAGCTGGTTCTCAAGGTCCTTGAGAGACAATAAAATGGTTGTGTTTTGTATGATAGTGTATGATGTTCGAAAAAGTGGGCGCATAGATACCCTGTAATCGAGTCGGGTAATTGTACAGGCCACACGGTTCGGGTTTGCTTGAGATGGGAGTTTGGGTTCAGCGCGTTGATTTGGTGCATGGGTAGCCTCTCCGAAATATATTATTATCCGATAGACAACGATTCGAGCGATGAAGGTGGTGAATAATGAGCTACAACTGATTGATAGTGTCTTTTTACTTCCACTAATCTTCTACCGTTTGCTGCACTATCTCCTTTCTACTGGAGTACAACAGTATGCAAAACTACGTATAAATCCATACTCATCACGTGAATCTGTTGATTTGTGCTGGTGTTGGCCATCCGACCAGGTTCCTCCCATCATACAATCCCACATCAACCACTCTCCCTAGACTCGGCACGAATAGTCCAAGTCAAGCCATGATCACCCCTACAAAGTATACATACACCCATCTCAACCGGATGAAGCAACTAGTACAGCTCTACACCCCACAAGTTGAACTCAAGACTCACACAATAGGAAAACATGGCATTAACTCATTCATATACATAACACTCAATTAAAAGGATGGTATCAAATCAACCCCCGCCACTAAACATCCAACTTATCCTATCCCATCATGAAACCCGCTCGTTCAACAAACATCATCATCATGCATCAACTTATCCACTACCACGAACCCCTTACAAAGCAGCCATCACACCCAACACACCCGCAACACCCGCCACACCATATCCGAGCACACCGGCTGGGGTGGCGACGGCACCGGCCGCACCAGTGGACGAGCTCGACGCAGCGGAAGCAGAGGAGGCGGCGTTGCTCACCGTGCTGGTGGAAGTGGTGGTGCCGGTGGAGGTGGTGCCGTCGTGGGTGGTGGTGAAGGTCGACGTGGCGACCGTCAGACTGTCGGAGATGGTGGAGGTGCCCGTGGCGGAGCCGGCGGAGTTGGTCAGGGTGGTGGTGGAGGCGGCCCAGCGGGAGGAGGCATCGGAGGCCACCGAGGAGGCGGCGGAGCGGGCGTCGCTGGCGACGCTGGTCGCCTCGGAGGCGATGCTCGAGGCGAGGCTGGTCACGTCGGAGGCACCGGCGGCGCCCGCGGTGGAGGCGGCGCTGGCCAGGGAGGTGGCGACGGACTCAGCGCCGGAGACGACGTCGGAGACGACGCCGCCCTGAGGGGAGGCCAGGGCGGCGGTGGAGAGGAGGGTGGTCAGGAGGAGGTTCTGGAGCTGCATTTTGTTGGTGGTGATGGTGGTGATAACTGGAAGATAGGCTGGTGATAGCGATAACTGTAATGCAGTGGTGCCTGACCGGAGGAGGAGTATGTATGTGTGACTGTTTATGTGTGACTTGATGAAGATCGAGGAGATAGACAGGTACCGGCTGGCGAGGATTAAGGGCTTTTTATATCCTGCTTGCCACTGCGACTACTGCAGTGGGTAGGGGACAATGCAATAATGCCACAGGGCAGGGCAGAACAAAACACACACCCAGTACCTGTCGACGACAAGAATAGCACTCTTTCCCCCACGTTGACCCCGTCTTCTACGAATCAGGGCTGCCGTGGAGATGGGCTCGACCAGTCACGCCGGGGTAGACGCGGCCCAGGCTCCACTATGATTCTATCGTGTTCCTGTTTTCCCTGCTTGGCATGACGTTGCTGGTGTTCTGGATTTTGGGTTGGGAGGATTCCTCGTCATCATCATTGGAGTACCAGGGAAGGCCGTAGTATGGAATAGGAGTACTCCATACCGTGTACTGAGCAATGAGCAGTGAGCAGTGTTTGGTGGTGTGGCGGTACAGTGTGGCGTTGCCTCCGTTCTCATGAATGAGAGGAAACTCTCTTCTACAACTCCAAAAGTAGTCACTATGATCGCTACCTACCATTCCTTCTGTATCTATCTATCTCGCCACTCAGGCACCAGCATTGCCCTCCGTGTGTAACCATCCCTCCTAACTGGTGCTGAGCCACGTCGCGCTGCGCTCCAACTCCCAAACTCCCTCATGCAGGGCGGGATGCGTCATCCACGGTCGGACGGCACGCCCGGGCCGCGCAGATGAGGATCGTCAGATTGGCTGGGGTTTGCGTAATCCTGATGCAGGGTAAGCAGAGGTGATCGTGCCCGGCAGTTTACCGAAGATTAATTTCCTGCACTTCTTGCTACTGGCTCGTCCAGAAGACCACTATATAGTAGTTAGTGGTGATAGTGATCGTGATAACCAGGGTGCTGGACCCTGTTTTTGACCTCTCGCAAAGAGGGTCTCTGGGTCTCATTGGCAGAAAAAAAAGGGGGGCAGAATCATCCGGGGTGGATTTCCTGCTTCCCATAAGGCTGAGAGGGAGGCTGCAGTGCTTAACTAGCGCAATAGTTACAGAGTTATGTAACAATAGTCTGTACTGTGCACTCCGCACACACTGCACAGTTGTAGCCTCACCGAAATGTCTCGAAGCTTCCCCCAACACCCAACAGTCTTCCCCAGACCAGCCACTCAGACCAGCCACTCCTGAGGTATAGACTCAATCTGGAGGCTGCAGGTCTCATCCGCCAACAAATCTGACCTCTGTGCGGAGTATGTATGTCGTGTCTAACAACCCAAACAAATTGACGTCAGTCGCGGCATTTCCAACCGAGTGGAGCAGCAAAGACCCCAACGACGATCTTTCCTCGACTGAGTATTCACGCATCGTTTAGTTGCTTCGCGCTTGGACACGCCCAGAGGACAGGGTTCTGGCCTAGATTTTGACGTCAACGGACGGGTGATGGGCTGGTTGGCTGTTGCGTGCTTACTCTGTACACCGTACGGAGTACTAACTACATAGGAGGTGTTTGTTAATCTTGGCGGGTTTCTGCTGGTGCTCGACTGGAGCCAAGGTGAAAGCTGTGTAAATCCAGTACTGTGTGGTAGCGATCAGTGCTGCAGGTCATACTGAACCACCTCCATCATTGCCACGCCAGGTACTGAACTCGCCACTGTGGACTGAGGGCTACTGCCAGGGGTACGGAGTACACTCGACCCTACACTGTGACCCAGTAGACCACAGAAATTCCATCCACATTAAGACCCAGGGTCCGACCTGCTCTGCATCCATAAGGCTGAAAGGAAGACCAGACCCGAACGTCTGCTCAAGTCTCAATCTGTCGTAATATTCAGTCTGTGTAGTAACTATTTGTAGTCACTGCGAACAGACAGATCTGAAAGTCACATGACCATCCTCGCCAACTCACCCATCATACGATCTTCGCTACTTAGACTAGTAGTCAATATCGCACGAAACATGCACCGTGTCTGTGCTCACAGTAGACAAGACACTCATTACCATTAATCATAACCACTGGTCTATCCAAAAACTATAACCCACCCCAGAATCTAGGCGCAGATGTATGCGTATGCATTATTTACAGGACCAAATCCGCTATGCACGACCATTCCACCCTACTCTCCACCGCCACCCCCAGGAAAAAATACTTTTAATGAGCCAGTTGCTATCGCATAATTAGCCAAGGTCACACCAAGGAAAAAGTAATGAAAAAAAAGGAACAAGAAGAAGAAGAAAGGTACTCACACTAGCCAACTTGCTCTTAGCCCGAATCTTCGGGCCATAGATGACCAAAACCCACGGGACGACGACGAGGACCGCGCCCTACCACCAGCAAATTAGCACGGTTCCTCGAATCGGACAGAAAACAGGATGGACATACAATGGCACCCAACAAACTCGATGCCGCAGGATACCCGAGATTCGTGAACAAGGCGTTCGTGACGAGCGGGAAGACTCCGCCCAGCAGATTCCGACCTACACATAACATCGTATACACTATCAGTAACCCGTTCCTCCCACCAGACAAGAAAGGGAAAGGGGGACCTACAACACGACTGCGCCGCAATCGCCGAACTTGCAAAGCGGTGGTACGTATCGGCCAGATAATTAAACACCGCCAGGTACACGGCGAAGATGCCCATGGTGGCGCACCCGATGGCCAGGGTGGGCGAAATCCACGCGATGGAGGAGTAGGAGGTCCAGCCGAACCAAAACAGACCCGCGGGCATGAGCACCGCCTCGACGCAGACGAAGTACAGCCGTGCCTCCGGGGTGTGCGGGAGGAGGTCGAAGCGGCGGGCGATTTTGTCTTGGTAGATGCTGATGATGGTGATGAGGAGGGAGCTGACGCATATTGCTAGTATTCGAGTGTCAGCTTGGATTGGGGTCAGGGTGGGGAGGGGAGGGGAGCATACAGGTGAAGACGGCACCGGTCTGCTCGATGTTGAAGCCGTGGTTGGTGCGGAAGACCAGCGGGATAGAGCCGAATTGCAGGTACAGGACGGCCCAGCTGAAGGAGACCCACAGGGAAAAGAAGAAGACAACGGGTTCGCTGACGAGCATGTCTAATCCCGGCGAATTAGCATCGGAGGGAAACCCGGAGGATCCAGCAAGGTGGCAGGCAGAGGTGCTTACGAAAAGGCCGATACACAGATATCCCAACCATCTTGGCCAGCGAGACGCGCTCCTCATCGCTCTTGACCCGCCAGCGGATGCGCCGCACCTTGCCCTCCTCCACAAGCACCCCAAAATGCCCCGCCGTCTCCAGTTGCTCGTAGTACCGGTTGATGGCCTGCGCCTTGCGACTCAGCAGCACACTGCCGCGCGTCTCCTTGAAGAACAGGAAGATGACCACGACGAAAAACGCCGCCACGATCGCGTGCGAGTAGTACACCCAGCGCCACGTCGTATGGTACACGATCGCGCTGGAGATCATCGGGGCCAGCCCCGTGCCGAACAGCGCCGCCCCGGAGAACAGCGCCATCGGGGTGTTGCGGTCCTCGGCGTGGTAGATGTCGCTGATCACGCCGCCCACCATCGTCGAGAAGGTCGATGCCCCGATCCCCTGCAGGATGCGCGCCACGAGGAGGCCGCCGAAGATGTGCGTGCCGCCGCATGCAAGGAGGGATGCTACGTACCAGTTAGCGGTGGATGGACGCTTGACCCAGAACCCCCAGATAATGTGTGATCCTCCAGGGAACGTACCAGTAAACAAGATGCCGCTGACCACGAAAATCGGGCGACGCCCGTTGATCTCGGAGAACGGGGCCAGCACCATGGGCGCGAGGGCGAACCCGATACAGAACACGGTGATCGTCAGGTTGTACACCACCGCGCCGACCCCCCATTCCTGGGTCAGAATGGTCGAGGCGGGGCTCACCTCACCGGCCGAGTATCCCGCTAGCGCAGTGACGGCGCAGGCGATCCAGGTCATCATCGATTTGCGCCATTTGGGCCACAGGAACGGGGAGATGTATTGCTCGAGGCTCGGGGGGTCGGGCGGGGGGGACTGGTTGGGGCCGGGCGGGAGAGTGATGCAGGGGGTCGGGAGCGGGGTGTCAAGCTCGAGGTAGCGATATTGAATCTCTTGCGTGGAGGGATCGAAGCTGTCAGGGCCTTTTTCGTCGGAGAGATAAACGTTGGGGGTGTTGGCGCCGGTCTCGGGCAGGAAGACGGTGTCGGTGGTCGACGAGCCCGAATCGTCGAGGGGAGCCCGCGGGGATCCCTCGTGGGAACCTTGAGGCATGTTGGGGTCTGTTCTATTTTTTTTTTTTTTTTCCAGGGCACGACAATCGAGGATGGGGGATCGATTCGAGGGGTCAGCACAGGTGTCGTCCTTCATCTCCCACCCTCTTCTCTGCAGCAGGGATGTGCAAGTGATTTAAAGAAGGATGCCAACGGTGCGAGTGGAGGAAACGTCGAATTGGAGAAATCCATCGGGTTGTTCTCCGAGAGCGCGAGATGAGGAGGTCCGGAGTTGGCCTCTCCCTCCGCTCCCTCGCTACCTCCATTGGATTTAATATGTATGATTGTCCAGTGGACTGCTTCTGCAGAGTCTTACGCATCTGTCGTGCCAATAGGTCTATATCTTGCTAATCTCTGCACGAAACCCTCCCTGGTCACGGCTTGAGGGCAGCACGAGAGTCGGTCGGTAACCGCCGACGCTGACGCCGTACGCGCAAAATTTGATCAGAATTGGAGATCCCCACTTTCTCCGAATTGGAGAACCGCAACTTGACTCACTCGGCCCTGCAGCCAATCGCATCCCTTCCTCTTGCCGGACTCCGGTCACTGTCATTGGACAGAGATTGATTGAATCCCCATGAGGTGATAACAGTGATAACAGTGAAGCTGCTGTACTAGTAAGTAGCTTTAACGCACTCTATGGCTTTGAGTCAGCACGCAAAAATCGATGCCTATTCAGGCTTGACATGGTGGGCTCGTCTGGAAGCGAAACAGAAGTATGAACTGTGTATCTCGGAATAGACCAGACTCAAGGGTGCGTCTACAAATCTGGATCATGGTTGAGTTCATGTCATGCGTAAGCATCCTCTATTTCGGGGGATAGGGTCACGGAGGAGCATGCGATTGACGATGAAATGCCGGCTGTGCCTTAGTAGTCGTGCTGGATGATTCCCACCACCTAGCATAAGCGCAGTCAATGATAAGAGTATCAGGGTCGCTGTTTGATTGTCACTCACCAGGAATCACCACGGTCGCAAATTGTCAGGTGGATTCACTTGCGGCGGTCCAGTCATACAGTGAAAGCTTGACATCTTGAAGACCGAGAAGTGCTTCGGATGCATTGCAATGCGCACCTAGGGATAACCCCAGTGCCCGGTGATTATGCAATATGGGCGGTGAAGAGACCAACAGCGATGCCACGACAACTGATGGACAGCTTCTTGGTCGCAATAGGTAAGACATCAGATAGAGACAGCCTGTTTGACCCTGAGAGGTCGGTGGAAGAGATATACAATCCAAGAAGCAAGACTGGCATGCGTATAATCAACAAGAGTAGACATCAGGGTGGCTATCCTCTATGGAACGATGAACCTGTTCGGACGCCATCAGCAGTCGGGACACCAGAGCTCGTGCATCGCCACTGCATGGAAGACTCCTCGACACGAGATATTCCTAGGATGCTGGATCCGATCTTTACTTCTACTCGATGAGCCAAGTGTAAGAGCAAAAACACTCATGGATGACCTCTATCAACGGCCCGGATCCGGCACGTACCACGATGGGCGGCCACAGGTAGACAAACCCCTGGCGCACACATATCCTAGTAATATAGCGCTGCAGCATGTACACCTCCAGAGACCGCCCTGTTGACTCTGCACAGCCGACTCCCAATCGAGTTCACTGGCACAAACAGCGTCAGGGGCTCGCTCGGGCCAGCCATGGCCATGTGCTTGGAACTATTTCCAACGGTCGCCTCACTATTTCCTTGGGATTCTGGAAGCTCATAGCCATCCTCCATGTCGAGCTCAGAACCTGCTATGCTGAGACAAGATGCAGTCATCTGACTCACTTGGCCGTACGCCGGAGGCACTCGTGCAGAAAGGGTCAGACCAGTTCCGGAATGGGTCTGCCAATGGTCGAGGGTTCACCAATCCATGTCGTTCAATCTTGCCCGCGAGAGACGCCAGAAGGGAGACAGGAAGAAGCCCTGAGTGAGCACCCTGAACAACACCCCCAATGCCAACATCGACCTAACCTGTCCCAAAGTATAGAGCTGAACCAGCATGCAATCAAAAATATCTGCCCGACGTTGCCGGAGTGGTTCTGCATAAAGCGAGGCCAATTTGCAAGGGCGCGGGCGGAGATGGTCATTGTTTCACTCTGTAGTCAAATTGACCCGCCAAGACCTGCAGCGCCCCACGAGACAATGATGCTATTTCTGGTGTCGACCGGCAGATCCGGTGGGTTGCAGAATGCGCCGAATGTGTAGATTGAGTGAGCTGTATCATGTCTGCGTGAAGGTGTGCTTCCTCTCAATGGAGAGGATTATGTTTCTGCCTGGGACGGGCACAAGAGATAACTTGGTAGTTGTGTCAACCGACTGAGTACACCGTATACACGTGTATCAATCGGCCGGATGGTGGACTCGAACCAGCTTGCAAGTTGCCACAACCGAAGGTAACTCATCCCTGATCTTCGGGTTTCCGAGACAATGTGGAGGTGGCTGGCCCACAGTCCGAAGTGATTACTTCATAGCCCTAATTATCCTGGGGAAAAACGCGGGATTCGCCGAATGCCCGGGACGCCGCTATGGCTAAGCCACCTGCGCCACCATGTACTGTACTATTCAAGGTGCTTACGGACTATTCAGATCGATGGATCTTCCTCTTGTTAGCATTCCTGATCAGTATCAAAGAGTCTTTGATTCACGGGAGAAGTAGACGAGCTGAGTATACCTACCTGCAGCCACAGACACTCAACCTCGGCTGCAAAGACAACATCCAAGTGAGACAATGTCTGTAAGGTGGGTCCAATCCAAGCCCGGCGATCATCGAATAACGGCGAAGCGAGCTGTGGAAGATGCTATTTCTGAAGTCCAATGTCTCACCTACATAGTTGCCTCACTCCAAATAGGGCATCTCCTCGTCACACCCCCGCCGCTAATTTTTGGGCTGAGGACCCTGAAGCATTGACTGACAGCATCCATCCTGGTTGCCGATGCAGGCAATGATGACGGACTGCGCTGCGTGCGACGGGTTCTTCGGATCGGGCTGGCGTTGAGGAAGAGATATAAAAAGGGTATCGTGCCTTCATCTCTCCCATCATCCTCATCAACATCAACATCACCGTTCCAACCTTCTTCACATCCACACTCAATACCACACGTCAACTCACCGACTCCTAATCATCACCATCACCATGCAGCTCAAGACCATCGTCCTCGCCGCCTCCGCCGCCGCCACCGCCGCCGCCCTCCCGGCCACCGACTCCTCCTCGAGCGAGACCTTTGGCGTTATCTCCATCCACTCCGGCAGCGCCGTGCAGTACCAGCCCTTCACCGCGGCCAAGAGCAGCCTCTTCGCCGGCCTTCCCAGCCAGAACGCCAGCTGCGCGCGCCCCGCGGAGCAGTCCGCGACCTTCTACATCCAGGACGGCGCCCTCTACCTGTACGACGAGTCGGCCACTCCCCAGGAGTTCTACGTCGACCGCTCCGGCATGGGTAAGCCTCTCCTTCCTTTAGACCCCGGCCCTATACACCGATTAACTGATTACGGAACAGGCCAGGGTAAGATCGGCTACACTACCGGCGCTCAGCCCGCCCCCCAGAACGCCGAGCGCCAGGGCTGGGCCATCGACAGCAACAACCACCTGCAGTTCGCCGGCAACGACCTGACCGCTTGTCCCAACAGCATTGATGGTGCCTGGAGCATCTGGGCCGCTGGCGTGACCAACCCCGCTGGCAACAGCGACTGTGTCGGCATCGCCGCCCGCGTCGAGAAGACTAGCGATCCCAACGGCTGCAAGTACACCGAGTAAATGCCCGAGTTGGATAGTGTGTCTGGAGGTGGTTGATCGCAATGCGTCGACTGTTTGGGACAGTGCGCTTGGGTCCAGCTGGTCTGCCGATCTACGGCTGGTTGCGCTGGGGAGTGAGGTGGAAGCAGTGGACATGGGGTAATTTCTGGTTAAGTTAACCGCAATATAATTCTACTCCACATTCTTTCGTTGGGAGTGTCGTGGCTGTGATGTGCTGCTGTAGCTATCTTGTAGAGTGTTCAACCAACTGCGATCGCACCCCTGTGCAATACCAGGCAGACAACCAGACAACCAGACAACCAGACAACTAAGCAAAGTAGCCACCAGAGGTCGGAGCTTTCGTCGATCGTGGTCAGCGTGCCGTTGGCCAGTACGATGTTCATCGCGACAAACTGGTCGGAGATGAGGCCATGGTGAACGTCTGCCAGCCCGCCATCTCGATGCCGGTGGTCGCTTTGCCGCCGTCATCACGACCAACCTGCCCATGGTCTTCCATCTGATCCGCACCGGGCTGGCCCGGGCCTCTGGCTGTGTCTTCCAGAGCTCGCAGAAGAGCTTCAACCCCGTCCGGGTTCCAGACGATCGGGGGTGGCGGGGGCCCCTCTGCCAGTCGCAGTCGCGGGAAACCCAGCGACCCGATCACGATGGGACTCACGTTGACCGAGAGCAAGGAGCGCATGATGGGCGATATGAAGATGCAGACGCTGCGGGCGTATCCGGCGCCGGAGGAGGCCACCATCAACGAAAACAAAAACAAAAACAATCACGGCAGTGCCATCGTCGTCTCGAATCAGATGGAGATCACCCACGAGACGCGAAGTAGTGGTCGCATTGAGCTGGACCGGCCGGCGAGGGCGACGCAGGGGCCGGATGAGGGTTGGTTCCGCTAAACCCTACTTGAGTTCCCGTTCTGCTCTTCGCCTTTTTGTTTTTCATGTATATACTTCAACTTTTTTTTTGGTGTCTCATTCAACTGAATAAACCACTCAATTGAATAAAACGCAATTAATTGAATAAATACACTCAATGGAATGAACCAAATGAATGCAGAATAGACAGCGCACAATCCATCACGTGCGGAGCAGATACAACCAGTCTGTGCAGTCCGGTCCGCCGCCGTCAGCACTAGTTTCATCTACCCTGTGGGGCTGGGGCCCAAAGGCGCTTAGCTCAGGTTTCAAGGCTATTGTTGATTCGGAACCAGACTAGACCATACTCCGTAGTACTCTCCGCTGTCTTTCGAGCAGGTTGACCCCAATATTGAGTTCCATCTTTCGGCCGGGTTTCTGAGCCAGCGGTACTCCGTGTATCGCCTGGAATCGCCTGGAGTTGTGTGTTTCTGTCTGATGAGGGCTTGACTAAGGTTTTGAGTTGTACGTCTGCCAGAGTTACTACTGGGTTCGGGAAGCAGGGCTTAGAGCTTAGAGGTGGTCCAGTTGGCAAGGCATGCGCTAGGCTTTCTGCAGCGTTTGTGGATGCTAGCGTACAGAGTATCAATGTCTCATCGGCTGGTCCGGTGTACATAAAATTTCACGGCTTGATGTCTGAATTGCACTACAGCTGGGTGGCGTGGGGTTTGCATGAAGACTACGTACATACTTTGAGTCTGGTGTAGTGGCTGGACCCTGGTGGTGCAGGTTGAATTGTGTGGCCTACACAGTGGACGAGGGAAGGACTGTGGGGCACAGCAGCCCATGCTCGCAGTAATTGGGCTTACAGTAATAGTCATGCGCGAGCTGAGCAGACACAGCCACGTTGGTTCGGTCTGATGCTGTAGTAGTAAGACGCTTGCTTGACTGAGGTCGCGAGTCAAGCACAAGCCGGGGTCATTCTCTGTCTACTCTAGCATCGTTATTTACTTTCTTAAGCTAATCAAAGCGCGAAGAACATCTGGATTGCACTTTCTAAGACTGAGGTTAACTACATGGCGGCTGAAGGTGGTGAGCGGCCTCGCCCAACCTTAGAAGGCCTGGGACTCCGTAACCTCCTAACTACTTATCCTATCTCACAACCCACTTTCCTTTCTTGCCCCTTGGTGTCATCCTGATTGAGCGTATCATCGCCCCAGTTGAGAGCCAAGGTTGAGACAGTTGCAGGTATTACTGCGCATAGGTGACCATCAACATAATCCATCGGGAATACCGGAATCAACGGGCTGAGCCAGCCCGCAACAAACAGCCATCCGACAAGCAAGACCAGAGAGAGCGAGCCAGTTGGCGAGAAGAGCAATGTTTCTGCATCGCTTCCTTCCCCTCTTAACTACTTCCCAGTTGTAGAAACACCATCACAATGGCAGAATAACTGCACGAAGTCAGCCGTTGGCCCTCTGATACATACAGAAAGCTTGAACTCACGCAGCTGTCGCCCCTATAGCCTCGTACGGCCTCGCCGTAGTCCCCAGAGACACCAGGGCCAGAAAGGCCAGGGTGAAGACCGTAATGACGGCCAGCTTGGTCGCGGGCCCGGTCGTGTAGGCGAGAATCCAGAGCGGGGCGATCAACATCGCCAGCCCGACCACAGTGGTTGTCAGATTGACGAAGAAATCAATACTCTTATCGGAATAGAGATGGATGCGTTCGCGGACATGCAGGGGCAGCGTCGACGGGGCGGGACCGCGTCTCCAGATCCGCGAGAGCCGGAAGCGGGAGGACCTTTCGAAGATCCGGCGGAGGGGACTCCGGTCTTTGGGTACGAGTGGGATGAGATCCACCTTCTCGATGTATTGCTGCTCCTTCTCCCAGATGGCCCCCTTGTAGTTGTGCAGCCAGTTGCGCAGACTTTCGCGATCTCGGTCGGCGGTCGCTGCGCGGTTCAGGATTTTCATGTATTGCAGGATAAAACGATCTGCCGGGATGTATCACATCGCATTAGAACCCATGTACACACCAAGGGGAAGAGCTTTGGAGCTTGAGAAGGGGGAGAGGAGCAAGCAGGAACTCTCACCTATAGCCTTCCATTCTGTCCCGAATCTGCCAGACCAGCTCCACACGTTCTTTCCGTGTGTCATGTCGTAGGGAGCCGTTGTTCTCGTCGGCCACCTCTCGTTGACTATAATAGCGGTCTATCTCATCCAGTTCTTCTTCTAACTGAACAATCTCATCCTGCATCAAGAGCAGAACCCGAACGTTCAATCGGTCGAAGCGACGGAAATTACAGAAATCACGATCGGACGATAAGAAGGTCGAATAGACGTGATACCCTGCGAGAGTTAGCTCTCCATCGAAGATGGCCAACGCAGAGGGTCCGTCCAACTACCCAGATATTTCCATGGCTTCTGGTCAATCTCTTCCTGGGTCAGAGTTGTATCTGTGGCTTCGGGGGCGGTTCGATGGGTAGAGGTCGAGGGGTCGCAGGTTTTCTCTGTCGCCGAGGCTGAGCCTACCTCGCTTGGGCCGGACTGGTGCGAATCTGTCTGGAAAAGCGTCATGTCGGGCATGAACAGAGTATGGCACAATCAAAAAGCAGCGGTGAGTTGGGTGGATGATGTTTTCGCTTCTGAGATTCAGAAGATTGGTGATAGTCAAAAGGAAGAGAGAGGTAAGAGGAGGAAAAGAGCGATGATGGCCAAGGCGCAGCAATGAAACCAAGAACAACACACCCGTTGATGTAGGAAGGAGTCGAGCCTAAGCCACTTCTGCGCCTCACACACACTGACATGGGCAGCGAGGCATTTGCCTGCATGAATAATTTCCCATTCTCACCCTTCTCTGCTCTTCCCCACCCCACCGCCACCCCTCACCGAACACAAGATCATCTTCGCTTCCTTCCCATTCATCATTCTACCAAGTCTGTCATCAGCCTGAGATGCAGTCTTCAACTGCTCCCACCACCGAGTTCCCCCACGAAAACCTGCTGCAAAACAAACCAGTGGCCAAATGTTGCAACTCCTCACCTCCCTCCGTGATTCCTGACTGTGAAAGCCACCCCCGACTGCCCTCTAAGCAACCAGACACACCTGGGGGCAAAACTCACGCCGGAGAGGTTCAACGCCGAACCGACCGACAGACCCCAGCCTTACCTCCACCGGGAGTCTCCCAGGGTGGAGAGGGTCGTGGCAGCCATCCTCGTTCCGGGAGCGGACGCGAGCAAGGGCGAGGACAAAGGAAACCTGGTGGGAATGGCGACGGCTACGGTAGCAGTTCCGACTCCGCCGATGACCGCCGTGATCGTCGAATTGGGTCAGCCCATAACTATCGGGCTTAATGGCGACAAAAACGACCACATCGCATGATGCACACGCTAAAGTTTATTGCGAGCTGGACGGCAGAGTATCTCACTGAAGGAGAGCAAAACCAGGAGATGAATCGGTTGGCACAGGAGTCACCCAACACACAGCCGGACGGTGCCGAGATCACCCACGCCAAGCTCATGGCATACGCGGAACAAAGCGAGGACATCCTGCTCCGGGACAGCCTGGCAGCCCTCCTGAGGCAGTCCGAGTCGTCGCCCAAAATGGATCAGAGTGAAGACAAGCAGCATGAACGAGAGTCTGTCTCTGAAGACTTCTTGCAAACTGGCCAACTGCGCTATCAATTTGTGATGATCCCGGCCGAGTTGATACCCCCATATGTATCTCAATTGTTTGGATTGGGTTCCCTTCTCCAGTGCCGTCCCCTCGTATTCAGGATTCTCATTAAGAATGAGACTCCCCGTTATGCCGAATTTGTCAGTAATGACCTGCTTGCCGACTTGGAATGGCACTTTTGCTGTCGGTCTCAGACCTTTCGCCGTTGCAAGCTTGGCCAGTCCAAATCCACATGCAATCTCGTTTTCGTGGTGGCCATGAATGGGCGGGTTGAACGAATATATCGACCGGATGACATCACCGAGTTGCTGGATGCGAGGCTTGCACGCCTGGACTGGTGTTGCCTGCTATGCGATCCAAGGCATAATTGCTGTCGGTTTGATGTTGCTACTACTACATCTCATTCTACATGAAGTCTCGCCAGAATGGAGGATCTCCGCCCGGTAGCCAATGCTTCATGATCAAATTCTGAGCAAGGTCATTTCCCAACAGGATAGGAGTCTCGGTTCCTGGGATATAGCTCAGATTCAGGCTTTGCGAGTACGGCTGACTTGTCTGGTGCCTTGATGGGTGGTGCAATCTGCTCGAACGAAGGGGTGCAATGAAGGCGTTGGGACTATCGAAATTGAATCCAGCTCAGAGGGGGGATGAAGAAGGGCGTTCGCTGCTCCACCATTAATCCATTGAAACAAGATATGCCAGTGAAATTTTCCGTCAGGACAAAACTCATGTACGGCTCGCACTAGAGCATTGTGGCACAGCTGGCAGGTTAACACTGAATTGTCGACTCTACTGTAAGATAGCAAACATAATCAAGTAAACGGGCTGATGATGCAGCAACTTCGCATTCCTTTAATTTTTTTTTTGGCTTCTTCAATTCTCATATTGACATTCGCGGGCCAGCCTTCCCCGCTTTTGACGCAAAGAAGGATTCTCAGTGTATCCTACGCTCTGGCATTTCTACCATCACGAGCTGTCCCTGAGGCAAGATGTGAGCTCTATGAAGTTGATGTATGAAGTGATACGACCCCCGGGAGTCACACCCCAAGAACATGCGGCCTACTGAAGCTGGTACCTAAATACCAACTCAACTCAAGTTCTATTGACCTTGGCACACCCCCCTGAGGCCCCGTGAGCCCGCCTTTGCGGCTAGCTACGAAGGTGCTTCCTCGAAGCCCAAGAACTTGCCCAGTACGCCAAATCCCTCCAAACCATGAAGCAACGCAGCCTGAAATCATGAATCAACGCAGTCTAAAAACCATATATCAACGCACATCCCACATATACACAAACAACAGCTACTCCGCCCGTTCCTGGTCCTCCTGTATGTACTGTATATAGTCTATACCCTCCCCGTGACCAACAGGTTAGTCGTTCCCATTAAACAGCGTCTTCGGCGCTAAGTCCCATTACTAATATCCAGCCTCGCAACTCGAGAACACTTGTGGGAGTAGTTTAGTTGGTTAGTCATACAGAAGCCTAATGATGTCACCGTGGCGGCAATGTTAACCAAGTTGATTAACTACTTAACTAAAATAGACAAGTGGCCGCCAAGCGATTCAAGGACAATTTCGCGCGCTTGTCCGGGTCATATCCGTCAAAGACAGCCTTGCATCCAGCACCGGGTCCTTTTGGCAAACCAATCGAATGGCTTTCAAACAACCATATTGCCGATCTTCTGCAGCCACCTCGCAGCCTTTCCAGCCCAGTCTGCCACCATTATCCATGGTTCGCCATGGTCACCGTTCACAATACTTTTATCTACGCGCGTTACCCCTTCTCACGCCCAGCTCCGATTAGGTCGTCCACTGGGGGCTGATCGGCACCCCGGCTCTCCTCCGTCAGTTAATCCCAGGGCTTGTCAAATTCTCCGATAGTGTGTCAAATGCCCTTGCCAAGAAATCATGGAGTAGGAATGAGATGATGGCCAGACAATCCACCGTAGGAGATTGAGACATGAACCATGTGGCTGCAGGGTTCTCTGTGACGTCGGAGAACACCCCTTTGGGACCTCCAAGAGCACACGCTTGCAGTTCGTCTGCCCTCGGGCCAATTTGCGTTCTGCCGCAATCGGTGATCGTGGTGGGTGGGGACGATCTATACAAGTGCAGCCCTGCGCCGAGTCATGCGCGTTTGGGGTGATTGTACGGGCGAGGCCTTGGTTCTCGTCTCGGAGACTAAGCCGAGCAAGGAAAATTGATGCGGGTGGTGCTGGCTGTCACCAGGAGGGGGGAGCCTGGAAGAAGGGAGGTGTGGTGGGGATGGGAAAAGATAGGGCTAGTGGACCTATCGAGTCCGGTGGAGAAATGAATGACTCGTTCCGACGAGCTGAGGTGCGGTGGGGCCCGGATACTTCTTTCCGCGCCCTCAGGGAACTGTGATTCGACACTTCATGGCATCGAGCTGTATGCATACCCGAATGAGGAGTCTCTGGTCCACTCCAAGAGAACACCGATAACCCTGACTGCTGCTGCTGCTGCTTGCTGCTGCATGTTTGCCAGGCAGGGTGGGCTACCTAGTAGGTCGTTAGCGCTTACTATTGCATCTCAGGCAGACCACGGCGCGATTTTGGCTTTGGGTTTCTCTGATCCACCAAGCACCACACATGACTGCGGGTATGCTCAAAAATAGCTGATGCAGACGTTAGAGTAGTGCGGGTGTAAGACAACTCTCTTTCACGCGTGTTTTGACGTGTATGATTCATCGGTTTGAGCCGATCGATTTTTCCAGAGAAACACCCGTGCAACCCGACCGTATCCTGTAGTGGATGGATGATGCTACGGAAGAATTGTCCAAGTATAGAAGGATACCAACCGACAACAGAGGCACCGACAGAAGATCGTTGCAGCCACTTGGGAGATTGAACCTCCGCTGGCATAATCTGACATGAAGAATTAAATATATACATAGTCTTTGACTCTATTCATTCGAACATAATAATGCCAGATATTTCTTAGATAAGAACTCCACAAATGATCAGTATCTTCAGCCTCGCAAGACTCTAAATACCTTAATGTAAGAAGAAAATAAACTAATGATACTATGAGAAGACTCTTTACCCAAAAGAGAAGAGCTAAGAAATAGTTGAGAAAGATTAATATTACTTCTCAGACAAGAGAGAGGAGAAAGAAATCAGCTATGACCTCAAGTAGAAGAGTATTACATTTACATAGTATATCTGAAATGGGGCGAGGTTTCAGGGGAATGTAGAAGGGGATGGCTCCCGGGAAGAGAGAGGGGGAAATAAACTATATGATAGGAACTAATACCTTGATAAGCAGTTACTACGGAGTACTAGGGCGAGGATATGTATGTCGTGGGGAATTTTCCATTTGCTGGGCGGCCGCAATAGTCTTCTGTACGCATCGGTCTTTACTTCCGTCCATTCAGCCCCTGTATCCGTGGTGGATGGATCGGCCATAAATCAAGTCCTGTCATGGACGTCAAAAGTCCCAACCAACCTGAAAGGTCTGGGGTCCGGGAGTGTCAGCACTAGTCCGACAGTGGCTAATGCGAATGCACCACCATCGGATATCGGGGCAACAACCTGCATGGACCCCGAACTGCATCAGCTCTTAGTGGAGATAGACATATGTCATTGGCGCCACGGAGAAGGATTCATCCAGCTCGTCTGTGAACTATGTACAAGTGTAATGGATGGCTCGGTGTCGACCCGACGAGCCACCAGGGACACGCAGAAGGGCAAGGAGCTCACCTATCATTTACTAACTTGGGTCTTTCATCGAGATCCCGTCGATCCGATTAATTACAGGAATAAGTCCTTGACATATACTCCGTAAATATTTTGTACTTTATTTCAGCCCGTCAATTAACCTTTCCGCTCCGTGACGGCCCGCCCTGGTCCGCCGATGAATAAGAGTTCACCACACTTTGACTCGTGTGGTATGAATCCGAACATGTTAGTGTCCTGGCAAGGTCTTCTGGTATAGTAGGATGCCCTTGGTGTAGCCTTATATGGCGTTGGCATTCTCTCGATTCCGAAATGAGCACTCCGATGTAAGTAGCCAACTTAGTGGATATGACGGATATAACTATTGTTAACTTAAAGGCATCGATCATAGTGGCTGCCTTACACCCAGGACTTGTTTTGTGGTTGACAAATTCTGGAAGTGATGCGTAGCATTGCATGGGACTATGGCTCGCCCAGGATCCCTCGATCGAGGTCTAGACCTGACAGATCTGCTCACATCCAGGATGTTATGGGCTTGAAAGCTGACTGCCACACTCCTTGTCGTCCTGCTGTCCGCCCGCCGCACTGATAAAAAAGCAAGCCAAAACATTACATGATGCGCTAATCTTTCCCCGAACGTCTCCGAGTACATTTACTGGATTGGACAGTCTGGTCCGGCAGCTCTAGCCTCTGAAGCTACTGCACCTCACGAGTTGCAACAGATGATGATCGCTCTTCGGAGAGACCCCGTGATTGACCACCGACAACCCATCCATGAGAGTCTAGAGGCCGAGTATCTGGAATTTGTAGCTGCAGGAGCCTTTCCAAACCGACTCAGGCTGACTTGAACCACGGCGTTCTACCCCGAAAAGAAGACCCCCCCTCCATGCTATCTCGTTTGGCACCAACGAGCCCGATCTCGACTTTAAAAGAACCATTGTCCCCAGCCTCTCAGGATCCGATGCGAAACGGTACACCGGTTCAGCTCAATTTTACTTATTCTATTTTGGCAGTCCATCAGCGGTCCGACATGATGCCTTCGATTTGCATTTTCTTGATGATTTCCTTCTTTACTATGTTAGCCAGTGCATTCAGTAGATTCGACACCAACTGCACGCTCCCAGCGACTCAAGACCGAGTCAATTACGTCTCCTCCCCAAACACGCGTGGCACTCTTAGCATCGTTTGGTCCTGCCTGTTCACGATCATCGCCTGTACCTGGACTGTCCAGCACCCCAGTCTTCCCTGGCAGAGAAAGCATTACTACCCCGATGAGGCAAACTTTTCCGACCCGAGACTCAAGGTATTAAAGGAAGAGGCTGAATGGAAAATAAAGGAAGAGGCTGAAAGGAAGATAAAGAAAAAGGCTGAACGGAAATGGAAGATTTCCAAATGGAAGCACGCGATCGCTTGGTTCTTAGGCACGATTTTTGCACCGGAAGTTCCTCTGGCCAAGCACTTGGGTGATCTCTGGGAGGTGCGACGCATGCAAGACGAAATCAAGAACGCAGCCAAGGAAAAAGGTTATGAACCCCTTTCTGGATGGAGGGACTGCCATTACCTATTCGCGCTTATGGGTGGTTTTGCCATGAGGACGAATGTCCGCAAGGCAAACCTCTGGCGACTGGGGAACGGCTCCCCACGGCCCGAAGTCCACAACGCCGGTGCCTCGTCATCGTCACCGGCGTCATCATTCCTGAAACCCTCGTCCCACGAGGAGGAGCAAAATCCGACCGCCCATGGCAATCACAATCCGACGACGGAAGCTGGAATCTCCGCCGCACCCGGTGGTGAGGATTCCATCCGCAGTATTTCAGAGCCCAAGCTGGCAGCAACCGAAGACAAGCGGGCTACCGACCTCGACCATGCAACCAAAAGTGAAATGGAGGACTATCCCCGCATTCTATCGCTAACGGAAATCAAAGAGCTTCTGGAAGCAGGCATCTTAACCCATCTGCCGGAGATTGACGAAACGGACATCATGGATAAGTCTAAAAAAGACAATCTGTTGAAAGTGATTGCAGTCTCTCAAATCCTGTGGCTGTGTATACAGGTGATTTCTCGGGCAGTAGGGAATTTGGCAGTCTCGCAGCTTGAGATCGCCACTGTTGCATATGCCCTCTGTGCGGTGATTATCTACGGTCTCGCCTGGAAAAAGCCTAAAGGAGTCGAAGTCCCGATTACCATACTGCAACTCCCCGATCGAGGCAGTGGATTCGGCAAGATTCTGAGCCCAGAAAGAAAGCCCACAGACCAACTCGATCTGCGGAAATACTTCGGAGACCAAATATGGAAGAGTATAAAGAAAGGAGAGACCAAGCAACATTTCAACGGAGATTTAACGTCTGAAGACCTATTGAAGAGTATGGAGAAAAGAGAGGCCTTGAAGGACGAAGACTCAAAGTCCGAACACCGATGGGAGAAAATGAAGGAAATGAAGAAAAGAGAGGCCTTGAGGGGATACTTCAACGAATACTTCAAAGTAGGCGAGAAACAAAGCGATACTTGGCGTTATATTCTCGCGACGGCCATTTCCACCGGCACCCTCTTTGGCGCGGTCCATCTCGCAGCATGGAACTGCTTCTTTCCGACTCACACCGAGAAACTGCTGTGGAGGGCCGCGGCGCTCTACTGCACCTGTTTTCCACTGGGCAATGTCTCATTGATCCTCGTCGAATGGTTCCTTTCCCCCCGTGTAAATGAGAAAAGACCGGCAGAGGGGACGGTAAACACGCAAGACCCCGAAAAGGCGGAAGGAGATGCAAGAGTGACACAGACCCATGCGGTGAATGAAAAGACAGTGGCGAACATCACAGACGAAGAGACGGGCAGTGCCTCTCCAAACCGGGGGAAGTTCCCTGCAAGAGTCACGATTTACCAAAATATCGAATTGCTATTGTCATTTGTATGGCTCTTGAGCAATGCTGTGTTTGTGTTGGCCAGGTTATATCTCATTGTGGAGATGTTCAGAACCTTGGCATTCCAGCCTACAGGTGCATTTGTCGGAACTTGGAGTGTGAACATGCCTAATATCAGCTGATTTGACTCGAGGCTGATCCCTTTTCAACTTGAATCAATGGTGGGCTGGCTGTGGTTTCTTTCTTGTTAAGCTCAAAGGGAATGTGGCACAACTCGAGCATACGTGATGAAGGAGGGCGAGTCCTGTATGGTTCTGGATCAAATCAAGTACTGCATGCTCCGTACTGGACGTCAGATCCTGGAAGAATAGCAGACGAGCTCCTTCAGTTCCGACTATTCGGTTCATGACTGGGACCGATTGGAGAAACAATCTCTTTGCGGGAAAGACGTGTTGTTATCGAACCGGACGGGGAAGGGCGATTAATTCCATCTAGTGTCTGTACCTTCCTTGTCTTCCTGATTTGTCTCGTGTGATCTTTATCAAACACATACTGTATCCTTGCTTGGTCTATCCTTGGTTTTCGCGTCTGACCTAGAAAACATACAAGATGACTGAAACTAGAGCAACGTTGCTCAAAGCGAAGGACGAGGGAAGCTGGTGACAGAATTTTGCCTCTTGTGGTCGGCTGGAGCGTGCCCCGTCCAGAAGCTAGCGTAGACAGTGGTTCCTCGGTAGTTTGAATTCAGGCTATCTGGGAGGAACTAATCCCATGGTGATAAGAATTCCAAGATTGGTTATGAAGATATCTCATAGTTTTACTACTCATCCTCCCTACAACGAACCTCATTATCATGCGGATCCGCAGTCCGTGATATGGCGCTCAAGCGACAGCTGAGATGTGGGGCTGAAGTAACGTGTCAAGTTCGATGCAGCTTATCACAGCGCTTGGATTGGCTCACAAACGTGTATTGTTCAATTAGTATTGTAGTAGGTGGTAGTTTCACGATACCAGTCCACAAGCTGGGAGATAGCCGAGTTCCTGGACTCTACAGCAAGCTGAGTCTGTGTCTGTACCCACACCCTGGGTCTTTTACCATCCAAGCCATCCAGTTTAGATCCGCTGTCAAGACCGCTAAGCCCGAAGAATGGCAATCCTATGTCAAAAGATTTGGAACAAGAATAACCATCCCGGATCGAATTCACTAAACATGAATGTGACTCCCCCTTGCCCTTGCACAATAAGCTACTAGTCCACGACAACCACAATTACATATCAATCACGAGTTCAATACGGTATTCACTTTCTGCACAATCACAAGTCCGCGTGAAACTGCCATTTCACTTCCCTCTTCAGCCACACCGGATCCATCCGGCGAGGCGGTCTCAGCTATTGCCCACTGCATCACGGTAGGATGCTTCGGCCCCCGTTGGTTAGGCTGAGTACCGAATACGCGGTTGGGTTTATAACTACATGCGGGGTTTGCTGCCGAGATTAATGTTGAGCTGGTACGTAGTGTATCACCTAAGGATGGTTGGAGGTAAGAGGGTGATCTCTGTGCCGATCGGGCGGCGGCGATGGTCTTATTCAGTGATTGGTGGTTTGACAGGGGCTAGTCTCTGAGTATGGGGCTTGAGGAGATGAGTTTTCATTTTGAGGGGCTGTTGTGGTTATTGGTAGTGGTAGTTGAGATTTATTGTGAGGAGGAGTGATAGTGTCTGATGATCTATGGAAATCACTATATGCAGGTTGCACTGGTTGAGAGTAAAGTATATCCCGAACGTAAGATCTCACTCAATGAATCTCGGACAAGGCGTAGATCTGATTTAGCAAGGCCATTTTCTAGTCGCGTACAAAGAAGCCTAATGTTAAAATGCGATAGACTATAAGGAATTGTCTACATCCTTCCCGTACATTCACAAAGATTACGCATGGAAATACAGACAATTCTTCCAGGACACACAGTTATACAAGGTCTAGATTAAATTGCGCTATAGAGGCTTATTCAGCTACCGGTTGTCTCCACTGTAATGTCTTTGTAGACCAACATCAGTCGTGTTCGTTGTCACATTACTGGCAGTGTCATCTAAAACCAACACTCCATCGCAATGGAAGCTATATGTATAAATACAATCGACTGAAGAATGATGTCTGTCGGCATCTGGCAGAGTCATGCGGGGAACTACACATCTCGCGTGAATAGCCATGTCAAACCGTTCATGGGGACTCCGAATCCCCCCCGAGCTGCTCCTTGAGATCTCCAAGTACACGGATGATCAAACCTTGGCCCGAATGGCCCAGACGTGTACAGAGCTGAGGAACGAGTTCCAGCCGGAACTCAAGAAACGAGTCATGGACTACGCCCTTCCGCAGATGACCCCCCAATGGCTGACCACTGGCTTCGTCGATGCTGTCCTGCGACATCTCAACATTCCTGAACACGACCGCGATGAAATCACGGCCATGTTCACCGAGAACTTCAGGCAAGCTGCGCAAGCCCTTTCGCTAGACCTCTCCGACCTGGAACGCTACCTGCCGCCCCAGCCCTTCCGCACTGCCATCCGAACTGATCAGCGAAAAGTCGTCGAGGCTCTGCTGCGCGTCGGTGGCGCGGAGCTCGCCAACGCCCGCGATCACCGCGGTGAGCCAATGCTGCATCAAGCCGTGAACTGCGGACACCCGGGCGTAGTCCAGCTGCTCCTGCAGCACGGTGCAGACGTCAATCTAGAGGGCGGGGACGCGGGTCGACGACCGCTGGATCTGCGGCCACCACTAAGCGTCCGACCACACATCTATCAGATCCTGCTGGACGCAGGGGGAATGCCTACTTCTGTCGACTTCTTTGGCTTGTGGGTCCACGGATTGCCCAACGGCGCGCATCTCCTCCTCCATGCCATACGCAACGCGGCCGCAGCCGGCGAGCACTGCGAGCCCATGTGGTGGCCGATTTTCGTCGTCGTGGTGAGCTTCGGCCATGCCAAGTTCATGGAATGCATCTTTGATCAGCGGCCGGATCTGCTGAATCTAACCCGGCTGCGAGAGACAGACGAGGAAGTGACTTTGTTCGATGTTGCGTTGTCTTTCGGTCGGTATGAGATCGCAGCCCTGCTCGTCCGCAAGGGGGTCCCGCTTCGCCAGGCGCCTGAAGACTCCTGTTTCTCGGACATGGGTGTCGAGGTCTTCGTCCCGTATGTCGAGGTCTGGAGGACGGTTTGTTGTCGGGTTCCTGAGGAACTTCTGTCTGCTTTATTTGAGCGGCCGGAGCTGGAGGATTATGCATTCAAGGACTTGGTTCTGAGGAGGGCCCAATCGATGCGTGAGATATTGCCCGCAAAATAATTTTGGATGTAATGAAATACTTGAATGAATGATAGAAAAAAGTGTCGTCATTCTATTTAACACAACCTTTCCAGACGCTGTGTTTGAAGACGAGATACATGAATTCTTGCGAAGAATTACCCTAATCAACTTCAACAGCAGCTAGATCAAAACCGTTCTCTTATCACCGTCCGTAACCGAAGGCATATACACACAAGCCAAGGACATTTGGGTGCGGTGAAACTAAGACTGAATTATTTTGAGCAACCCAATTCTTTGTTGCTCAGGGTTTTCCCCTCGAGCTGGGCTGTCCGGTAGAACCACAACCCAAACTAATACAGAGATCAAGACACCACCACAAGACTAATAACACAACTTTGGTAGTGACTTTGGTAGTACTGTTTCAAGATAGTCCCTAGACGAGCTTTCCTTGCGGCATTTCCAAACCAGATTCCAGAGACAAGGAATTGCCCAGAGGAGACTAGATTATAAAGGCTTTCCGGAGACCATTCAACAAAGAAAGTTGATACCGAGCAGATTCAAGTAGTCAACAACGATGAGAGTCTGATCACGCTCATTCGTTTCCAGTGCGACGGGAAAGACACCTTATCTGTCCCTGATGACCAAGAGGCCATTCTCGAGTGGGCGGCTGCCGCTCCCGCAAACGATCCCCCAAGCAGCCTGCGCGTGGCTGGTTTCTATAGAGAGCTTTCCGATGGGACTCGAAGTATTGAGTGGACGATGCACTACAAGTCTGTGCCGAGCCAGGTGACGGTCGACGCAGAATCGCAGCCCCGGGCGATGGCTTTATTTGGCGGTCATGATACTGGTGAAGAGTCTGGTTTGTCGGATGTTTCTTCGTCTGATGCATCTGATGATACCGTTTCTGTATCTTCCCTAACTGCTAATACTGCTTTGGTCTCCTCCTCAGCTGATAGTCCCATGCTTTTTGCTGTTTGTGTATTCTTGTTTCCTATGTCGTTGACGGAGAACCTGACGTTTGGGCAATAGAGGACTGTGTCACCAGATATTGATGTTCTCGGGTATTGCTTCTACTGGTTTATGCATCTCGTGGGAGCTTTCGTGGCAAATCCATAATCATCTCCACTAGGGTTTCTCTGGTCGGTCCATAGTATCGACTTCTCAGAAGGGGTCTGATAGATATCTGATCCATGCAATTCATATACCGGAAGGTCTTACTTACTGGTCCTATGACCACGATTAAACCTCTGGAGCTATTCTGCACAGCGTACTCTCGTTAAACTCAAACAACAATGCAAATCCAGATACTAGAAGAAAGACTCGGAGTAGGTTGAAAGAGCTTATACAGGTTCAAGGCAAATACTTCTGCATATATTAAGATACTACTCCCGGAGCTCCTCCGTACGATATACCCTCATTAAGCCAATAAAGATACCAAAAGATAGAATCTGCACGTTGGAAGGGTTTTTCAAACCGAGACAAAGGCCCGCAGGAGGCTTTGGGGTTATGTCGATGAACTCCGCATAAGGCTATCGGAAATAGAACACGGACCTTTTAGCCAACCCATCCAGAACCCCCCTCAGGGTCACGAACTGAGCATATATAATCCCTGTCACCCCACAGTCGAGAAGAAACATTCCAACCACCAACAAACCACTCACAGAACATCTTTTAACTGACCTATTGCCAATTAGGTACATTCCAATCTCCAGCAGAACAATCTCACAAGATGGCTCGGGTCCTCGACGCCTGTCATCAAGCCATCAAGGATGTTGAGCACTTCGCCCGCCAGCTCTCCGAGGACTTTCCCGGGCGCCTATTCCTGCACCTTTGCCACGAGCACGGCCCCGAGACACCCTTCGACTGGAAGGGCGCCACGGAAGACGTAGAAACGGCCTTCCAGGGCTTGCGGAGTGAAGAGAAGCAATCCTTCGTCAAGCAGTACGGCGGGCTGGTTTACGAGACCTACGGCGGTCCGGTCCGGCTGTTCAGCGAGAGTCTCGACGAGGGTAATGCTCCCATTCCCTTCGAGCATGGCGGACGGGTCGAGTTCAACTTGCAGGAGGATTGCGAAATCATCAAGCAGTGGGCTGCGAGTCTTCCGGCGTCTATAACTGCGTCGCCTGGAAGCCCTACCCCGACGAGAGAGTTCCGCGCGTACTACGGCTTTGAGACGATGGGTGGGAAGACTAGGACGAATGCGTATGTGGTCTACGCCTGGCTTTTTTCTGAAGCGTGAGTTGAGTCCTGCCTTCCTATGGAGACTGGCGGCGTGTTAGGTCTGGTGGCATGGGTTTCTCCTTGCTCTCAATCCGGTGTAACCGGGAATAGATATTGAGAATATATTGATCTTAGGCATTGTTCTTCTCATTGTACATGAATTATTGGAATCCATTGTTGTCGAAATAATATTCATTCATTGTTGTTAAACACTAGTACCTTGATCCGATGTATCATCAGCAATAATCGATTGTGACAGCTCACTTATCAGGTCTGATAGCTGAGGGTCTTTATTCCAGACCCTGCCCGCCCTATTTCCTTGTAAAGTTGCTAACGAGCAAGGTAAAGCGGATTGTTGAGCTCGATTCGTTTCTAGAATCGGTGATACCATCATGTACACCACGCCTGCTGTATGTAAACTTGCCCTGCGACAGGATCTTATCCTGCTCTCCATGGTCTCCAACCTCGAAAGCCACCGGTCCGCGTTCGGGTACTTTTTGCAGATAGTACGGCTCTCGAACACGGTGAAGCCGTCGTCGAGAGTTGAGTCATTAAGGTGAGTCAGAGATAGAGGCATTCCCTCATGTAGGTTGAGTGATGTAATGCTGGAGTTTATAACTGAAACATTTATTTTTTCAAGCCGTTTTCTACAAACACTTTTATTTACTTTCATGGATTTATTTCTCTGTCCGAGGCAAGGAGACAAAAAGAATGTGCAACAAAAGTGAAAGCCCAACGCGGGGCTCGAACCCGCAGCCTTGAGATTAAGAGTCTCACGCTCTACCGATTGAGCTAGCCGGGCTAACTACACTGAACCTTTAGAAGGTGGTAAATATATCCCACGTTGCTTACCTTATTGATCTCTATGGTTATCTTGGGTACTCCGTAGTCCGTACAGGGGAGCGGACGGGAAGCCATAGAATACAACATGAAACTCTGCTAACTGGGCTGGCAGTTCTTGCAGCATATTCAGCAAGCCTTTTCAATTGGGTGCCTTGGAACACCGTCTGTCAAATAGCCTGTATATCAAAGAGGCTCACATTTTAGTCACAAACACCAGCTATGAGTGAGTCGCTCATAAAATTTATCTAATTCTTATTGACACCTATTGAAGATCATACTAACAGGCTACGTGTGATATCCAGCATAGTAACCAAGAATCAGTCTCCAAGCTCTAAAAAAAAAACTTCTTCATGCTCTACTTCTATCGAAGGATCCCATGCAACTTTTTTCCTCTAGAATCTCCTCAAACCAACCAATCCACACTCCCCTCCCCCGAAAGCCTCTACACACTCTCACTCCGACTAAGCTGCACCTGCACATCCATCCTGTTGACAAGCGCCCACCCTCCCCAATTCCCACCATGTGGAGTCGGCAGGTGATGAGCGTGGGGATTGAGACGACGTAGAAGGCCCTAGGTCGATAGAGGTGCGGCGGAGGAAGACGAGTATCGAGAGTTTGACCATCGTGAGGCAGGGGATGTAGACGAGTTGGTTGGCGAAGTTTCACTTGCAGTGAAGTGTAAATGTGCGTAGCTGGCTTTGTTGTGCTGGGGAGGGGGGATTTCACTTAGAGGGTTCTAGGCACAGGAACAGCACACTAAACAGGCTCGTTTATTTCCCTACTATGAGGATTGGGGCAACGTCCGTAGCGTGCGCCCGTGTGGTAAGCACGGCAGGAGGCGAGGATAAGCAAAGAACTCTAGTCGAAACAAGGCATGCTAAACAACACGAATAGATTGCCTGGGGGTTATTCAAAAGCTAATCGTCCCGTTGTTTAGGGCTGGGACGGGATTGGCCGCTCCCGGGACCATATGGGGGCATCAAATCCGCCCGGACGCTCACTAACGCCTATATATCCCCGGTATTTCTCACTAGTCATCAAACTAACCCGGGGAATGCGATCCAGTGTTCCGTGCAATCTCCGCCAATCACTGGCCGACTGCACGTCGGAATTGGCTTACGATCACTATCCCACAAGGGTCATCTGACAGGTTCTTCAACCGGTAAGTACGGAGTATTTAAGGTCCAAACCGGCCTGTAATTGACAATAAGCAATCCAACGCATCATGGCTCCTGCAACAACTTCAATTCTGACTGCACTGAGCGTCTGCTCGCAGGCCTTGGCCGCTGCGGTGGAAGTCTCCCTGGCTGCTACCACGGTATCTCCCGTCAACTCCGTCGCCAACGCCTCGTATTTCGTCAGTGAAATACAGCAGCTCACCGACAGTGTTCTAAGGACCCTCGGGAGCCACCAGTCTCTGTTCAACTTTGGTGACGCCAATCTATCTTTACCCGCCGTGGGCACATGCAAGGTTTACCCCGGAGATGCTGCGTGGCCCTCGACCTCGCAGTGGTCGGTCTTCAACCAAGCACTAGGCGGTGCCCTCATCAAGACAGTCCCTCTGGCTGCCACCTGCTACCCAGCCTGGTCGGAGTACTACAATCAGACAGCCTGTGAGGAGATCTCTGATGACTGGACTGTGTCATACCTGCAGTACGCTCTCCCCTTGGATTGATTTTCTCCGATATGTCAATATTAATCTTGAACAGCGCCGCAGACCCCGCGTCAATCATGTGGCCCTTGTTCGAGGGTCGAAGCTGTCTGCCAACTGACATCGCGACCTCTTCTAACTGCACCATTGGCGGCTACAGCAGCTATGCCGTCAATGTCAGCACCGTGGCCCAGATCCAGCTGGCGGTCAACTTCGCTCGCAACCAGAGGCTGCGTTTGACTGTCAAAAACACGGGTCACGACTTCAACGGCAAGTCGACCGGTGCCGGGGCCCTGGGCATCTGGACCCACAATCTCAAAGACATTGAGGTCTACGACGATTACCGTCTGGGCGACTACCGTGGCCCGGCTGTGAAGCTGGGCGCCGGCGTCCAGGCCTTCGAGGTTTACGAGAAAGCACACGAGCTGGGCTACACCGCGGTAGGAGGCGAGGGGAAGACGGTGGGTGTGGCCGGAGGATACGTGCTGGGCGGCGGCCATTCGCCCATGTCCAGTGTCTACGGACTGGCGGCTGACCAGGTTCTGGCCCTGGAAGTCGTTCTGGCCAACGGTCGCTTCGTCACCGTCACCGAGCAATCCAATTCGGATCTCTTCTGGGCGCTGCGCGGTGGCGGTGGAGGCACCTATGGGATCGTGACTTCTCTCATCGCGCGTCTGCACCCCAAAACCCCCGTCACTGTCTCGACCTTCTCCTTCGCAACCTCCACCAACGTGACCGCTGACACCTTCTGGGCGGGCGTGGACGCCTACATGAAGCGCTTTCCCGCCAACGCCGACGCGGGAACATACGCATACTTCTGGATCATCAAGCTCGGGGAAGAGAGCTACGAGTTCCTGATGAACCCCTACTTCGCAGTGAACCACACGGTGGCCGAGTTCAACGCGCTGATGGCCCCATGGTTTGCCGAGCTGGACTGCCTGGGGATCCCCTACTCCCCGAACACGACCTACTACGACAACTTCTACGAGGCCTGGGACGCGGGCTTCCCGCTTGAAACCGTCGGCAGCGTGACGATGATGACCGGCTCGCGCCTCATTCCGCGCGAGAACTTCGTCAACGCCACCCTCTTCCACCAGACCGCCGCTGCGTTCCGTTCGACCGTCTCCGCAGGCTACTCGCTGCTAGCCTTCAACCTCAAGGCCGAGCTCCCCGCGGGTTACCCGGCGAGCGCCGCCAATCCGGCCTTCCGCACCACGCTGATGCACGCCATCACCTCGACGAGCTGGTACCGCAACGCCACGAATACAGAGATTAAGGCTACAATGGATACCTTCACGTACGACGTGCTGGGCGAGTGGCGCAAGACCTGCCCAGATTCCGGGGCGTACATGTCCGAGGCGGATATCCAGGAGCCGGATTTCCAGCAGGCGTTCTACGGGGATTTCTACACGCGCTTGTATGCCCTGAAGCAGCGGTGGGATCCCGCTGGTCTATTTTATGCGCCCACCGCGGTGGGGAGTGAGGATTGGGAGGTGAGGAGTTTGGATGGGTTGCCGGATCAGAATGGGCGGTTGTGTCGGGTTTGATTTGGGAGGGGGTTCTAGAATAGGGTTGTGTAGTGTTGGTTATACGATTGACTTGATTGGGCTTATAAATTACTATGGTGCTGTTGTGACTATAAACTTACTAAACTGATAGACAAGCACATACGACCACAGGGTGTGGAAAATAGGGCTCCCCGTCCACTCAGCTGTACTGAAGCCACCTATTGAACGCGGCTGACTAGAATATAAGCCCTTTCTTAGTTGCTGCTTTATAGATAAGTAATACTAAGATAAAGAGTAAGTATAGATAATTTAGATAAAACTATTAAGAGTATAGATAAGTAGAGTAAGTAGAGTAAGTAAATAGATAAGTAATCAAGTAACTAAGTGTTATGGGACCAAGGCCCTGATATAGAGCTCAGCTTCTGGCACCAGTTGGTACCTGAGGCCTCGCACACTATACACTAAACTAGCGCTAGCTTAGTACACACACACCTAAAAGAATTTTGCATGAACTGACGAAATAGCTCTTCAGCTATTTCTTCTTGTTCAGAGGCACGTTTTGATCAGCACGATCCATCCGTCCCGTAACACGAACTGTGTTCACTCGCTCGCGCGTTGTGATATTTTCGCGTTGATGAGTCAGCGGCCGGCCGGTTCCTGACTGGGTGCGCGGATGGACATCGGCAGCACTGTCCTGTCCCTACCAAAAACCAGCTCAATTGAGTTAGTGGTTACCCAGTACTGTATCTACGTATGGATAATACGAGCTTAATCAAGTGGCTTACAGTCAAAAGCGGGGAGACTGTGGCAAAACTGTGGCACCAACACCTTTTCCGCCTCACGATAACAGCACGTCACAAAAGATACCAGGTAGTTTCCAGCCCAACTACATCAGAATGGGTGAGACTCAAGATATCCGACGTCTTGATAAGAGCAGTCAGTAGTTCGAGGTGTCTTTGTCGAGCAGTGCTAATCTGGAATCATCAGCGCCAGGTTCAAAGGTTTTCAAGGCCTGTGAAAGTTGCCGACAACGCAAGGTTAGGTGTGATGGTCTACTGCCCTGTCAGCCCTGTGTCCAAAGATCTATCCCTTGCTCTTTCCGGCAGAGTGCCAGAAGGCGACTGTCAAATCAGATTCAGAAAGTACAGATTGCACCCAGCGATGGCGATCGTATGCCGGTTCTTAGTGATGATTGCGCTGCACAGTCCGCGCCACCAGTTCTGCCACGGGGACTCCGACATCAGAACCATCTTAACTACATCTTGGATGCTCTTCAAGTAGTTGATGGCCCGTCCGGGAGGGGAAGAGTGACAAGAAGCTTTGGCTCCACGTCCACAGTCACTGTACTGAATGTGATATTGGATTTGATCGCCCGACTGGACGGCTCTCCACCCAATAGCTTGGCAACAGCATCTCCAAGCAAGCCCCATACATATGTTCTAGAGTATCTACGCCAGGTGATTGTGAGATGCGAGGCCCATCCGCCGCCAATCTTCAGTCCTAGTCCACCAGGCCCGCTGGACACGGTCCCGCTACAACTTCAGAGCCTCCTGCTCGAGCGATACATTGCAATGGGCTGGAAGACGCTCCCCTTTCAGTCGCCCCACAGTCTTCAAGCACGTCTTCCCAGTCTTTCTGCCCAGCCGATATCACAGCTGCAAGCCGAAGATCAGGCTCTTCGTGCCATCATGTTGCCCATGATCGCTATCGGGTCCATTACAACCGGCTACGCGGAACTGGGAGAGATGCTTATTGGCGAGGCACAAAGAAATCCAATCACACCCTACTACCTGGGTGATATTCTAGCTTTGCAGAGTGATTTGTTGATGATGAGTGGCCGCAGTTCATCTTTGTCCCGGAATTGAAGCTGACTGCGGGTGTTCACATCCAGTATCATATCGACTCAGGCTCCTTCGAAGCCGCCTACTTACGCCTGGGAATGGCACTTGCGAAAATCCTGGCGGCTGGCATGGACAAACCAACGCGTTCCCCTCACGAACAGGCTATTATCTCGGCTTTCTGCTGTAATGAGAGGTTACCAAGCCCGTCCCGGACCTAGGCACATGTCTCTGATAGCGATTGCAAATAGTCTTTTATGTGCTGCTCTAGGACGAGAAGCTGTCTTTTCTAGCAGCATCAGATATCTGCCGCAGAGCAACCATACCATCATAGGGTTCATGCACCCGTTTTATCGCATTCTTGCCGATATCCAGCGTCTTCACCAGTCTAAAAACCCGAATTTTATGGAGCTATGGAATGCTTGCTGTGCACTTCACCAGCGTCTTGTAGCTTTCTGGTCAGTGGATGATCCGTTCCACGCTTCCGAGGACGAAGATCACCTGAACATGGGATCAGTCTGTAAGTGTCCTAGACTCCTTACCTGGCATTTTGAGGGATTTCCTAACTCCTTTTACCGTGCTTCATTACTCAATACTTATTCTATATCGACCATTTTTGATTCTTCGCGCTCTTGAGAACAACCGGGATGTTCAAGGTGATGGCGACCTTCGTAATAGCCCTGCCGAGCGTGAAAGGGTGGAGATCATGTCTAAGACGTGTCAATACTCCATTGATGCTGCAGCGAGGATCATCTCTTTTTTTCGTGGGCTATATGAGACGGACTTGATACAGAAGGTCCGACAACTTGTATAATTGTCCGCAAAACGTTCGCCTGTCTAACATTTTTACAGAATCTCCCTCTGAACGCCTTCTTTCTTGAGAATGCTTGCTATGCTCTGGTAATCGATAGCCTGTGGGGCGACAGGAGATCGTTGCATCTTTCGCACATCCAAGCCTGCCTGCACTGCATGGAGCAGACACAGGACCAACCGGTGACTTCCTCGCGGCTTTCTGTTACGAAGAATATTCTTGAGTGGACGGGAGTGTTTCCGCACAACAACAACAACAACAAACCACTTTCAAATCTCTCGCTATCTCAGTCTGGAGTTCTTTGGATGAACGAATTCTTGGAGAATCACGTTCTCAGTAGTTAAGAAACACTAGTTCCCTGTCAATATTAGTTCGCTTGAGCTATATGTAGCTAGGCTGGAATACATACTATCTTCTGTATGAAGATAGAATTCAGGCAACTGCGGGAATCCCAGATGGACTCGCCGATGGACCCTGAAATGTCCGAAACTGACCGATGCATATATATGAAGGCAGATATTTTCCCATCGGGGTAGATCTTGCCTGGAATGATGGCGCCAGTAACAACGATACCGTATTGCTCGTCAATGACCAGGTCAAGCCGTGCATCCGCATCAGCAGGTCGATCAGTTCTCCAGCTACATCCCAGCGGAGTAGTCGAGCCATCTCCATCCCGGCCAGGGTCGATGACACTCCAGCCCTTCCTCGGTGAGTTGGCAATCATCCGCGACGGTAACCGATAGCGTGTCATTCGGGTTGAAGGTCGCGGCGCTGAACCCGTGGTCACCACGGGAGCGGTTCACGTATAGCTCTAGCTGGGTGATTTGTCTGTCAACCACTTTGATTCCGAGCCCATAAAACGGATTTTTTCGTCTCGCTCCCTTCGGTGATGTCGAGCGAGAAATACGTGGAGCCATTGATAGTATCAATTGCTAGCAAGCTAGGCGAGCCTGCGCTTGTCACGGTCTGCCAGAGAGTCATCATGCCCAAAGCTACCGGGTGGGAATTCTCCGTTGCATAGTAGGTGGCCTGGGGGTTTGAATATCCGCACCTTGCAAGTCTCAGGTCTCAACGAGGGCTACCTGGAGAATCGGGGTTACTCAAAACCGGCGGGCGAGAACCACATCATCATGTATTCACACGGCTTTCTGTAGTTGACCTTCTCTATTGAGCGCGACCAAGTCCTTGAGTTAGTCGATTACAAAATGTATACGTCTGACATTGATTTGTGGAGTGCCGACATAGGTTAGCGGAGAAAGAAATTAAGCCCGAGTCGTGGAAATTGGGTCCCTCGCCCGACAGAGGCTCCGTCCACTGCTGCGTATGAGGGGGTCATTGTAGGCATTGTATGTAGGTGGTTGGAAGTTGGGGATTCTAAATTCTGGAGGCTCGGAATTTGGTGGGTCTCTCGGACTTTTATGGGTTCCGCGCAAGTGCGGGGTGCGGGGGTGTTTCCCCGGGCATTTCTTCACCGTCCGTACCTGATACTAGTTAATGTCTCATCGGAAAGTGGGCTCTGTCGGCTCTTCGTGCGGGGCCCCGCCTGATAGTTCGGCTTGGACCCTGTTGGCTCGCTGTGTGGGGGTGGCATGCCTCGCCTCCCCGGAGTTTCAATTCGTATGGAAAGATGGATAGTCGGGGTATTGATAGACCGATCCACGCAGAATGAAGAAGTGATATCGCGAGATTTCTCTCATTATGCTATTCGAGAATGTAATGGCTTAGTGGGAACCTGTAGCTATAATTGACCCTCTCCCCCCCCTTTCTTTTAGCCATGAGGACAAGTGAAGGGTACAAAGAGCGTTCTCGACCCTGGAGATCTCCTTGAATCTGGCTCTGCCGCAATGAGGTCAATCAATTGGTTCAGTCTGGTAAGCTTTCTACCAATTACCGCAGTGGTTCACGCAACACCATTCAATCAGCACGAACTGGTAGAGCGCGATGTTGGAATTGGACAACTTCCCATACCATCCACCTACGATGCGCCTCGCTTCCGGTGGTGGTGGCCCGGCGGTTGGGTAGAACCTGATGTTGTGACGAGCGAATTGCAGTCCATTGCGGCGGCAGGATTTGGTGGGGGAGAGATTGGTGATGTGGAAGATAGCATCAAGGTCGCCATGGACCCACGAATTTATGGTTGGGCAAGGGATCGATGGAATGCTGGCGTGCTCGCTGCCTATAAGACAGCCCAAAGGTAAGTGACTGCACTGGAGGGTGAGAAGAGGGAGCCAATTCCTGCTTACTGACTAGAAACAGACTGGGCGTTTATGTGGACATGACACTCGGTCCCCACTGGCCAACTGGAGTTCCGGGTTTCACGCCAGACTCTCCAGAAACCTCCAAGGAGTTGGTCCATGGACAGTTCTTGCTTGCGGCTGGACAATCTTACGCGGGATCCCTTCCTCTTCCCGTGGCCAAGCCATCTGGAGAGGAGACTGGCAATCCATCGGTCAATGCAACCGCGAAGCTGGTTGCCATTCTCGCTGCGAGAACCAATGCAACATCAGCTAATCAGACGGTCGTGGAATTTGAACCGTCTTCCCTCGTGGATTTGACCACGCATTATCACAAAGACCAACTGTCCTGGACGGCGCCGAAGGATGGGAATTACATGGTTGTTGCAGTGTACGGCCGAGGGACGGGCCAGGTCCAGAATATCTACGATGGCAACCCCATTGCTCCCAAACTCACCTATCCTTCTCCGGCTTACATTGTCGACCACTTCTCCACCGCGGGCGTTGACGCCTCGGTGAACTACTGGAACGAACATATCCTGAATGACGAGTTGCGGCAAATCATGAAGAGTCGAGGAGGGTCCATTTTCGAAGACTCACTCGAGCTCAAGTACAAGCAATATTGGACGTTGAACTTCATGGAAGAGTTTAAGAAGCGACGCGGTTACGATTTGACCCCGTATCTGTTATATGTCCTCAAGGATACCACCACGTTCTTGGGTGATGACGAAGTCGGCAGCGGCGTGGAGTACGATTTTTACTCCACGATTACCGATCTCTACATTGACTACCGCGTGCAAGGGTTGAAAAAGTTTGCCAATGGGCTCGGGCTGAAATTCCGCCTGCAGCCCTACACAGCGACACTGGACTCTTCACGTGCAGCCGCAGCTGTGGATATTCCCGAGGGCGAGTCCCTCGGTTTTGAAGGTGACAATGATGCTTTCAGGGTTCTGGCTACCGGTCGAGATGTGGCTGGTCAGACGAAGATCCTTTCCAACGAGCTCGGCGCTTACATGGGCAAGGCATATGGAGTCACTTGGAACTTCCTTCTTGGGACTGCGAATCTGGATTATTCTCTCGGGGTTAGCCACGCAGTTATCCATGGCTTTCCATACCGTGACTCGCCCTCGAGTGTATGGCCTGGGTTTGCACCTTTCACACCTCTCGGCACGTCGAGTAATGGGTTTGCCGATGCGTGGGGTCCGCGGCAGCCGCAATGGCTTTTCGCGTCCAATGCGAGTGTTTATATGGCCCGCGCGCATAACCTCCTGCAAACAGGCTCCCCCTCGGTGGATGTGGCTATTCTAAATACCGACTGGGGAGTCACGGCAACGTGGGACGACAGTGGGTTGAACGATGCGGGCTATTCCTACCAGGTAAGGCCATTTTTGGTGGCGGCCAGAGCGCTGTGCTGGATGGTGTCGCTGATCAAAAGCCCTATAGTTTCCCACCGCAGAACTACTAAGGAAATACTCCGCCACCGTCAAAAACAAGCATCTTCTGCCGGACGGACCTCGGTATAAAGCTCTTCTGATTGATAACACCACTTACCTGGATCTCGACAGCGCGAGGCAGATTCGCTCGTTCGCCGAGTCAGGTCTACCGGTGGTGATCGTTGGAGACGCTCCGTCTCGACCACAATCTCTCTGCACCGACTGTTCCAAGACCAAAGCTCAAATCGAGGAGATCTTCAAGTCAATCCTGTCACTCAAGACAACCAAACAAGTCTCCTCTCAAGCCGATGCTTCTGCTGCTCTCCAGCTCCTTGGCATCTATCCATCTGTCCGGTACTCCACATCATCTAACGTGTCTACGATCACCACCAGACGTCGCATCAGCGATTCCGAATCCATCTATTTTGTCTACAGCTCTGCTGCTCTTACCGAAACAGTTTCTTTAGAGGGGGAGGGTTATCCGTTCACGTTGAACCTCTGGACTGGGGACGTTACGCCCATCGCTGCATTTGACACAGCTGATGGGTACACCAGAGTGAACCTGTCCCTGGGCGAGAATGCCGCCCAAATGCTCTACCTCGGCAACAAAAACCCATACGGCCTTGCCAATCTCAACCGGTATGTCACTGCGACCGATGCTGATGTTTTCGCTCAGTCGCAGAACATATATTTGAGAACCAGCAAGAATGGCACCCACACTGCAAAACTTTCAGACGGAAAGTCCGTCAGTGTTGCCTTCAGCAATGTGCCAGCTCCAATTACTCTCAGCTCTTGGACTCTATCCGTCGAAGACTGGTCTCCTTCGACCGTCAATGAAACTGGGCTCAGTTCCTCCCTGACTTCGAAGGTTACTTTGCCGAGCATCCACTTGGACAGCCTCAAGTCTTGGACTAACATTTCAGGACTGGAGAGTGCAAGTGGCATTGGAACTTACAAGACCACTGTGAACTTATCTTTGGGCTCGTCAAACCAGAGCGCTGGAGAGACTCTTGCGGTCTTCATCAACTTCGGTGATGTGGAGGGGACTTGGGGCTTGAAGATCAATAACGTCCAGGTCAATGGAGTTGACTTCTTAGGCTCGGCGCCTCTAGAGATTACTTCATACGTGAAGAATGGTTCCAATGGTATGTACTGTCTGGCTTGAGTGGTAGAGCATTTGCTGACGCGACATACGGCAGACATTGAGATCACAGTTGCCACTACATTATGGAACAAACTACGGAAGACGTGGCCTGCTATTTACGGGTCTCTAGAGGCACAGGAAGTCGGTCTGCTGGGTCCTGTTACTCTGACGTACTATGCTCAGAAGCAGATTTGACCATGCTTTCGTGTTGCAGGAGAGAGGGAAAGAGGCTTTAGTTGTGGGTTCGTTGTCTGTACATGTACGAGGCCGCCTGCCCGGCTGTTTAGTCCTCGGGTAACAGCACTTTGGTAAATCTAAGCAGCCTGAATCTAGTCTTTTGAGATCACGGCTCGGTCTTGTACCAGAAATTACAATTTAACACCGCACTCGCGCCAGTCCACGCAGTTGCCTCATTCACCACACAGCTACGTTGCCATAAAAAGAAACATGTTACGTGGTGCGCATCCGCTGAGCAATAAGGTGTCTACTTGAGCTTAACGATCTTATAGTGTCACGGTAGTCATGCCCGTGTTTTAAATATAAATGCGAGGGTAAAGCCGACAACATTGCCGCGGGACGCTGTTTGTCTTTCGAACAGAAGGCATCTTGTCCAGGCTAGTTCCTCGCTTCATCGCTCGATCCTATGCGACACATATGAGCAATCAATCCACGTTGTATAGAGACACAAGAATGGATGCACACGATGGCACTAACCCAAAATACCCGTCGATATGTATTTGGAAATGACCTTCACCATGGATGCCATAGCTCCGCGCCATACGGGACCGGAGGCACCGCCTAGGATATCCTGCACAACCTAGCGAGCAAAGTCGTCGGGTGTGCTCTTGTTTAAGGCATTCTTCCCGGCACCGCGTGTCTGAATCGGAAGCGCCTTGTGGTAGAGTGAATTCTCGGGTAGGGTTACATAGTGGATACATGAGATCACAGTACTAGTGTTATATCATCGGTAAGCGAATAACATTTACAGCAATCACCCCTTCTTGCTCACATACAATGAGAAGAAAATATATATCAGATCCTAGGATTTATTCTCGGAGTAGTCCCAGTGGTCTACGGTCACTGCATGAGATCTACCTCCCGGGCGGATGGTACCATATAAGTAGCTTGACCTCAGTTGATGGCAGGGTCCTGGGAAGACGAGGGTTCTAGCAGAAGGGCAGGAACATGGGCCTGGCAATATGTGAGTTGCAGAGGTTCTGCAAGTTTAGGTTTATTTGGTGGTTGGAAAGTCTCTCTCGACAGTGAGTGACAGGATTGATATATTTTAGTCCCTGATCCAAATAATATCCTGAATCGAGGAGGTGAAAGGATATCTTATATATAGCTTGAAGATCACTATGTTTGTTCCTGCTATATTCACGCGGAATTTAATGATACAACATCAGTCTTGCCTGGGCCTTTGTTTCAACATTATAACCATGCGTACAGCTAACGTAATTAAACAGTTAGCCCGGCTAGCTCAATCGGTAGAGCGTGAGACTCTTAATCTCAAGGCTGCGGGTTCGAGCCCCGCGTTGGGCTTTCATTTTTGTCTACTTTCTTTTGTCCTGGAAAGCACTGAACTGAAAAGCTTCGAGCACGATCTTAAATAAATCTAAATCAAGATGTAAGAGAAGGTGACCCGTTCACCCGTCGACAGCAGTATCCTTCCCGATTCGTTCATGACTCATATGATGCACATAGTCCCGTGCCGCAGTATCGTGGGGACTTAAAAGTTTTACTGTACTATACATGTTATACTATACCGCGATTTCCTGAGAAAATGATTCCGAAAGAACAATTTTCGTACCTTAAACCATAGTTTCCAGCCCGGAATTTCTGCCCACATTGTGAATATTGCTATTAACAAGCTAAGAACAATCACCAGATGAAGCCCTTTCCCATACTATTATCACTTTATCGAGACAATCATATAACTTTCGCAAAGACAATCGAGAAATGATTAAGTTAAACCCTATATGAATCAATGTCACCGTGACACCAGCTAGACTATCAGTCTACTACATCGAGAATCCAGTCCTTTGATTAGTTACATCAGAACTTACCATCTTTACAATACTTTGATAACTTCTAGTTCAGCATGCTATATATGGCGTGACGCTTCCAATTGAATAATAGCATTGTGACCGCCAGGTGGGGCAAAGACTCACCCCACCCGGTCAGCCTGGAACCGACCGGCCAATCGAATACGTGACGGTAGAGAGAGAGGGTGAGGGTTCAGCCTAATAAGCGCAGGCTCGATTTCTACACGGGAAGCATATATCCAATGGCACCCAGGGTCCTTTCATGCGGTCTATTCCAACAAAGTGGGATGCGGCTGCAGCACTGCAGTATCTACCTCTGAGTTTTGATGGTATTGGCTTTCCGATTGACGTGAGCTGTATCATGTCCAGGATGCCCTGTATCTCCGTATCTCGCGTCAGTAAGCAAACATGATTCCTCCGTAGTGCGGGTTTGACGCAGGTCCCGGGCTTGAGAAAAAATCCGGAGTAGTATGTGCGTGTCGCATCTATTGTTGTAGACACCCTAGGAGAGGGGTCTATATCGAATCTAGTTGAATCGATCATGGGACATATCCAAGAGGTACAAGACCGATAAGGGATGCGGACAGCAGCCTGATCCAGGCACCAACCGCCGGCAGTCGTCAGAATGGAATACGAACAGCCTCACATCTACTAGTAGTAGGCAACATACCCCTGCTTAAACCACCACCGTCCCCCTCCCCTCCCATACTTCATATACTTCAGATACTAAGCCTCTCTTCCAAGCATTACCTCCAACCCTGTCACCCATCCCTCATTCCACCACATCCATCTCAAGCCAAACCTACAATGCCAACCACAGAGTCCGCCATGTCCCACGCCCTCACGCAATTCCGCCACCAAATGTCCACCGCCAACCGCCACTTCCTCCTCGACCGCGTCCACGAGATCCAATCCCTCCACCTCCCGACCGAAGCCGCCAACCTCCACCACATGCGACGGTACTGGCCCAGCCTCGGACGCGGCGGGCAGGAGACGTACTGGAACCGCACCGTCGCTCCGGAACCCGTGCGCGAAGACCGCGAAGTCCGCAGCGTCACCCGCCTGGCGGACGTGCCGGGGTTGTATCACCAATACATGGACGGGGTGTGTCCGCCGCGGTTGCGGACGGAGGAGTGGCGCAGGATGTATTTGGCGGTCGTGGCGGAGGTGTGTGCTGAAGTGGTTGCGGAGGATGGGCAGGATGGGGAGGATGGAATTCCTCCGTGCGAGGAGTTGGGGTTGTTTCTGAAATACGCCAATGGGGTCCAGGATCCGGATTTCCGGCGATCGGGAATTGCGCCGTTTCTCCCCGGGTTCTTTGTCGGGGTGGCTGAATATGCGTTTCCGGATGAGGCGGCGGGGCAGGGGGGATCAGCGCGGATGGAGATTGAGGGCCAGCGGGGGCTGTTGAAGGGGTACTTGGAGGAGAGTCTGCTGGGGCGAGTCGGGCTGCATGGGATGATCGATGAGGATTTGGAGGTCAAGGTGGGGTTCTTGACGGGGACGGGCGGTTGGGGACATGAAGATCGGTGGTATAGTGCCTATACGTATTGTCGGCGGAGGGAGGATGATGCGGCAGATACACATCAGACAGACTTTGCGTGGCGAGTGCTTTTCTTTGAGGCCAGCGACGACGATACCCCGGCCACTCTGAATGGGAGACGACCGTTGTTTGATTCCATTCCGGAGTTTTTGGACTGGTATGGTAGTTGGTTCGATTATATTGATATGGACGAGGTGCGCAGGGAAATTGATGAGCTCAATGCTTAGGCAGGCAGTGTGTCGGGTTGTACAGTACAGCCCGGGGCAATGGGTTGTCCGCGGAGCAATTGTGAATGCTGCTAGTTCAGGTAGTGAATCTATTCATTTAGCCGAAGCTCGTCTCACCACCTGCCAGCCAGACGAATATCTGTCAACACCAGGCCAAGTCCGCCGTTTTTGCTTGTCTCACCGGTCATTCAACTCCGAGGGTCAAGCGAGGCTTGACTCTCGCTTGGCTAAAGCTTCATCCCCACCGACCAGGATGTCTATTGCCTCAATTTTGAGGTTGTTTTACAAAGGCTGCACTCTGCACGCGGTTGGTCTTTTCCGATTCCCCAAGGACGCAGGCTGTAGCCCTCATCCCACTGAAATGAGTCTATTGAAAACGGGGCTCCGGTGATCGTCAGGCTTAGTGAGATATTATATTACCCTGTCGGCCTGCCCCGTAGATGACTTCTGGGATGATGATTGCCCATCCACTCAGGGACTGGTTGCATCGTTAGCAGTGCAGGTGGCCGCCTCCTCTGAAGCCTCGTACCAGTAACATGGTCAACAGCATGGTATAGTCCTGATCAATCAGCGTGGGACTCCTCCGGGCATACACGGGGGGTAGCTTACATCGAATCCCACATTGCGAATGAGAAAAATCCGCACGTACATGCGAGCAAGCACGGTGAAGACCGCCCCAACCGTCACAGTACTCGTGGCCGCCAGAATACGCGGCCCTTGATTGTCATCAGGCAGGCCCGCGCCCCCCGGATGCGCGATGGTCGCCATCCTCGCAGCAAAGAGAGGACAGTGCTGTGTTCGGGACGATGCTTGACCTGGCCGGGTTTTGAATCTCCGCAGCAGGCAGCCCTGCCTGCCTGCATGAACTGCGGGTCCCTGAAACAGCGAAGATTGCGAAAGCAGGAATTCGAGGAATGGCTCGTTGCTTGACTAAGAAATACGATCCCATCCCGCTCAGTCTCGCAAAATCAAGCTTGCGGTCGCATTCGCACTTCCAGATTCATTGGACCAAGTTCGGATCTCGGACGAGGCTCAGGATCCGGTATGAGGCCCTTGTTCGTTGGCGTGAGATCAATTACTAATTGTTGGTACGGTGCCGTCCCACGTTGGTGTCGGCACCGGTGCTGCTGCTCGCCCTGTGCTAGACCTGTGCTAGCCCTGTCGGTCAATTACTCTTCCCATCCTAGCCTGCAGTACAGGGTTCAAGCCACAATCAAGGAGCAAACCTGGCCAATGGACCATGCGTGCCGGAGAGGGTCGATCAGTCAGTGGTGGATCTACCAATACCCACCCGCCGGACCTGCCAAGTCGCCTCGACCGCGGCTTGCCCTGGACGAAGGACGTAGTAAACCTGCACCCTTGCACCCTTCAAAGTGGGGGAGGGTTGGAATTGATTAACTTTACTCCGGAGGTCGGAGTGGAGCTGGATGGAGCGCAGTGGAAAAGGAGGAGCGGGCTTTGAGTGGCAGCCACTGGAGACCCAGACGTCAATCAGTTGGGGTTATCGCCCACCCAACCCTACCCTGGGTCCCTGAGCCAGTCTTTTTCTTCATGGCATGACTGAATGCTCCTCAATCCTCAGTCATGCCAGACTAGTAGTAGTTAGCAGTTCGGATCCCAGCCCACTCGCAGCCAGTCAGCACGTTGTGACTGATTAACTTGGCCCGCTAATGCCATGCGGCCGCGTGCGTGCGTGGGGATTGCGTGGTGGAGAGACCCGTCCTCTCGTCTTCTCTTCGGCTTTTGAATTCCGTCCTTGCAGTTGGACTGAGCCATACTGTGCTGTAGTCGCCTGCAGCTACGGTGGAAGCATGTGGGCCGATCGATGTGCTGCAGATTGCGAGAATATGAGAGACGAAACGCCGTTAAATTGACAATCCTTCCCCCATTCAATCTCTCCCCCGCCCATCCTTCCCAACTCTAACTTCCTTCCATCCCCCCTGTTCTTCCTTTTTTCTCTCTCGCTCTTGGCCAGACGTGGGTGAGACATTTGTCACCATGGTCGGTCTCCAAGCCTTCACTCTGGGACTGTTGCTCTCCGGCTCGTGGGCTCTCCCTGCGACCGAGACCGCTGCCCCAACGACTGCTACCCTCCCCACGAGTGCATCCAGCTCGACGGCGGTGGCCTCCTCCCAGCTGGAGCAGCTGAACTCGTTCGCCTACAACCTCACTGCAGACACCCTGACCCTTCCAGCCAGCACCAAGCGCAGCGACGGCTCGTGCACGCTCGACAAGCTGCGCGTGCGTCGCGAGTGGCGCACCTTCAGCACGAGGCAGAAGAAGGCGTACATCTCCTCGGTCCTCTGCCTGCAGAAGCTGCCCTCGCGCTCTCCCCCGGAGCTGGTCCCTGGGGCGCGGACCCGCTACGACGACTTCGTGGCAACGCACATCAACCAAACCCTGGAGATCCACTACACGGGCACCTTCCTCGCGTGGCACCGCTACTTCATCTTCGAATTCGAGTCGGCCCTGCGCGATGAGTGCGGCTACACCGGCGACTACCCCTACTGGGACTGGGGCGCCGATGCCAGTAACATGGAGAGCTCGCCCGTCTTTGACGGCAGCGAGACCTCCATGTCCGGCAATGGGGCGGCGATCCCGCCAGGCGGAAGTGATGCTGTATCTGGGCGACTATCCCGCCATCGACCTGCCGCCCGGCAGCGGCGGGGGCTGCGTCACCAGCGGGCCCTTCAAGGACTACCAGGTCAATCTGGGGCCGGCCGCTTTGTCGCGGCCGGGGGGCAACACCTCCGCGGCCGCCAACCCGCTGGCCTACAACCCGCGGTGTCTGAAGCGGTCGCTGACAACGGAAATCCTCCGCCGCTACAACACCTACCCGAAGATCGTCTCGCTGATTCTGGACAACGATGACGTGTGGGACTTCGAGATGACCATGCAGGGGGTGCCGGGCAGTGGCTCGATCGGGGTCCACGGGGGTGGCCACTACTCCATGGGCGGGAATCCCGGGCGCGACGTCTTCGTGAGCCCCGGCGACGTCGCCTTCTGGCACCATCATGGCATGATCGACCGCGTCTGGTGGATCTGGCAGAACCTCGACCGGGAGCAGCGTCAGAATGCTATCTCGGGGACGGGGACCTTCATGAATAACCCGCCTTCGGCGAATACGACGCTCGACACGGTGATCAACATCGGCTATGCGAATGGCCAGCCGATTGCCATGCGCGATCTGATGAGCACGACTGCTGGGCCGTTCTGCTATGTTTATCAGTAGTGGGCTGATGGGAGGGCAGTTTGGAGAGGAGCCTTAGCGTGGTATATAAATGTGACAGACTTGTATATATATGCATTGTAAAGAGTGGATGAGGCATTAATTGACGTTAAATCACCAGTTGAGACAGTCGGGACCCCCTTCTCCCCCTTTCCCTCACCGGTGCCAGGCTGCCAGGCCGCCAGCAGTACGGAACTGCTCTGGCGATGGAGTCGGACCGTTCCAGTCCCCAGCCTAGATCCAGCCTTGCGGCCATGACTCCACACCTCGGTAATGGTTAGATTGCTCGTGCTGCAGGGACATGTGCTCTCTGCAGCTGGGTCAGCGTCAGTACGTGAATTCCAGCGATTCCACCGTTGTCAGTGCCTCGGTTTCCCCTGGTCAATGCATTCTCTGCGATGAATCCCATTTGAGGATCATGTACTCCGTAAGCACATGGAATGGTGACAGAACTCTGGGAAGGGGTCTAACATGGGGTTCTGATCGTATGCTCTTCGTCGTCTATAAATAGGAAGAACCGCACGGACACTGCCCCACAGCACGTTTTTCGGGTCGTAGACCCATTTGCCGATGAGATCCGATACCCTGGTTGACTGGACAGCATAAGCATCGCGAAAATCCCTCAGAAGCCTCGACATCGACCATCGCAGCTGGCGAATGGAATACTCCCCTGTCTCCTGCTCACCGCTCTGTCGCCCGAAGGAATGGTATCTTGGAAGCAGTGCCAGCTGATACACCACTTGAAGTCCGCACCGATTCAGTGGCTGGACAGCTTTACTCTAACTTCAATGGATATTACTCCAGCAACGTGTCCATCCTGGCGACCACAGCCTCATGCAGCTGGGCCAAGCGGATCTCGCAGCTCTCCCTTCTGCAGAACCACTCGGTGTAGTAGAGTATCCGGGCCATCGCCTGGAGATATGCACTGGTGTCCTCTCTGACCAGACCGTCCATCACCAGAGACAGTGTCTCGACGAGCTACTCGACCTCACTAGACCGAGTGGCGGGTAAATCGCAGCGCCGTGCCCTGTCCGCACTGTGGTCGCCCCATACAGGTCGACGGCGACAGCCCGATTGCGCAATTCAAGGGGCATTGCGCGCCAATGCTTCGACATGGACAGCTAGTACCAGATGGATCTGACGATCATCGTTCGGATGAGAGTTGTGCCACTTAGTTTGCCTGCCGGGATCGTGTGGAGGCAATGGCTCGTATTACCAACTGTGCTATTTATCCCCAACTAATGGCCCTGGGAGCCTACCACCTCGCAAAGCACTCCAAATATCGGTAAGTCGGAGGCTGACAGAGCGAACTACATCAGCCCAATTCAGAGTACATTCAGAGTCTAGACCCAGCCATATGCCGGATACTTTTCCCGCCAATGGTATTCCTTGTCACTGGATGAGCCACCGATGATTCAGCATCATGAACCTGAGGTCATTAGCATCCTCCAGTAGCGCGCTAATTCACAAGGATCTTGTAGTACTCTGGGGGGAAATGTCAGACAGTTCCTTTTGGGAGGGGGGATACACCGCATGCGACTGCACGTATGTCTACGGTGCTTCGTATCGAGGTTCTCACTTCAACCACTCATTGCATTGGGCTCTGGGGTCTGTGCTTGGAAGCCTCCCAGACCTTGCCAGTTCGCTCGAAGCTAAATACTCCCCACAAAATGTCCCAAGCGAAGGTGGGTCAGACCTTGTCAAGAAAGATCATCGCTAGAAGGTAGACAGACTTCAGGGCCGGCCCGGGGTGGGGGGGCGTATGCCTTAGAAGACCTCATAACAATAAGGTAGAGTGATTCTGTTCAACACTTATTGCCACTTAATCCTGAACTAAATGACCAGCATGCAGCGGAGAAACTCAGCCTATCCTGAGGCCACACTTGCAGATGAGGATTGAGATCTCGTTGGCCGATCTCGGGGGTGTTCTCCAGTTGCGACATAATATTGCTTTAGCGCGGGGTCGAAAGCAAACATTGTATAGCTTAGCTCTGATAAGTAGAAGACTAGCCCGAGCGGTGGAGAGCAGGATTTCGCGCTTATCGAGTGTTTTCCCTGCAACAGCTGTGGGATATTTCTCTCAACGCTTCCGAAATGCTTCGCCCCGAGGTCCGTTGACATCCAACACCATCCATCGACTCATAACATCCCATTACTATTTACTAACCAATGCCACATTCAAACTTCAGGACCCGATCGAACGTTCCAGCGAGACCCAGCATGGCCTGCATCCTGACGGCCCCATCGAGCCAGACAGCAAGCACGAGAACGAAGCACACCACCACCACCTCCTCCAAGCCCTCAAGCGAACCCAGGACCTTCTCGGACCCGAACACCCCCTCACCCTCATCGCGATACGCAACCTCGGCCGCCACCTCCACAACAGCGGCAACTACGAAGACGCGGAGACCCTGTATCGCCAGGCGCTAGAGGTCACCGAGCGGCTGCTGGGACCGGAGAATCCGCACACACTCGCCGGCATCACCGACCTGGCGATCGTCGTCACCCACCGCGGCAGGTACATGGATGCGGAGATCATGCACCGACGGGTGCTGCAGATTAAGGAGAGGGTCCGTGGGGTTGCGCATGAGGACACGCTCGTCACGTTGGGGAATCTGGGGCTGGTGGTCGAGCAGCAGGGGCGGTACGATGAGGCGGAGGGGATGCATCGCCGAGCGTTGCCCTGCGGGTTGGAGCAGCGGCTGGGCTCGGCGCATCCGCAGACCTTGATTGTGATGGAGCATCTTGGGTGCTGTCTGGACAGTCAGGGGAGGTACGATGCAGCCGAGGGGATTCAACGACGGGTTCTAGAGGGGTGGGAGGTGGCGTTCGGGGATGGCCATCTGCAGACGCTGATTAGTGTGGGGAATCTCGCGGTGACGCTGCTGAATCAGGGCAAGCATGCGGAGGCGGAGGAGATGCAGCGACGGGCGCTGCAGGGGTCGGAGAGGCTGCTGGGGTCGAATCACCCAGACACGTTGACGCGGATGGGGAATCTGGGGAATGTGCTGAGCTGTCAGGGTCGAGACCCGGAGGCGGAGGTGATTCATCGAGGGGTTCTGCGCGCCAGGGAGGAGGTCCTTGGCCCGGAGCACCCGAATACCCTGACTGGGGTGGGTAATCTGGGGCTCATCCTCGATAAACAGGGGAAGTATAGCCAGGCAGAGGAGATGCATCGACGTGCGGTGAGGGGATGGACGAGACTCATGGGACCCCAGCATCCGTACACTCTGAACAGCCTGCGGAATCTGGCCGCGGTACTGGAGGCCCAGGACAGGCACGCGGAGGCTGAGGAGGTATACCGCCAGGCTGAGCCGATGGCAACGAGATAGATGGCTCTTGTCCGTGCGGACGGGTTCATCGTGCATGTCCGGGGTATGGCGAGTTGCGTAGGGAGCGAGTAGTGGATAGGTTGACGTGAGGCCAGGGTCAATATGATAGACATTCAAGACGCAGCACACAAGACACGGTAGAGATAGACTGTTCGGCCTAGAGCAGATTTGCTAGGATCAAAGGTTCAATGTCGATACGCATACTCAGCCCTATACCTCAGTCACCTTCGTTGGCGTTTGAGTTTGGAGGCACCAATGGAGGAATTTGATGGAAGAGGTATCTAGAAGCCTTTCTTGCCAGGATCAGTTCGTGTTGCTTTGTGCTCCCAGATCAATTTCAAGGACGCTCCCTAGCAGGATACAGTGGCGCAACTCGCAAAGACAGGACGCGGCCAGAGCAGAAAGCTCGATAATCCATGATTATCATTATCAATCAACAAGGACTTGAGGTCAGGAGGAAAACAATCCATATTCTGGCATAAACGTAGTGTCTATGGAGCTGTTTTCACATCGTTTCAACTCTACAAGTTTCGTAAATATTCTCCAGGACTGTTTCTGTGCCAATATCGGTCCTGATAGTTCTATCCTCCTCACGCAGTCTGTTATCAACCTACACTCCTTGCTTGCGAGCGAACCCGCACAGCCACGCGAAAGTCCTGCCAAACATGACAACAATGCGCATCCCGATCCCAATCGAACTCAGGATTTGCCAACTCCAAATCGTATCTCATCAACAGCTTCGCAACAGTGAGACGGAGCACTCGCAGCCCCATCATCTTGCCAGGACACGCATGAGTGCCCACCGAGAAGGCCGAAAAGGCGCCCAGATCCGACCCAGCAGTCGGGGTGGTCCATCGTTCTGGGTCCCATTGATCGGGGTCTTGGAAGTAATTTGCGGAGCGGTGAATCGAGTACTTATCCACGAAGACTTTTGCCTGTGTCGAGACGTCAGTTCCAATTAGCTGTGGGGGTAGTAGATGCAACTCACCCCTCGGGGCACGTAGACACCGTCCACTTCGATGCCGGTCGAAATCCGCGCACCCACGTCGTTCACGGGGGACTGCAGGCGAAGGCTCTCGTGGATGCAGGCGTTCAGATAGGGGAGACGAGAGAGTTTTTCGTCATTGAGGGGGTTGTCTGTCAAGAAGCCCTCGCGCAATTCGGCCTGCAGCTTTGCGAGGGCTTTCGGATGGCGCAGCAAGTAGTAGAAGGTGGAGGACGCTGCGGCTGAAACTGGGTCGTATCCGCCGATGCTTTGGCCTCGTCAGTGGATGTACCATCTTCACTGAGAATGGGAGTAAGGCTTACACAAGAAGACTAATATGCGCCATGGCGCGTTTCAAATCGGGCAATCCATCAGCACCGTCGGAGATGCCCAGTTTTTCTGCGACGAGACTTTGTCTGAACTCCCTGCGGTCCGTGAGTCTGCGGGTCGAGCAGTTAGATCTCCCTATATTATACCAAACTTCTCATCCCACTCACTCCTGAATCCGACTGAAGGTGTTCACCTGGACCCGATCGCTTGTCATCACAAATCGAACCATCCTCAGCAATATCGACGCTACCCACGCAGCCCCCGGCAAGCGCCCGATATAGAACATGAGATCCAGCCCGGCGGTGTACGCGTTATCCCACCGGCGAAACGAAGTAAATGTCTCTCTCGTGCTTAGGGGAATTTCATGGCCCAAGAAGAAGTGCCCCATGCACTGCCAGATCAGTCGGTCCATCCCCGTCGTCAGATTGTACTCCTTGCCATCACGGGCCGCGGTGTCCAGCTCCTCCTCCAGCTCTCCCAGATAGGCTTCATGGAGATGCTCCTGTATTTGAGCTGGATATGTCGCCAGAATTCCCTGGACTTGCGATCGCACACTTCGATGGTCTGTCCGGGTGGTTGCAGACTGCGCGGTGGTGTCGCCGATCACCACATCGATCGCAAAGCTGACGTTGTTCTGAGTGGGAGTGAAGCCCTTGGTGTACTCGTCCTTGTATATTTCATCGCGTGCGCGCGGGCTTGCGAAGGAGAGTTCGTTGGGGGAGATTCGAACTACTGGGCCTGCGCGGGTCAGTATCAGTCAACACTGGCAGCTTGCTGTGTCTGTTCCATACCGTATCTCTCGTGCAGGGCTCGTAATTTGGGGAGGAGCTTCCCCGAGTAACGCGCGTGCATGGCCCATATCTTTGTCGTGGGTTAGTGTTGAGTCTGACTGGGGAAAAGGAAGCGGTTACTGGCGACGCTGCAGCGAGTGCTGGGCCGGGGAATTTGGCGAGAGGATGGAAGTATCGGTCGTAGATGATAGTGGCTATCACCACAGCAGCCTGATTACTGTCAGTTGGACTCTATCTCAGTAGGCAAATGACACTGACCAGGAGAATTGGTATCATGTTTCAACTGGCGGACCACCTTTCTCGAGGTGTCGATTGCAGTGCCCTCAAGGCAGCTAATAAGTCGGCCTCGCGTGGAACCAGAATGAGTGGCAAGAATAACTGCGAAGAATCGAGCGAGAGCCCGTGTCGACTCTCAGGCACATTCACAATCGGTCTAGGGGATGGGGACCAGTGCGCTGGCTGTCGATCGGGTGGGGTCGTGGATACGAGATAGGGCTAACTTATCATTTTTGATCACCTCATCACGCCCTGAATACGAAATCAGCCGCCCAAATTCCTCTCTACATGCAGTAGCGGGGTAGATTTGCCAATCACCACCCAAGTTTACTCGCTCCATTGTGGATCCACTCCCGAATGACCTCTAAATTGCAAATCCCGCGTGCGCATCCCTGCAGGGAATATCAATCCCCACTGTTTGTTTGGCCCTCGATTCGTTTCGTGTGGGGCGAGATCGATGTGATGGAAATACCAGATCAGCGGTACGAGCCATTCAGGGCCGTGTTCTCTGCCTCGGGGGGTGGACTTGATAATGCGACTGCGTGGGGACGGATGCTCTCTTCAACCAGGAAGGAGGATACAAAGCCTGCTATATAAGGATGTGCTGACAAGCCTCATGACTCGGAGGGAATTTGACAGTTGTCGATAGCCACGTTTACACTCTCTGTCATGAACATGTCGACCAACATTGTCACAACCAAGCCAGGCCTGGCAAATTCTGCTTCTGAACCTACTGTTCGTGCAGCCCGCGCTGCGCTCGACAAAGCAACTCAGTACTCGTTTGAGCACATGAAAGATGACAATCACTGGTGCGGCGAATTGAAATCCAATGCAACCATCACAGCCGAATATGTTTTCCTTCGACAAGCTCTCGGATTAGACCTGACTTCGCAAGCACAGCCCCTCATCCGATGGCTGCTATCCCAGCAGAATCCAGATGGTTCGTGGGGGATTGCGCCGCACTATCCTGGTGACGTTTCGACCTCGACCGAAGCGTACTTTGCCCTCAAAATGCTGCGACTTCCACCTGAGTCCTCCGCCATGCGCCGGGCCGCGGAGTACATCCGGAGTGTCGGCGGTATTGCCCAAGTCCGCATTTTCACGCGGTTTTACCTGGCGATGTTTGGCCTCTTCCCCTGGGCGGCGGTCCCTGAGCTGCCGGCGGAACTCATCTTCATGCCTGCCTGGGCGCCGATCAATATCTACAGGTTTGCCTCGTGGGCGCGGAGCACGATAGTGCCTCTTCTGATTGTCTCGCATCACCGTCCGATTTATCCCCTCCCCAAAGACATCGTGGCCAATGGCACTTATCTCGACGAGCTGTGGCTCGACCCTGCTGATAAGATGGTTCCCTACCAGCGGCCTGCCAGTACCACTGGGACGAGCTATCTGGCCATGGTGTTTCTGGTTATCGATCGTGTATTGCATTTCCTGAATGGTTTTCGCTTCTTTCCCACCAGAGGCTACAGTCGTCGCAGCTGTGTCCGTTGGATTCTCGACCACCAAGAGGACTCTGGAGACTGGGCAGGCATCTTCCCGCCGATGCATCTCGGCTTGCTGGCTTTGACGCTCGAAGGCTACGCGATCACCGACCTTCCGGTAGTGAAAGCGCTGGAGGCGGTCGAGCGATTTGCATGGGATGACCATCGCGGTCGACGCATGCAAGCCTGCGTCTCCCCAACATGGGACACAATCCTCATGTCTATTGCGTTGTGCGATGCGGCACACCCCCGAGACAGCAAACGATTGCAATCCGCGATCAACTGGATTCAGAATCACCAGCTCACACAGAATTACGGCGACTGGCAGGTCTACAGCCCCAAGACCATCCCAGGAGGCTTCAGCTTCGAGTACTTCAACACCTGGTATCCCGATAGCGACGACACTGCAGCCGCCATCATCGCCTTTCTCAAGCATGGATCCAGCGCGACGGACAACAACATCGTTCGCGCGGTGCGCTGGATCCTCGGGATGCAGAACCAGGACGGCGGCTGGGGAGCATTTGACATCGACAACGACGCGCTCTTTCTGAACCAGATCCCCTTCAGTGATATGGATAGCCTGTGCGACCCCTCGTCTGCGGACGTCACCGGACGTGTGCTGGAAGCGTTCGGCCTACTTCTTCAGAGTCCGGTCGCTCAACGCGTGGGCCCGAAGCTCCTGGCGCAGATGTCCGCGGCCTCGGACCGCGCGATTCTGTACCTTGCTGACGAGCAGGAGCCGAACGGGGCGTGGTATGGCCGGTGGGGATGCAATTACATCTATGGAACGAGTAATGTGCTCTGCGGGTTAGTTTATTTCCGGAAGCACGATAGTCGCGTTTCGAATATGGCTTCTAGAGCGGTGCAGTGGGTTCTGTCGGTCCAGAATGCGGACGGGGGATGGGGCGAGAGCCTCGAGACTTACCGGTCCAGCAACTGGACCAGCATCGATCATCCTTCTACCGCGTCGCAGACAGGGTGGGCTGTCATGGCTTTGCTGCCGTATCTGGCTTCCGGTGGCACTGCTATTGAGCGAGGTGTCAGCTATCTGCTCCAGACTCAGTCGAAGGGAGACAGTGGGAGGGGCGCCACCTGGGAGGAGACGCGGTTCACAGCAACAGGGTTCCCAAGATTCTTTTATATCGGCTATGCCTTTTATGCTCACTACTTCCCGATGATGGCATTAGGACGGTATGTGCAGTTGGCTGGAGGTGGAAGTCTGGGAATCGCGTCGGAGAAAGAGATTTGCTGATTTTGAGGTATGATATGGAATAATGATGTCACGAACTCCTGGCAGCGTCACAGCAACCACAGTAGGCCTGAATAAACGTTATATTGAGCCCTATCTAACTAATTGATGTTTTTGGTATATGTCTCCCCATCTGATACAGTGAAGTGCACGTGACGTCTTCCATGTATAGCGCCTTCCCCCGTGACAGTGAAGTAACATGAGCAACACCATCCTCTGCGTCCATCCTCTGCGTCCATCCTCTTCGTCCATCCTCTATCGTATGACCACGGGCACATCACGCATCGCACTCTTCCCCGAAAACAGCTTTACAGAGCAATACAACTCCTGACTTGACTATAGATCCCACAAAGAAGCTCCCAATGGAGATCCTCGATCGAGTAAGCTAGAATTTACTATCTGCGATGATGAAATTGAGCTAATTCACATAGATCATCTTCTTCGCAGTGAAGCCCACCAACGGCAGCGACGAATGGTGGCAAGAGCCTGCTGGCATCGACGAAACCATCCTAACCATCTCCGCCATGCAAGAGCTACTCAGTCTCCGTCTCGTCAACCAGGCATTCTGTCGCAGCGCCTCGGCGCTTCTTTTCCGCCAGGTGTATGCCGTGATTCCCGGCGACAAGGAGTCCCGTCTCACAGGGCGCCTTGAGAAGCTGCTGCACAGCCCCTATGTCTCGCTTGTCCGCCGCATCGACCTGGGGGATCGCATGGATTGCTGCACGACATCAGCTTGCTTCCAGAAACTCACCAACAGCTGGCCCGAGACGACCGTTCTATCTCTCCTGCGGCGATTCCCAGCTTTGCGGTCATTGTCATTCTACGTAAGCTCGGTGACAAAGACCCGGTTACACCCGCACCTAGGAAGATAAAGAACAACAAGACCAAACAGGCGGAATACGACCAAGTCGCATGGGTACAAAGACCCTTGGTGGTCGGGCGCTGGGATCCGATTATCTCCGGATGGCTACCGTACAATGTACGCCTGTCTGACTGGCTTATCTACCTCATGTTCAAGCTTCTACCAGCGACTGAACGAGCGAAGTATGATACTGACTTTACTCATAAGGGTCAGCTTCGTACAGGCAGAGTCCCGATTAGCGAAACTATCTTAATCCATATCCATGGTCTCTGGTGGTATCCCATTGTACGAGGGGGATATATTCTCTATGAAGACACAGCTCGCTCCTGGTAGTCTTGGCTTTTAGCAGGACAGCGGATCGAGTACATCCATTTCGGACGCGTGTACCTGTATGATCGACTGTGGCGCGATGTCTTTGTGAGGATGGGCACTCTGCCGCAGCTGCTGGAGCTGGCGATCGATGACGGGGAGTGCGTGCATCTCATCGATCGAGAGAATCTGGGAGGGCTGGCGAGCTTGTCGCCACATGATCGGGCGGCGCTGGCGATCCTGTTTCGACAATTCAATCCGAATCGATTCACCGCGGGTCTGCCGCCGTCGGAGTCCGCCTTGGATTATAATCCAGCGGTCTAGCAGAGCTCTACGTCGTGTCTTGTTGGCTGATGCTGGCTGCTCGGGCCCTTGCATGGTGTCGAGTGTCGTTCAGCGTATGTGCCATGGGATGCAGTGATATCTCGCAAAGTCCAACCCTATGTGTCTTGTTAAGTCCTCCGGGGATGTGCATGCAACGAGTACGGCCTGTAGACAAGGAATTTCTCGATCATATGACTTTGGATCGCCTCATGAACTGATTGACCTGCGAGTTTACTTCATTCTGCGTATTATCTCCCTGTTACGTTGAAGCTCCTCAGAAATACCCCAAACTCAATCAGAGTGTGAGGGTAGTTCTTGCAAAGTGTATTGACAAATCTCGCACTGCAAGATGTACTTCCTGCGCCGCGCCATGATTCTTCGTAGATATAGTATTCACAGTGCCGATGTAGTTGTGGGTGGTGGGGAAGTTTGTGGAATCGGGTGTGTGCATAGCAGAAGATGGAATAGGAGAAGGGATGAGGTGTGATCCAGAGAGGGGTAGTAGGTAGATGCCACGAGGTAAAGTGGATCGAGTTGGGTAGAGACAGGCTCCATGTTCCAAAACGTGCTCTTTTTCAATCCTGATGCGGCTTGATTGTCTTGACACAACCGCTAACGCTACTCTGTTCGGTTTGTGTGTGCTACCCCTTTTTGGAGTCAAGGCATCTCTGCACTCTGCACAGTAGGTTTATGTGTTGTGCTTGTCATGCCTGTTCTATGGCGGGTGTCATGCCGCAGGACTTGCTCATCCGTTGCGGTTCGTGTCTCTCTGCTTCAGTTGTTCTCGCTCATCCCAGGGTTGGCAGGGTGCAACCAACCTGGCAGATTTCTTTGTAAATTCGAGTTGGTATGCCATTGTAGGGTTGGTAAAGCCATTCCAGAAAGAGCTTTAGGCTCGAGGTTTGACACGGCGAAGAATCTTGAACCGACCAGCAAACCAATCAGCCTGCTTCGTCTAACCTCGGGGTGACCGGAGCATGAGTTGATCGTCGCCGACTTTGAAACTCTGCAGCACTGAAGCTCTAGACATTCTGAGTGCTGGCTACCGTACATGAGTTGACGTGGTGACTTCTGCGAGGATGTTGCACTTCTGTCTCCTTCAGCTGCTCCTTGTGGTTTCCATCGTGTGTAAGGTTTTGCAAAGGATTCTTGGCTTCGATTGAGCCGGAGTCATTGTGTGGTGTTCTTGTCATCCCAGGAGCATTGGGTAGTGTCCTTGTCTCGGCGTGCTGGTACTGCTTCGCTTTCTGGCATTTTCCCCGGTGTAGAGTTTCCGTTCACTCGGTCTTGAGCCGGTGGCTGAGATTGGGCAGGTGGAGGAGTGGTAGTGGGATTCATCAAGGTATCCCGTGCGATACGCTTGTAAGTCCCATACTGTCTGAGGTAATGTGGAAATGGTTGGAGGAGGATTGAAGAGATATCTCTGGGAACTGGGGAAGTGGGAAATGGAGGGAGAGTAAGCCGTTATCATGATTCAGGACTCCTCAAATAGTTTCTGATGTACTTGATTCACAGAAGCCAGTTATATGGATTCACACGGTCATGCTATCTCCATTCACAGGGGTGATTTCTTCATCTTTAAAGGTGGTTCTCCTAATAGTAGTCATAAGTGACACCTCCGACAGCTCTTATTCACTAAGAAATTGCATGAGGCTAACATCTGGCTGTCTCACGTCGTATACAAGATATGCATTGTACACTCGAGATGAAGCTGTAGAGAATACTAAACTCCAAGGGCGCCTCCGCTCGCATCATGATTGAATGGTGGTTGACATTCTGGCCCTGAGCCTCGTCTACTGCTAGGTACATTCAACAACTGTTGTCATATCTTTGAATCAATGGACTCTCACAACAAAACCCCACGGACCGAAATCAAAACAGTACACTGCAAGATAAGCCTGGGCGACGGGTACACCCACAGCAGAGATGGGAGTCACAGGCAAGCTGAAAGAAAGACCCTTACACTTTCTCCAGACAGATCTATCAAGACCCAGGACTAGTCAACAGGCTCAAATCAAGTACTACTCTCTCAACGAGCAGATCCACCTTCACAGCAGGCCGACCCGGAAGAGCTTGGCTGCTACAAAGATGGCCCTACATCCACTGCACCAAACCTCGAATAGAACCGGTAAACTCCTTTTGATTCATTCTGCTAGATTCCTCTCGCACACTATACTAATTGCTATGCGGTGCGGGCCATTGACTAGTCCCACCTTCAGAACCAGCCGATCGACTTCGCGCGACCTCTACTCGTACGCAGCAATCGCACTAGCGAAAGCAGCATCAACCGACGCAATGGCGGAAGCAATCGTCGTCTGATCAGTCGAGGTCGCCTTGGCCTCCAGGTCCGCACCCAGCTCATCCGTCTCGGTCTTCAGGGTCTCGACATACGAGAGAAGAGTGGAGCTGACGCCGGCGGACGCGGCGGTGGATTGCTGTACACATTATCAGCCACGGCACGCAAGCTAAAAAGCTTCAACGGCAGCACGAAAGGCCAGCCCTACCTTGGCGATAATCTCGTTCAGGGTCGCAACAATTAGCACGGAGAGCGTGGACACCTCGGAGGTGATGCTCGAGCTCTCGGAGGTGCTGAATGTCGAGGCTGCCGTGGTGTCGGTGATGGCGGTGTCCAGGGCGCTTTTGACGGTGTTGTAGTCACTTACGATGCCTAGAGCAGCGAGCAGGTCGCCGGTCCAGTTGCTCAGGTCGGTCTTGAGGGTCGACACGTCGGTGTAGATCGTCTGGAGGTCTGTCAGGACTGTTGCCGCATCACGTCTGGAAATAGGCCCTGCTTGGGCGAGAAGGCCCAGGGCGGCAACGAGGAGAGATTGGCAAAGCATGGTGAGGATGGGTGGTTGGTGGGGGTGGGATCTGTTCAGACTGGTGATGATTTTGAAGCTCTTGATCTGCTCAGGCTGGGGATGTCCGTGATGTCTTGTTGAGTCCAATCCTCAGGGCATTCACCCCCTTTAAATATGTTTAGATGCAAGGGATGGCTCGCTGTCATGAAGTCTCCCACGAAGAGAACGACCGCTAACACAGAACGGCCACGGATGTGAAGTCGCCGTTCCAGCGCGATATGCTTCATCCTCCGCCATAGCGCGGCCGGTTGATGCAACCCCCGCATTCATCTATTGTGTCGCCTGTTGGCCACGGTCTTTCACGTGTCGAGTGTAGGACCGAGGAATCGTGTATAGTGGCAATTCGCGCAAACAATTGCAGTCGGGGATGTGTCGCTAGCTTCATGCCGCTTGCTGGGCTTGATCTCGGGCTGTTGGCGAGGGTCTATCTGGAGAGGTGAGGTTATTCTTCAACTATAATCGATGTCACAGCAGAGCATGGAAGACTTCCAAGATAGTGCTCTCCCTGACCGTTACCGAGAAAGATGCTTGCCGATAGACAAGACCGAGAGGATGGCGAGTTCTCCTCAGAGGCACCTCATCTCAGACGGAGGCCTGCACAGCTCAGACCGAGGTCAATCCAGCCCCTGTCGTCGGGGATGCAGAACTTGTGACCAAGTCAGTCCAGACCATGCATGGCAGTCCATCCATGAGCAATAGACAGATGATCTCGTACACTACTACGGTATAGAGTAGTATTCAGGAGAGAAAACAGTCCCTGATCGACCACCACTGGCTGACCCCGCTCGAGCGCTCAGATATCAATCTAGACTCCGCACCACAACCCCGAATGCCACTCTAAGGATAGGTAACCATTGGCTCCCGTGTGTTGGTGGCGCCGGAACGCTCCAGAGGGTGTTATTGGCCGCTGTACCAAGCATTGTGCAGATCTCTTGCAGAGACGGAGTAGATTGGTGGCTAAACTGGAGATGCAGAGGCAGCAAAGAAGTCTGCGCGAGGAATTGAGCGGAAAGATGAGGAAGGTCTGGATTAGGCTATTTGTAGGCAGCTGAAGAGGACTAGGGGGGTGCTTGTGTGATCGAGTGGAGGTCAAAAAGTGTTTCCGAGGCTATACATAATACAGGCCAGTGACTGTGGGGGGGCAGGAAAAACGAAAAAAGAAATTGAGTGCATCATCCGTGAATCGAACACGGGCCTCATCGATGGCAACGATGAATTCTACCACTAGACCAATGATGCTTCTATGGAAGAGCCCTGTTTTATTATATGTCAAAGTTGTGCAAATCATCTCATGGTCCATCTTTGCCAGGTCAAAACACCCTACCTTGATCAGACACTGTATATTTGATCACTGTATATTTGATCAGACACTGATATACAAACGTCTGACATTGGCTATTAGCACCATAGTCTACATAAATCCTTTAGACTTCCTCAAACAGAATATCGTGCACATTGATCATTACAACGTCATCCATTACCTTTAGAGCACGCGTGATGATATATCATCCGCAATGTATATATTTGCACCAGACACAGCACAGCCAGCAACCCACATCAACAAGACAGTAATCCCATCTCACAAGACTTATCATTGATAACTACGGCTCTATAACCTTGCACCCTCGCAAAACAACTTGGCATAACATCACCACCGCCAGCATAACCACTCAGCACAACCACGACATACCGTGTCCAATCCACCCCACCCCTCCCAGCAAAACGCAATCCACAAATCAACCATCGAGAGTATCAACAACAGCAACCACCCTTGCGCAAATGCGAGAGCAGATCTGCCACGTCCAATGTGAGCGTGTCGCGCATTGGCCACCGCCGCAGGGATCGACCCGCGCTGCAGTCGCCTTTGACATCATCGCCACTAACCAGTGCTTATCTGGCCGCCAATGCGCTCATCCCTCGCACTGCCGCGAAAGACTATACGGGTAACGCTGGCCGATCGACGCTCAGAGGGTTTTTGTGTGGTGCGGTGCGATAACTGTTATACTACGCCACTGACGTACGGCCACTGCTGAGGTGTGGTGGAGCTGGGGATGGGAGATGAAGATATATACACCTCCTTTCACCCCCGGACTTCGGTCGTTCTCCACTACACTAAAGCTCCACTGCAACGATCAACCTTAACTTACTTGACACTGAGCCATCTGATACTTGCAAAACAAACCACAATAAACCAGACAAAATGCCTCTCTTCCACCGCAACTCCGTCTCCAGCTCCTCCGACCGCAGCATCGACGACCCTAACACCTCCCACTACTCGCACCGCTCGCGTCGCTCCCACCACTCCACCTCCCCACGCTCCAGCCTCTCCTCTTCCTCCTCCTCGCGCCGCCAAAGCCACAGCAGCTACGGCCATAGTCACAGCGGCAGCACCCACGGCCACTCACGCTTCAGCTTCGGGCGCCACAACAACGAGGACCCCTCCGTCCTCGCCGCGAAGGAGCAGGTCTCCCGCGCCGAGGCCGCCGAGCGCGAGGCCGATCGCGCCCTCCTGGCCTCGCGCCGCGCCGTCCAGGAGGCCCGCGAACATGTCAGGCTTCTTGACGAGGAGGCCCGGATTGAGTATGTGCCCTTGCCATTACCCACTACCCACTGCCAATACCCACTACCCACTGCCAATACCCACTGCACTCCCTCTCCAGGCACACAGCTAACGCATATCCCTGCAGGGCTCGCGCCGCCAAGATGAAGCAGGACCAAGTCAAGTCGATCACGAAACGCGCCAAGCCGCTGGGACGTAAGTGATTCGTCGTTGCATTGTATACACGGGGTTGAGGTCGGGATGCTGATGGAGTGTGTGGTTTAGGGCATGTCTGAGGGTGTCGCCTCTTGATGCCTGTATATTAGTCTCTGCTTTGTGTTTGACGTAGCTTGAGCGTGTTTGGCTTTTGGACGAGAATCGGGGTTAATTTTGTGTACAATATCAGAGTGTATGATATGTATAGATGGTGGCAATCTATTTGTGTTTCGACAATCCATGGTTCGGGAATGTGCGACTGGGTTGACGGTGTTGTAGAGGAAGGCAGTTGAATCCATGTCTTCGCTTTGTAGCCGCCAGAGTGTCCAGCCAGTGACCATGACGTGCCTGTAGCCCGACGTCCAGCGGCTGTGCCAGGAACCAGTAGTTGCGGGTCGAAGGTCGGAGAGGCCGTGGCGTCAGGGAATGCCAGCTGGACGCTGCCGCGCGAGGAAGGCCACTTGAGCACGGCCACAATTCTCACGAAATACTCAGCTTCCGTCATGGCAAGATGCCCTTAGGACGAGGACCTTTTCAAGAGTGATCTGAAGTGGGACGAGGGTGTCCTGTCCGGTCGGCTCCTCCGTGTCCTCCAACAGCTGTCGCAGGAGACGACACTGCGCTGCTCGGTCGGGTGATACCGCCGGCTCGTCGAGATGCTTGTCCAACAGGAACTGCAGCTCTCCGTCTTGAAGCTCCGGAAGCGTCAAGAACGCAGACGAAACGGGACACAAGCTCAGTGATCCCGCGCCTCATGCTTGCCATGCCTCCGGGCAACCTGGGCAAACTCTGGGCTGCACAGTGCTTCGGCGGTAATCTGTCCATCGGCGACCTCCCCACTGAACGGAACAAACCAGTGTTTTTGAAGGTCCTCACCAACATTCGCTTTATGAATGATTGGCTTGATGCCATGACTTTCGAGTAGCGTGGGTATCTCCAACGCCGGAACGCTCGAGAAGCTGTGGTGTATTGACGGCGCCAGCGGCGAGGACCAGCTCAGCCTCAGCATGAATCTGTCCGCCGCTCCCGTCCTTCCTTGCAAATAGCACCCCGGTCGCATTCACCTCCCCTTTGTCGGCCTACTCGAGAAGGATCTTCTCGACAAATGCTTCAGTCACTACTCGCAGATTCGGCCGTTGAGCGATCTCAAGATTGCAGTAGGCGACGCCGGCGTGGCTGCGCGCTCGGGTGGTTGCATGGATTGTGCTGATAGATGATCTCGTGACGGTCGTAACTTTGCGTTGCTTTTTGGTGTGATGCCATCCTGTCTGCAGGCATGTCTTTGCACTTTACAAACACTTTTATTCAGCAGCGTGGAGGCCGAGCTTAATGATATGACGGTTTCTTTTGTTGCGATCAATCCAGACTGAGTGGCAAATAGAACGAAGTAGATGGTCGGAGAAACTGTCGTAGCGTCTCATGGTCGGCCCTGCACCAATCCAAGACTTCACATGAATCTCAATCTATGGAAAAGGCCATAAGAGAACCTCAAGCAATGACAACCACCCGATCCTCTTCTTGGATCTGTCCCAGCTCTTACTTAAAGCACTGCCAGCAGATATCGTCTAGCAAAATCATAGTTTCCTGGCCCAGAGCGATGCTTAGGACGGATGCTGCCAATCGAGCTTCCCAGTTCTGATGCGCTCGAACCAGACTCAGTCCGCCCCCATAGGCGGTTGCACCAACTCATTTCATCGATCGACGCACGTTAGAAAAGTTGTGGCTCTCCTCCCGCGCTATGACCACTATCAGTGTACGATCGAACCCGCCGAAGACTTGCGCGCTGAAGTGATTTATTGACATCCAAATCAGCCACCCAATATTTGTGGTCATGCAGCGAGATCAGTGCTTCGACCAAGTACACCATTGAGTCTTTGCACAAGCTAGGCCCTACGTCGATCCCAGAAACATCGTCAGTAAACCTCAGATGCAACGAGGTGCTGCCGAAGCGGTCATCAAGGCACCCGTCAAAGACCTCATATGTCGTTTGGGGCCATTCGGTGATCTTGACCTCCTTGATCACGGGTGCTGGCGGTGGCACTAGGAAGGAGATTCCAGGCCGGCCAATATTGCCTTCGATGTGAACAATGTCTTGTGATTCTTGCTGGTTCCACGGATCGGATAACAAGGAAGTCGAGACGTAAAGGGAGTCGGTCGATGAGATTGCGATAGCGTGATGCAACTTGTCGAAGGGCACGTCGTGTCTCCTCGAGTCAAGCAGTGCAATACAAGAAAATGCCTCGGGCAGACTTAGGGGGCGCACGTCGAGTGACTCCGGTACACTGAGTGAGTTTGGAGAAACGTGGTCGTCTTTCTCCATGGTTCTGACCCTAGTCGAGAATGGCCAAAGTGACTCTGGCCCCGTTTGCGGTTCCTTGTAGGAGTCCTGTTGTCTTTGCTCACAACTTCGAAACCAATGGGCGTCAACAACGTACTTTTGCAGGGTCCTGACGTCGATGGTAGGCGTGCAGAGCGTCTTATAGAGTTTCATTCATGGTGAAGACGGCCTTGAGCGTAATGTGGGAATGACCACTCGTGACAGCACTCCCGACTCCTGACAGTTGGGGCGTTTGCAGGGTTTCATATAGCTCGCATGCGAAAGCACTAGCAGAGATGCCTTGAGCCTCCACAAGGGCAGTGAAATGCCGCATGTCACACCTGGCCATCCAATCTTTCGTAAGATTATTGGGTGAATCATCAAGAACAAAAAAACCCGTTGAGTCTTCGTCGCCATAGAAAAGTATATAATGAGGGATCTTCGCATGACATAGATGGTCGTCAGATGGCTCGCATTGACGTCCGAAATCGTCGAGTCGGAGATCTCGTTTAAGAACCTCTTCCCCATGATATTCATATCGTGCCTTGCGCGAGAGGTAATCTTCAACTACCGCCTTTCGTTCGATCTCATCAGGAAACATTTCCTGCTCTAGACTGATCAAATTCTCGAGATCGTCGTAGCCAGGATTTTGACGGTAGCGGTAAAACGCTTGATGCACTTGTTCAAACTCTTCCTGCGAGCCACCTCCAGCACACAGCCACCTTCGATAACCCGAGAAGGCCAGGAATTGATCAAGCTTTCTTTTGGATCCGAGGGCACTACCCCCCCGAGTCGTCTGTTCCGTCGGAAGTGCACTTGCATACTCCCAGACATCTGTTGATCCAAATCGGCGCCCGCACCTGATAACGAGGTCCTTACAACCAACTAACTCAGAGATCTCTTGCGTGATTCGCCGAAGGAAGGCAATTCGCTCTTCTTCGTCGCTCATGCATCCCACGAACCGGCCGTGTCGCAGAAAATCTGGAAAGGCTCACGACAGCCTTCCCAGAAAGTCATCGGCATATCTACGACCGAGGGATACTAGACTGTCCGCTCTTGACCTCTGACTCCCCGCAGGAATGCGATAGTGATTGGCTGCCTCAAAAAGGAGAGATAACCACGAGTCTTCATTCCTAAGGAGTGCGTCGGCTTCCGGGCAGCATTGCGTAGCCGCTGCTTTAGCTAGCAAGACCTCGAAGTCTGACAGCAGGCCGACAGCAAGGACTGGACGTAGGCGCATTTCCTTCCACCAGCGAAGATAACACCCAAGAAATGCGAGCAGGAACTCTTTGATCGATAGTCTATCACGTCCCCTGGTGTCAAGCGTACCCATGGAGGTAATGGGTGCACCGTACTACCGGACGCGGGCCAGTGGTAGAGACCAGTAGATACTGTTCGCCTTCTTCATCACCGGGCTTTCTTCCAACCCGACTGTGACTGTGGTACTAAGGGAAAAGACCAAGTCGGCCTGAGTGATTAGGTCCATGCCCGAAATTGTGGCCAAGATGTGCGGGAACAGATGCCAGGAGTAGGCTACCAGCAGTAGTTTCCCAGGCTGGATCGCCTGAGAAGTTCCTGTCAGCAGAGCTTCCATCTTGACCATGGAGCTCTTCCAGGCGCTCATGACGCTCGCATGTATTGTGCTCGTTGTTTACAGGGTGACGCATGCAATCCATCTTCATGGAAAAATCCTTGACTTCCTGGCTCTTAGCCCTGTCTGCAACTCACAACCATGCGCGAGCACTAGCGTCCCTTTCGGCTAGCTGTTCCCTGGAGATATCACGCCGCGCGGCGACTAGAGTGGCACCATGCGCGAACCTAGTCTCTTCAAATTCAAATTCGCTCTCGACTTCCTCTCGTCGCTGCTCGACAATTTCCACCCCGATGGAAACCGCTAAAGGCGCATCCCACATTCGAGCCAGCATACAAGCTAGAAGATGAACGGCGATAGCGTTATTTCAGCCATAGAAGTGAGTTAAAAGATTTTTTGAGGCACGCACCTTGTCGTGACGCTGATATGTGAGAGTCTGTGAGCACAAGCTAGTGCAAGGCGACGCGCCTGGATACGAAGGCACTCTCCGAGTGGCCATGGTCGCCCCAAACATTCTATGAATCCCGGAGGATATCTCCCTGGTCCGTGCCACAGGCGCCATAGAAAAATGGAACATAAGCTTGTACTGGTTGAAAAGAGCTGCTCGGCAAAGAATGCCTCATTGCTGTAGCGGTAGCTGGCAAGGCAGGTGTAGGAATTTGCGAGAGGATGGATGCAGCAAGAGACAAGAGAGGGAGAGGACGATAAGATAAAGCGATAAGAGAAACAGGTCACCTGACTATCTCACGGTCGGGGATTACCCCATTTCTCCCCCGCATTTGTTTTCCAAAAGATTCCCTTCATCCACCCTCTATTCTCCTATCACTCCTGCCGCCTTCGTCAAAGCGTTCTATCATGCATCATGTACAATTCCTGCTACACATGTCGTCGCAGACATGTCGAATGCCAAATGTCCGAGCCCCCGTGTAAAAAGTGCCAGAAGGCCGGGCTGGAGTGCCTGCAAAAGAGGCCTCTCCGTTGGGTCAAGGGCGCTACGTTTCGCGGTACAGCAAAGGCATCAGTCAACACCCCATACAAACCCGACCGGGCGATTTCCTCACAGTTCGGCTCTACAGTTACGATCATCAAGAACTTAGAGCGATGGCCCGCTACAACCTTTGATATTGCTCTTTCCCACATACCTCTCGGCCTGGGCGAGCCCGTGACCCGAAGTCTGGACGAGGATTCTCAATACTACCTCAATTACTGTCAGTTGCTGTTGACCGAGTATCTGAGATACCTGGCTGATCTTTCTGACAGACAGCAAATGCGTGTGCAAGCTGTTTGTCATGTTCGATAGCCAACGCAACCCCCTCAGACAGCTTATTCCCGCTGCTATCGCCCATCCGGTCCTCCTCTCGTCCGTCGTCGCTCTCGCAGCGCGACACAGAGCGAATATCACACAGACTTTCGATCAAATTCTCGCAACTCAACAACAAGCAACCGCTTTAGAACCTCGTTATGGCGCTTCCTTGTACAAATACCAGGCTATCAGAGGGCTCCGGCAGGCCCTGGACGAGGGGACAACTTCGATCGATATCTTGATCGTCAGTGCATTTTTATTGATTCTTCTAGACCTGTTCGAGTCCGGAAATGACAATTGGAACTTCCACGTTGAGGGTGTAAAAAAGCTCATCGCTGAGATCCGGGTTTCGACGAGCTCGAGGGAATTGGGGACAACTATCGAAGGGATGCGCAACTTTGCAATGCGCCAGGTCTACTTGTATGTCCCTGCTTCACGACTCGTTCTCTTACTTGTAATACACGGACTGACTTGGAGTTTTATTCAAGGATCGACACACTAGGCACGACTTTTACGCGTCCTGGGCTACTCGTGGACTCCCCTACCCACCAGCCATCCACAACCCTCCAAATGAGCGCCGACAAGGCTTATCTGGGATGCCCAGAATACTTCCTGGATGTTCTCCGCTCTTTCTCGGCAGCTCGAGATTGTTTGGCGAGTCTTGAGCAGCTTGACAGCATCGGTGCGGATTCATTGCTTCATACCATCAAGGTCTCACTAGAGTCCACCCAGAGCTTTGACTGCTGCTCCTGGGCCAAGGATGTTGAGCTGCCTTGTTCCTCAAACCCTCTGCCAACACGAACTTTGCAAGATCTGGAGGACCTAGGCCAGGCCTATAAATTGGGGACCTTGATCTACGGCTGGCGTGTCTGCGACGTACTCACGGGAGACTCGACTCCTTTGGAGGACATAGAGGAGGAACTCATCAGCATGCTGGCTTCCCTGCGGAGCAACGAGGCACTCTTCAAGTGTATCCTCTGGCCTTTATTTGTCGCAGGCTTGGAAACTCGGGATGAGTCTCAGAAACAGTTGGTGGGGGACTGCCTCCGCAGGTTCTGGTTCGAGACGAAATGTATCAACGTGATCAATGCGGAGAAAATCCTTCAGAGGTTCTGGGCCGAGGCGGAGCAGGGATCAAGCTCTAGGTCTAATTGGATTTTCAGTATGGGACAGATAGATGGCGACTGGCTGCTGATATAGGCTGGAGGTCTTCAAGGCGTTGTCCACGTCATCTTGTACTGCCGGACAACCCCAGCAATGGTTGGTCAGCGTCTGCCCCACTCCAAAAGATTTCCCGATTCGGTAAAGTCAGTTTCGAGCCGCGGGCTGGAGCTGAGGACGAGATGAAAAGATCCCGCGGACAGGCAGCCGTTGTCCTCTCGCTATGCGACATCTTGCAGTGGCTTGCCTTTGCACGGTGTGGTGAAGCTTGAGGTTGAGAATGAGCAATCTGTCAACTGGGATTACAAATCGTCACCATGAGCGCATCCGCGCTGCGGAGACCTATAAAGGTAGCCAATGCCTTCTCTCCTCAGTGACCTGATCATCTTCAAAAGACTCTTTTGCACTTGAACCTGTCTTGACTCTTGTACTACCGCTGCCACCATGTGTCACAGCGAAGTCGAACTCAACGGCTGGACCAGCGTCCCCGTCAACGCCGGTGTCATCTTCAAGGATCAGCCTTTCATCAACGCACCTGCTCCCCTCTCGGTCGATGAGATCCAGTTTCCTTCTGACGACCCCGTCGTTGCAAAGACTCGAGACTATGCTCGGGCTGTTCTTCATCCGCAGACCTTCAATCACTCGATGCGGGTGTATTACTTCGGTACGTCGGTCGCGAGCATCAAGAGACGAGACACTAACCCTCCGGCAGGCATGGCCATCGCCAAACAGCAGTTCCCGAAGCAAGCCGCCACGTTTAGTTCTGCAAGCTGGGCCCTGCTCTGTCTGTTGCACGATCTCGGTACAGCCGAGGAGCATCTGACCGCTACTCGGATGTCCTTTGACCTTTATGGCGGCATCAAAGCTCTGCAGGTTCTTAAAGACTTTGGCGCGACTACCGACCAGGCGGAAGCGGTCGCTGAGGGAATCATCCGGCACCAGGACACGGGCGTGGACGGGACCATTACCTTTTTCGGCCAGCTCATCCAGCTTGCGACCCTTTACGACAATGTGGGCGAGCACCCTAATGTCAAGGACTTTGGCCGGATCCTCCACGATGTCACTCGGGAGGAAATCAACAAGGCTTACCCGCGGCAAAACTGGTGCTCATTCTTTGCGGATGTTATCCGGAAGGAGGAGGGCATCAAGCCTTGGTGCCATTCGACCCATATTGTGAATTTTGACAGGGAGGTCGAGGGAAACACCTTGATGAGGAAGTGGGAGTGAATCAGTTGAGTTGTTGTTTGTGTAAGCAAGCTATGAGGGTATGGCTAGGACTACGGTTAATGCATAATGTCACTGTTGATCCCCCTGTTTTGTGCACGTAATTCTGCCGAGACGCAACAGTTGACGGACTTGCTTTCAAAGGGGCAATATTCAACACAACCCGCCTGAGTTAAAGCTTAAACCACGACGGATGACTGTGAAGAGTAGACTCTGGTCAAGCTTGCAGACACACTGGTCATTCCGATCGCATGCCATGGCGGATTCAGGATACGAAGAGGAAATGAACAGCACGGTGAAGATTACGTATCGAGCCCGCGGTTAGACCCAGACTGTTGACAAAGGAAAACTATCTGTTCCGCGGTACAGTGGTTTTCCCCGTCCGATTGCAATGGAGAAACCATAATCTCAGCGACGTTGGTCATGCCAAGGTGCTTGTCTATATGATGTGTGCGACTGACGTGTTCTATCATGTTATGCCAATCGATTCTATGGTGGCACGTTCGGGAACACAGGCTGGACACCAGAGGCCCCCTAATCGAGGCTATAATCATCCACCATCCTCTATAGAACCAGTATGGACTGCGAATACAAGCTGCAGACAACGCTTTCGCATCTTGTCCATTCGCAGTCCGCTCACCCAAAGCAGAGTATGCCTGCTGGTGGGCTTCCCTGCGTTATCGCTGCAGGAACCAATCGATATATCGATCCTCGATTGCTCTGCAGGACGATCGCTGCCCCTTGCAGCTCTACTGGGCTGATGGATTTAGGTCGACTTGGCGCTATTAGTGACTGTGTCTGCCCCTGATCTACTGCCAAGCGTGTCCGGTGGCCGAACTCTGAGTGAGAAGTGGTTGTGTTTATCCATCTGTACTGCATATCCGGAGGAAACTACAAAGTAATAAATATTAGTGGTACTGGAGTGGGGAGAGGTGTACTCGACTGCCTCGGTGACTAAATCAATATATTGGGTGAGGACTGGAGACATTGGATCTGACCACTGTAGAGCGGGTAATTCCTTCTTTCTTCCAATCCACACCGGTTGTGTCCTACTACTGTAGGTACCTATGGACATGATACATAGTGTTGTACATTATCCTGCTATTGATGGAGAAACAATACACACACGTGACTCGGACTAACCGAAGGGATTCCGAGGAATGCTTGGAGGCTGCGTTCGGTGGCCACCACGAGGACAACAAGCGCCTCGGGGCATTCTCCGTTTCGAGCCGCCATTCATTGTCTCTGACTGTTTTCATCTCTGTTAATTTTAATTTGGGAGTTGCAGAAATCCTGGTGATAATTATGATGTAATTGCATACTGCCTGACCGTGCCCTGCCTCCCTCCAAGACACGTTGTGTGAACTGTGAACCGCGAACTCACCTTATGCATGCGTTTTTCGGGACAAAAGGTCCACCCGAATTGCTCCAAGGTTGAACTCGGTAGTTCCTGTCGGACTGACCCGAAAGCATCTTTTCCCTGTCTGATTGGCCCATCGCTTGCCCATGGCTGCCAGCACCAACCCAGGACTGCCAAACCCAACCACGCGCCGTTGCTGTACCAAGTGAGACAGTTCGGTCTATTTTTGGGGCGCCTGGGCCAATGTCCTGCGAGCCCAGTACGGAGTGCACATGCGAGTATGGTAAGCGTTGTGATTCTTGGATGGTTCCGGTTCCTGAGAGACAGCGAGAGATAGGGCTTCCTCCGCATACACCCACTGCACTCAGTCATCGTGCTCCACAGTCCCAGTTGGGCCAAATGATCACCATGAACGGATGCAGGGAGGGCACAAAGGAACTGTTCTGCAATATTGGCTGTAGAATCAGAAATCTCAGACCCCCGATCGTATGATTGGCTGGCCCCTCCGGGAGGCCCTCTGGCGCTTACTAGTGGTTGCTGTCTTATCTATTTTCGTTGACATGTTCAGACCTATCCAGTGAAATGAGAGCGACTGCCCCCCCATTGCCACTGGGAATCACCAGCTGTTGATACAGACTTTTCTGAGACATTCACCTCGTTTGTGGCTATATATTGTGTCGGTGTCTATCCGGTTGCAGAATCCCTTTTTCATTATCACCACCACCGACGCTCGTTGTCTGCATCTATTCTTCTGCATCTTTGCTCCTCGCATCGCGCATTCTTTTCCTCTCGTCACCCGTTTCAAAACCGAGCCATCTGCTTATCATCCGCCATCATGCGTTTCTCCTACGCCGTTCTGCCCCTGGCTGCCATTGTTGGCGGTAGGTTGCCTTTTCTACTAGTCTAATTTGATTGAAACAGTTCTAACTTCTGGTATAGCCCTCGAGGTCACTTCCCCCACCAAGGGCGAGGACGTCGATGTGTCCAAGTCGTTCACTGTCAAGTGGGATTCCGTCAGCACCGACGCGTCCACGTTCAATCTTTACATCGTCAACAACGCCGTCTACCCCACGGTTGAGCAGAAGATTGCCTCCGATGTCGAGACCTCCAAGGGCTCCTACACGGTTTCTGGGCTGTCCGGGTTGACCAACGGGTATGTAGCCTCCGTCTTTTTGACTCGTGCAGGACTGACTTCGGTACAGCAACGGCTACCAGATCAACCTGGTCTCCGATGCGGCCCAGAACAGCGGCATCCTCGCTCAGTCGCAGCAGTTCGACGTGACGGGAGATAGCTCTTCCTCCTCCAGCTCCTCTTCCAGCGCCAGCTCCAGCACCTCAACTGCTTCTTCTTCTTCTTCTTCCTCCTCCTCTTCCACCGCCTCTACCTCGGCCTCTACCACCCTCACCTCCTCCGCCAGCTCTTCTACCGGTACTGCCAGCACCCTCATTTCCTCCACCACCTCCAGTACCCTCATCTCTCCCACCACCACCAGCTCCAGCCCTAGCTCCAGCTCCAGCTCCAGTGCGGTGCACTCCTCCAGCACCCCTGCGACCAGTACTAACCATGTTTCGCCCTCAGGTTCCGCGTCTGCTAGCCACAGCTCCACCGCCAACGGCACCGCCGCGACCACCTCGGCCGTGGCCGGCGCTGGTGCCTCGCTGACGGCCCCTCTGTCCGGCGCTGGTGGACTGTTGATGGGTGTTTTGGCTTTGGTTTTGTAGGTCTGCCTGTGAGTGAGTGAAGCATTAAAGCCTCCGACCGACTCCGCCCTGCCGGTAAAAAGTATGAGTTGGAAAGGGGAAGCCATCCAATCCCCGACTCCGCAGCAGTCCCCATTGCATCGCAACGCACCGCATCATTACCGCACGAGTGATTGTAGTATTCGATACATAATTATGTTATTATGCGTTACTTGTTTCTGTGTTTCATGTCAGCTCTCTGGTTCAGCATGGGGTTGGGTTGGGTCGAGTAGCGTTGCGTTCGTCGCGTTGCGTTGAGTCCTAAATTACCATATTATTACGCTTACATTGAATAATCTCGCGCAATTGAGGAAAAGGAATGCACCTCAGCTTTGTGTCCCTCGTATTCTGTTCCTGGATGGAAGCGGGTCTGACATCATGACTTCCCGATGGAATGCCGACAGACCCTGGGGATCGATGGTGTATCCCGCGCTAAGGGGAGTGTATTGGGGATTGAAAATTACAGATCCCTTCGAGGGATTATCGGTTCTGCTCGATCGGTCGGTCGGTCGGCGGGTGGGGCTTACCGGATGCGGCGGCGCAGGTTTTCTGTTTCCAACTCAAACTTTCAGGTTCACAATTTCAGGGTGGTTGTTCTCACCGGAGGAACGGTTCCGGAGACAGGCTACAGGTCACCGGGAACTGTAATAGATAAACCACATCAAGTGTCAAGACTAGACTAGCTACCTGTAGCTAAAACCCTGTCTCAATTGATCTGGTCGGTTGCCTGTTCATTTGTGGCGGAAGTCAATACGATGGATGGCCCATGCTTGGCGGGATGAGGAAGATAAGGGAAATGAGCAGTGCAGTAGTGCCAGACATCCCTGCACTTCGCCAGGAGTGATAACACAATATTACAGGGTCCTTTGTAAGCAATCAGCTGCATACTCCGTACACCCAGGACTGCAGTTAGGATGAGTACTGCACTCAGGGCTACAGATAGACCGACCTATTGGCATTACTCTCTTGTTGGTAATGAATGTTTCAGCAGCCCCACAATCAAGTTACTAAGAGTTGCTCTCTTCGGATTCTCCTGTGTAGGAATTGCCTGATTCGTCTAGTTCTAGTTTATGTTAAGAACCCTGTTTTCCTGTCCGGGTTTTGGACCTGAGATGCAAGCCCTCCTCGTATTCTTAATTCCTTAACCCCTCAAGCTCATGGCTGCTCCGCAGTAGTACCGTAGATATCGTGATCACTATAAGTCATCCCGCGTCAGTAATCCCAATCACTCAAGGACTCAATGTAACCCAACAGACACACATACAACACTTCATCCAGTCTGGCCCCCTCCGCCGCCACCGCCTCCACCCAGACGCCCGCATACCACCCCCCCGTCGCGGCCACCGGGAACTCCCCATACCCGCGCGCGTCAATCACCACGTGAGTAGTCGCCCCCTCCTGGGGCTGCAAGACTTCCCTCCACGTCGCGTGTGCGTGTCGCTGTCCGACATACATGCGTTTTGTGCGGTGTTTGAGGGTCGCGGTGGGTTTTTGAGGCGCACTCAATACACACGCCAATCCCGCGGGGTGGCGCGCGTTGCCGTATCGGATGAAGCCTATACAGTGGAGTGTCGTGTGGGTCAGATACGAGCCATTGGCGTGGTGAGGTCATAGATGTCATAGATGTCATAGATGTGTGCATTTGTGATGTGCAGTCTGGGTTTGAACAAGAATGGCTGTGGGCATACCAATACAACCCCCCTCCTCGAGATAATCCTGCTGTTCGCCGTAGGCAAAATGCTTGCGCGCACGCGTCAGGATGGGCAGTTTGCGCGCGTAGGCCTCGTCGAGCACCGCGCGCTGCCCGTTCCAGATCCCATAGAGGTCGCCGTAGAACAGGCAGGGGTGGCCTTCCTGGCGGAGGAGGATCAGGGCGTAGGCGAGGAGTTTGAAGTCCGGGGCGATGGTGTTCTAGAGTTTGGGGTTAGTGGTTAGTGGTGTTGATTGGTGAGATTTAAGGAACGTACCGCCATCATCTGGCCGGGTTGCTGGGGTGGGTTAGTTCATGCATGTTGTGCCTGGATGCTTGTTACGTGGCTGTGGCGGACTTACCGTGTCATGGTTCTCGACGAATGTCTGTCCCGGAATCATCAGCACAGCACAGCAGTCACCGCGAGAGAGAAGAGAGGCAGGCCTACATACCAAGGCATTCCCCGGACACCGTTCCATCAACGTCCCCCGCAACACCCCCCGCAAATCACCCCCGTGGTGCAAGGAAACCCGGGAGAAAGCATGCACCAACGGCGCATCCACTGCCAACACCCCCCCAGCCCCCTCCATCGTCTTCACATACCGCACCAACTCCCCCACATCCCCCGTCCAATACTCGCCAATCACCCGGAAATCCGGCCGCGTGGTCGCCCGCAGATGCGCCAGCAACTCCTTCTGGAACCCCGCAGAGAAATGCTTCGCCGCGTCCAACCGCATCCCGCGCAATCCCAGCCGCTCACCCATCCAGCGCCCCCAGGCCAGCACATCCGCCCGCACCTCGGGGTCGGCGTAGTCTACGTTGGCGAACATCAGGTAGTCGTAGTTCCCCAGCTCGTGGCCGACATCCTCCGCCCAGCGTTTGCCGTGGATTTTGAAGATCGCGTTGGTCTGGGAGGCGTCGTCCCAGTCGACCCCGCTGAAGTGCTGCCAGGTGTATTTCTGGCTGCTGTAGACCTCCCCCCGGCCGGGGAAGGAGAAGCCCGTCCAGCCCGAGATCCAGCTGGGGGGAGAGATTTCCATGTTCCGGTCTGTCATCCACCTTAGCCTTCCACCACAGCGGGTTAAATGCGCTTGGGGAATCGGGCATGGGGAATAGGAAAAGGGAAAGGGAAGAATTACGTTTCGGATCAACCTTAACAGCCTCAAACCGCTCGGGATAATCCGCCCCGGCTCTATGGTTCAGCACCGCATCCCAGTACACGTCGAGCTGGCGCGCGTGCATCTCGGCCACCAGGGCCTGGAGGGCCTCCCAGGAGCCCCATTTCGTCGCGCGGACTCCCTTCTGGTGAAACTCGCCGAGGTCCCACAGGTCGTAGATGTCGTACCCGTTTCCCGTGGGATTCATGGCTTTGCAGCCTGGGGGGAGCCAGAGGGCATCGACGCCAATGGATTGCAGGCTGGGTAGGATGCGCTGCAGACGATGCCAGTGAAGGTTGTCGCACGGGACGTGCCATTCGAAGGCTTCGAAGAGAAGGGTGTTGTCCTTGAGGTCGTGCCAGCTTGGGAGGGACTGCAGATCGCTGGCAAAGGCTGTGGTTGGTTTAGGTGGATATGGTTAGAGGGGGTGCGATGGTGTTTGTTTAGGGTATACGGGGTGGTGGGCGAACCCTCAATTTGCTGCCATCGCGGCTGGGACTGTCGTCGTCGCGGACGCCAGCACCAGATGGCCATTGGTATGATTTTATGATCGGGGGAATGTACAAGGATGGACTGTGCTGGCAGGTATGTCCGTATGTGTGTCTGTATGTATGTATATACCTTAGTATACTGGTGTTTGTGGATGATGTATACCTCTGATCTCTGAATATGGATTGGTGGATGGTTGGTCGATACCCCCTGATTCAGTGGGTGTGGCTGAGGAGTTTTTTGACCGTTCTGGCAGTACCGCCTTACCGGATGGGGAGGACGCGCCCGGACGGAATATGCGGGTGGAGGTAGATTACCGGTATGGATGGTACATAATTACGGCTGTGGATTCTTTATTTATTTGTGGTTCAGGAAGCCATTTTTAGCTCCCACAACAGCCTGTGTCTCATAAATACCAGTTGACTTATAGATAGCGCCCCACTGCAAAAGCCAGAGACTGCCATTACATTACTTGATGGAAACAACTACGGAGTCGGAGAATGCTGCAACAGAGCACTAACCTCACAATTGAGTTGCAGAAAATAGAAACAACACGCCAAAAGTGAAAGGGAATTGGTATGTACACAGAATGCTTCAGCAGCAAAGAACCAACTAAACCAACAACACCCCCACCAATGCAACCATCGCCATCACCCCCCAAGACACCCTCGCCACAGACTCTCCCCCCGAGGGCGCCGCCGCCGCCGCTGCCGCCGCCGCCGCCGACAGTCGCAGGTGAGTCAAGGAGGTGGAGTTGGAGCTATACCCACACAGCCCACTACCCGGCATCAGGTCCGTCCGGAAGAACACCCGGGGCTCCCCCTTGTCCATCGGCACAATCAGCTGGCTGTAGGGGTTGACCGTGTAGTTGACACAGCTCAGCACCTCCACGACTTCAATCCCCGCCCCGTAGGTCATCGGCAGTGTCACATTGTACGCACTCCCCGTGCTGCCCTGCGTCGACAGCAGCATCACCACCTGCCGTCCAAATGCTCCCTTCCAGAACCCCAGCTCGCTGCCCCCCTGGTACAGCGGAACCGTCTGCAAATCGATATAGTTCGGGTCCAGCTGGTAGGCGTGCTTCCGCAGGCGGTTCAGCTTCGAGATCAGCACGTACAGCTCGCTGCCGGTGTTGTAGCCGGTTTCCCAGAGCGCCTCGCGGTTGTGCGTCCCCGCGTACGAGCCGTTCAGATGCTGCTCTTGTCCCTGGTACACCCAGGGAATGCCGTCGTAGAGCATCTCGAATGTGATGGCGTTTTTGGCCAGCTGGTTGCCAGAGGATTAGTGTGATTCGGCTTGGTTATAGGGCTTCTAGGGCATGGGGGGACAGGGGCCGGCTCACCGTCAGATCGTCATTGGCGAACGCGAACCGATCCACATCGTGGTTCTCGATGAAGGTCGGCATGGCCGGCACATCCGTGCACAGGTCCTGCACGAGGGCGATGCGCTGGAATAGGGCGCTCGGGTTCCCGCGTGTGAAGGCGTCCAGGATGGTGTAGTACAGCGGGAAGTTGGGCAGACTGGGCAGGTAGTGGTTCTGGTAGTCGCACACGACCGAGGCGTTCTGCTCAAACACCTCGCCCGTCATGAAGGTGCCCACGCGGTCGTGGAAGGTGGTCAAGAAGCTGGGGTTGACGGACTTGGCTGCGTCGATGCGCAGCCCGTCGATGGAATAGGTGGCGATCACCTGCTTGGCCCAGTCGACCAGCAGGTCCTGCACCGCCTCGTGCTCGGTGTACAGGTCCGGGAGGGCGACGATCTCGTCGCCCGTCTGGCACAGCTGGGCTTGCGTGTAGTTGTTCCAGTTGGAGATCTCGCAGTAGGAGTGGTAGTAGGAGGAGCTGTTGAAGGGGGTCAAGGTGGCGTAATCGATGTTGGTGGCCGGGTCCTTGCCGGCCGTCATGTAGGCCATGTTGTTGATCACCGTGTCCATCATCAGATACATGCCCCGCGCGTGCACGGCGGCGCTGAGGTCCAGCAGGTCTTGGTGCGTCCCGAACCGCGAGTTGAGCGAGTACAGGTCGTTTGGCCAGTAGCCGTGGTAGGCCTCGCCGTACGAGGCCCGTCCGTCGATGTTCTGGATGATCGGTGAGATCATCACCGCGTCGAACCCCATCCCCTGGATATAGTCGAGCTTGTCAATCGTCCCGCGCCAAGTCCCGCCGCAGTAGAGTCCGGCGGTCGTGTTGCACGCCGCCGCCGTCGTGCCGGCCGTCAGCGCAAACCGATCCGTCATCGTCTGGTAGATCGTGCGCGACTTCCACTGCTGCGTCGTCGCCGCGGAGGCGGTCTCGCACCCCGCGAGCACGGCCAGGGCGAGCCCCCATTGCTGGAGTCCTGAGAATGATACCATTGTCCGCGCGTGTCGTGCGGGTGGTGCTTCCTGCCCCGACAAGACGACAATCGGGGTGGAGGTAAAGACTGATAGGGATCTTACTGGCGCTCTCTGGCTAAGCGGATTTCTGGTGTAGATTCAATCCCCCGATTAACGCATTACTCAAAAGCAACCCATAAAAAAGCACAGAAAACAAGGAACAGTAACGAAGGACGAGAAGAGAATAGCGTGTGCGTGATAGCAAGGAACGGCAGTAGTCGGTAGTGGTGGAACGAATGACGGCCGGTAGGTTGGAACTTGAACGAGGGGATTAACAGGCAAAGAGCGTCATCTCGATAAGGATGATGAGGGGATGAGAGGGCATGATTGGGAAGAAAAGATAATGTGTTGCAGGAGACGGAAGGCAGTCGACGAGCGCAGCGTCTGGCCATGCGAGGGGGAAAAGGGCTTTTGCCTCTGCCCTAATTACAAGACAAATTAAGGTCAACTGATCCTGGAGACATCTGCAAGCTATCCCCAAGCAGCTAGTAACCGGGGCCAGCACATTCTTAGTGGCATGCTAGTTTTCTTAGTGATAGCCATTCGCAGCCATCAAGTGGGTGGTGGTCCATCATTCCCATCCAGGGACAATGCTTGTTGCGGCGACAATTGGGTGCTTTGGGAGCGAATCCCCTCTTTTCAGGGCTGGCCTTCCGCCGCTGGGCCGGAATTTCCTTGGAAAAGTGTGCCACTTCCTCGGCACAAAAGCAGGTACAGTCCATAGATCCGTGGGAGGCCGGTTCCGGGTTCCTCCCCCCAGGCTAAACGTTCCCCATGTCATCCAAGACAGGAGAACTCTTAGTCCGGCTGCAGGCCTTTCACCCTGGCGAATGGAGGGACAACCCCATATCAGGTCTCACTCCTCACTCTCGTGGCCATGCAGGGGGGGTTTGTCATTGGTTAGTTCCCCATTCGCTTATTTTAAGGTCATCCATCGCGTGGTGGTGCCTGACCGCGATCATAAAACCCTGTCCGGAGCCATGCGAAAAGGGGGCCGTCAGCGGTGGAATGTGAGTATATGTTTGTATACTCCATCCATAGCAGTCATCCTGTCTGTTCGCAGCGTCAGACCGGACCGGCAAGGCTTCAGGGTTCGTGGCTTTGAGTAGTGGAGCCGGGCACGAACACCCTATTCTTCCTACGAACGGTCGAGCAGGAGATCAACGGGAATTTCAGGGGATTGACAGGGACAGGGCACGTGTGGATTTACTGAGAGAGAGTGTGTGAAGAATCATTGGAAGTTCGGAGATTGCAGCGTGTGGTCCCTGCAGTGGAGAGTGGAGGGGGCGATGGTGGATGCCTCAGGCCGTAGTCTCAGGCGATGCATCAGGCCCTCACTACATCACTCTGTCTACGGAAACAGTCAATAATCAAAAGTTAGATCATCTCCGAAGTAAGTAAGTAATCTAGAAGGAAAGAAACAACTTTCCTCCCCCTGACATGGGTCAAGGGAGAGATGGGGGCTTCCGTCGGGACGATGCCGGATCACCTTATCCATTGATTGACTTCACTGAGTTGGGAATTGGATTGATGGTTGCATCTATCGCTGATCTCCGGGTAGGGAGCAGGGGGAGCCCGCACTCGGGCAGCCCTACTTTATCATCCACATTCCACCATAAACAAGAGAGACACTGGGAAATTGCATCTGTCTATTAATAGAGGCGATTGGTCAGCATCGCCAGCTGGTTGGCCTCAGGCTCTCTGATAAACACTAAGGACTTTCATAATCCGAGGCATAGAGAGGAATCGAGAGGGATAATAGATTGATCACAACAGATACAGCCCAGTCAAATCGATGGTGGTCTGAGACATGGCGGTGGGTCGGTGAGCCCAGCAGCAAATCAGAGTCATTCCCAGTATCAATGCCAAGTCCCAGGGCGGTGGATCGTTTCTTCACAGATACAGTACTGGTACTTTGAAAAATACGGTAAATTTGCAATCTCTATCAAGGTTGCTAAATCAGGACCCTGGGTGGCTAATCGGATTGATCCGTTTGGATCGGACGGTGGCTCGACCCTAATTCGGATGTTCTCAAACCACTGCTCACTACTGTACTTGAAAGTGTCCTAACTTACTTCGTAACTACTAAGACCTATCATGTCTCAAATCCCTTCGTCTAGCCCAGAGGTGTCCAATAATTGTTTCAGGCTGACTGGCAAGGAGGGACTGTCCTTGCTGACTTTTACAGAATCACCAAGGTGATAGCAAGCCACCTGAAGGGAGGGGGGGGGGGAAAGGGCTGCTTCTTATCTTTGTTTTCTTTTTTTTTTTTTTTTCTTTCCCTCACTCTATGTATCTCCCCTACTATCTCACTCCTTCTATCTGCGCGGGAAGTCCAAGGAATAAATAGTTACGTACCTGCACCCCCCTTCCCTACCGTTACCGTCGACGGGAGGGTCTGCATTCGGGCGATAAGCCCAACGGCATGGCCGGCCAGTGGCCGAGTTGGGCCCGGTTGCTCTCCCTCTGACTCTGAGACATTTTATTTTCACTCAGCTCGTGGACCCCCCCGGTGCTTTTGCCCACCTCGTAAAAGACGACTGACTGGGTTGCATTCGGGGCGGTTTTCTTGGCTCTTCGCGATGATAAGACAACGATTCTGGCTGGTGGATCCCTTCGATTGGCGTGTCGGTTGGTCCCGAGTTCGAGTCGAGGGAAGGGTCAAAAATAAAAGTAAAAATAAAAATAAATTGATTCAAAAATCTTTACGGTAGGGAGGAGACAGAGCCATCATTCTGTCTTCAGTTCCTTCTTGTCCAACTTGTCGCATTCATTTGCTGGTACGCCGGACTGTGCATTCCCTGTCCGAACCCAGCATCCATTTCAATTCATCATACATCATCCATCATACATCATACATCATACGGGGCAGAGGCGAGATGGATCCAGAACCCTTCCCCGGAAGGAGGCGCATGGCAGAGATGCAACGTAGAGCTGCTGCTCAAAAGGATAGAATACGGAGGTGATAGAATAATTGCGGATCTCAAACTTTTTCTACCGTGTACTTTTTACTTTTGACTTTTTTCTCTTCTTTTCTTTTTTTTCTGTTCTGTCTGTGACAAAGACTGAGAGAGAGAGAGGCCAAAGAGCCCCAACTGAAGAAGCACCACCTCCCCCCCCGCCCTCAAACTAAAAAAGTGACCAACGAGACAAAGGAGAGCAAAGTTCGCCAAAAGTCAGGTCTTCTGTGCTCTCTAGGGGATCAGACTACTACTAGGATACGGAGTCCTGGTACTAGTAATAGTCTCGAGTAAGTAAGCCTGTCTAAGTCTAGTTATTCTTAGCAGAAAAAACGAGGGTCTCTCAGCCTCGTTCGATCCACTTGTTTGCATCCATTCCACTCAGCCTTTCTCGGCCCTGATATTCAATCTCACCAGATATTCCTCTAACTACTACTTCCCCAGCCCGGCTTGTTCGCTTCCATCTTTTTTTTTTTTTACCCTCTCTCTCTCTTTCTTTCTTCCCCTTCTTCTCTCGCTTTGGTCTTTCGTTTCTTCCGTCGTATACCTTTTGCATTCTTTTCTCTTCCTCCCTCCTCCTCCTCCTTCCTCTCTTCACCCACCTGTTCTCTCGTTAACATCTCTCCGCACTCGCTTTTTGTGGTTCTGCGTGGGTATTTCTCCATTCTCACACCTTATCACAGCTCTCCCCGCTACTTATCAGTTGACCCCCCCCCTCCTCTCTCTCCCCGGCAGCCACAACCTCAACATTCGTTACGAGCTACGAAAAGTTCCTCTGGGACCGTGAGAAGCTGGGACGGGACTTGTACATGACTCTCTCATAGAGCCTCGCCCTCCATCAACTTCCCCCCCTCCATCCCTCCCCTTCGCTGGTTGTTGGCAGGGGCAGAATCGTTCCGAGGGCACCAACATGAAGTGGGCCTCCAGCAGCAGCTGGCTCCTGGCCCTCCTGGCCTCCCCGGCCGTCGCCTGGCCGTGGAACGAGTCGTATGCCGCCTACAACTTCAATCAGAACAAAACCGCCACGGATCCCCTCGATTACTGGGGCGAATGGCCCAACCACACCGGCCAGTACCACCCTTCGCCGGACAACTGGCGCTTCCCCGTCTACACCTTGTTTCTGGATCGTTTCGTGAATGGCGATCCCACCAACGATAATATTAATGGGACATTGTTCGAGCATGATATCGCGTCCACGCAGATGCGTCACGGTGGTGATGTCGCGGGCTTGTTGGATACTTTGGATTATTTGCAGGGGATGGGCATTAAGGTGGGCTGATGCGATGCGATGCGCTGCGGTGCTGTCTGCGCTCGAGATGTTTTGCTAACACATGACGACGCAGGCGCTGTATCTGGCCGGAACGCAGCTGATGAACCAGCCCTGGGGGTATGATGGCTACTCCGCCCTGGACACGACCTTGTTAGACCAGCACTACGGTGATTTGGAGACTTGGCGGAATGCGATCACGGAAATCCACAAGCGGGGCATGTATGTGATTTTCGACAACACGATTGCAACGTAAGTGTGGTCCCGGGGGGGTGGGGGTGTGATGACACCGAGATACTAAAAACCGTGGGCAGCATGGGTGACTTGATCGGATTCGAGGGTTATCTCAACACCACCACGCCGTTTTCGGTCAAGGAACATCGCACGCAGTGGAAGTCGGACCGGCGGTATGTGGACTTTGACATCGGCAACACCTACAACTCGACCTGCGACTATCCCCGCTTCTGGTTCGAAGATGGCTACCCGGTGCAGAAGACGGTGACCGACCAGCTGGTGGGCTGCTACGACAGCGACTTTGATCAGTACGGTGATGTCGAGGCCTTCGGTGTGTTCCCCGATTGGGAACGTCAGTTGGCCAAGTTCGCCTCGGTGCAGGATCGTCTGCGTGAATGGTACTCCCCCGTGCGCCAACGGCTGATCCGCCACTCGTGCATGATCATCTACTCGCTGGACATTGATGGCTTCCGGTACGATAAGGCGACGCAATCGACGGTGGACGCCTTGGGCGACATGTCGGCCGCGTATCGGGAGTGTGCGCGGGCGGTGGGCAAAGAGAACTTCTTTATTGCCGGAGAAATCACGGGCGGTAACACCTTTGGCTCGATTTACCTGGGCCGAGGTCGGCAGCCCGATCAATATCCCGCCGATGCCAGCGCCGCCATGAAGCTCACCAACGCGTCTGAGCCCCAGTATTTCCTGCGGGAAGAGGGCCAGAATGCGATTGATGGCGCTGCCTTCCACTATTCCATCTATCGCTACCTGACCCGGTTTTTGGGGATGGATGGGAATCTGGAGGCTGGTTATGATCTGCAACCGGATTTGGTCACCGCCTGGAACCAAATGGCGCAGTCCAATGATCTGGTCAACCCTAACACCGGTATGTATAGCTTCACTTCTCAGCCCGAAAAGAAAAAAAAAAAAAAAAAAAAAAAAAAAAAAAGGCACCACGGCTAATGCTCCCCCACCCCCAAACAGGCAAATTCGATCCCCGGCATATGTACGGAGCCACTAATCAGGATGTGTTCCGCTGGCCGACCGTGGAAAAGGGTGTCCAGAGACAGCTGCTGGGCACATATGTCACCACCCTGGTGCTGCCGGGCATCCCGCTGCTGCTCTGGGGCGAGGAACAGGCCTTCTACATCCTCGATGCCACCGCTGCCAACTACATCTTCGGTCGTCAGGCCATGTCGCCTGCCACCGCCTGGCGCGATCATGGCTGTTTCTCGCTGGAGTCCTCGCAGTACTATAACTGGCCCATCGAGGCTGGTCGCAATGGCTGCCATGACCCCACGGTGACCTACGACCACCGCGATCCCTCCCACCCGGTGCGCAACATCATCAAGCGCATGTACCAGCTGCGCGAGGCGTACCCCGTGCTCAACGACGGATACTCGCTGACGGCCCTGTCCAACCAGACCGAGCAGGTCTTCTACCGCGGTTCCAACGGAACAGCCACTGAGACCGGCATCTGGTCCGTGATGCGCGACATCAACGCGGAGGTGCAGGACCTGGGGTCTGCTGCGGCCAATCAGTCGGTCTGGCTGGTGTATCACAACGTCAACCGCACTATTGACTACACCTTCAACTGCAGTCACCTCAACTACTCTCTTGTCTCCCCCTACGAGACGGGCACCACCGTCAAGAACCTGTTCTACCCCTACGACGAGCAGACCTTGATCGACAGCCCCTACAAGCTGGGCCTCAACGGCTCCACCAAGGCGAATGGCTGTTTCGAGAAGATGACCCTCGATGCCTACGCCTACCGCGCCTACGTGCCCAAGGCCTCGTGGGTGAAGCCTCAGCCCATGATCACCAAGTTCACCCCCGGCCACGACGTGCCCGTGGTGTCGTCGGTCGCCCCCGACGAGGACGAGGAGGTCAAGGTGGCGCTGTACTTCAACGAGGCGATGGACTGCGACTCCATCACCAAGTCCATCAGTTTCAATTCCTCGACGGAGCAGGGCAAGGCGCCGGTGCTGGACACGAGCAGTGTCACCTGCAAAAACACGACCCTGAACGAGACGCAGTCCGACTGGAGCGGCCACATCTCCTCGACCTTCATGTGGGAGGCCACCTTGACCGGGGTCTACAACGGTATCCACCGCATGACGGTCAACAACGTCAGCAATGTGGATAACACCGACTACACCAACGCGGTCGACCACTTCCTGCTGCGCATCGGCCAGATCGACAACCCCATGATCCACACCACTGCCAACTACTCGACCAGTCTGCTCCACAAGTTCGACAACGGCACCCTCTTCATCCAACACCACGCCGCTGGCGCCGACAAGTACCGCTACTCGACCAACTGGGGCACCTCCTTTTCTGACTGGCTGCCCTACTACGGTGGTAACGACACCATCACCGAGTCCCCCTGGTCCGGCACCAAGCGCCAGTCCTGGAAGGGCCACCACATCCGCATCGAGTACTGGAACCGCTGGACCGGCAGCAGTGATTACGTGCAGGAGGGGGATGCCGACTGGGACCACATGGTGCCGCGGCGCTTCCCCCACATCTTCTGGAACGGGCCCTACAACGAGTACGGCTACGACTCCGGCCTGGACAATGTTGTCAGCCAGGACTTGGGGTCGGGGTTGTGGCACTACCACTTCACGGCGGAATGGCCGGCGGTGGCCCAGCTGAACGTCTGGGGCATGAACCCGGACGGGCAACCGGATCAGAGTTGGGTGTTGGGCGACGCCGACAATGACTCGGTGCTCGATCGCATGCCCCCGTCCTCGCTGTCCGCCACCCTGATCAACATCACCGAGCACCCCCCCGCGCCCTACATCTCCTGGAACGTCATCATTGACGATGCCACCATGCGCTTCCACCTCTACCCGGTCGGCAAGCAAGCGACCCAGATCGCCATGTTCGTGCTCTTCTGGATCATCCCCCCCATCAGCGCCTGCGCCTGCGTCTGGGTCTTCATGAAGTCCTTCTACAAGGTCAAGTTCAACCAGGTCGGCGTGCAGGAGAAGCACACCATGATCCCACTGGCCATCCGCCGCCAGTTCAAGAAGCGGCCGCGCGCTCTCGCCGAGAAGGAGGTAGGTGCCCTGGCGCGGCTGGCCAACAAGTCGGGCTTGCTCCAAACCTCCACCCCCTTGGGGGGTGCGGTGGCCGGCAAGAAGCGGCGCATGGTGCTCATCGCCACGATGGAGTATGATATCGAAGACTGGCAGATCAAGATCAAGATCGGTGGCTTGGGAGTCATGGCCCAGTTGATGGGGAAGACGCTGGGCCACCAGGATCTCATCTGGGTGGTCCCCTGCGTTGGAGGGGTGGATTATCCGGTCGATACCCCCGCGGAGCCCATGCACGTCACGATTCTGGACAATGACTACGAGGTGCAGGTGCAGTACCACACGCTGAATAATATCACCTATGTCTTGCTCGATGCCCCCGTCTTCCGCCAGCAGACCAAGTCCGAGCCGTATCCCGCGCGCATGGACGATCTGAACAGTGCCATCTACTACTCGGCCTGGAACCAGTGTATCGCCCAGGCGTGCAAGCGCTTCCCCATCGACCTCTACCATATCAACGATTACCACGGCTCCCTGGCCCCCCTGTACCTCCTGCCCGAGACCATCCCCGCGTGTCTGTCCCTGCACAACGCCGAGTTCCAAGGTCTGTGGCCCCTGCGCACCACCACCGAGCGCGAGGAGGTGTGCAAGGTGTTTAATCTGAGTCTGGACGTCGTCCGCCACTATGTCCAATTCGGCGAGGTGTTCAACCTCTTGCATTCCGGAGCCAGCTACCTGCGTGTCCACCAGCAGGGGTTCGGAGCGGTCGGTGTCTCCAAGAAGTACGGCAAGCGGTCCTACGCCCGGTATCCCATCTTCTGGGGGCTGCGCAAGATCGGCAACCTCCCCAACCCGGATCCCTCCGACGTGGGCGAGTGGAACAAGGAGCAGGCGAAGGCGATGAGTGGGGATATTGCCGTGGATCCGGCCTACGAGGCGGGTCGGGGCGATCTCAAGCGCCAGGCGCAGGAGTGGGCGGGTCTCACCGTCAACCCGGATGCGGATCTGCTGGTGTTTGTCGGCCGGTGGTCGATGCAGAAGGGGGTTGATTTGATTGCGGACGTCATGCCGGCGGTCTTGGAGGCCCATCCCAACGTGCAGCTCATCTGTGTCGGTCCGGTGATCGATTTATACGGGAAATTCGCCGCCCTCAAGCTCGACCACATGATGAAGCTCTACCCCGGCCGGGTCTTCTCGCGCCCCGAATTTACCAGTCTGCCGCCCTACATCTTCTCCGGCGCCGAATTCGCCCTCATCCCCTCGCGGGACGAGCCCTTTGGCCTGGTGGCCGTCGAGTTCGGTCGGAAGGGCGCCTTGGGGATCGGTGCCCGCGTTGGTGGATTGGGTCAGATGCCCGGTTGGTGGTACAACGTCGAGTCGACCTCGACTTTCCATCTGCTGCATCAGTTCAAGCTGGCCATCGACGCCGCCCTGAACTCCAAGCAGGAGACGCGCGCCATGATGCGCGCCCGCTCCGCGAAGCAGCGCTTCCCCGTGGCGCAGTGGGTCGAGGACCTGGAGATCCTGCAGACCACCGCCATTCAGGTGCACAGCAAGGAGCGCAGCAAGACGAACGGCCGGCCGGTCACCCCCTCCGCCGGCCACTTCGCCCTCACCCCGGCGCCCCAGTCCCCCTCGCTGGCCCCCGGCATGCCGACGGCCACCCTGCAGTCCCGCGAGAGCAGCTACGCCAACCTCAACCGCCTCAGCGAGTACGTGGCCACCTCCGACCCCACCGAGAAGCCCGTCTCCGGGCTGCAGCGCAAGCTGTCGCTGGGATACCGGTCCGGGCCGGGCCATCGGCGGCGGGCGGATCCGCAGAACGAGAACATCGTCGAGGCGGAGGAAGGCGGCGACGAGACGGACCTCGAGCCCGATCCCCAGGACCAGTTCGGGGAGGACGAGTACACGCTCAACCACGCGGAGCTGGAGGAGGCGCGGCGTCTGCAGGCGGCGCGGCAATCCGGGGTCTTGGTCCCCGCCAGCCCGGGCTTCCCCCACCACAGCCTCGTCCCCTCCAGCCCCGGCACGCCCCCCAGCGCCGCGCAAACCCTCCTCCCTCCCCCTACCCTCCACGAGGCCCGCAACCGGCTGTCCAGCGCCTCCATGCTCTCCCTCGACTCGGTGGTGGGCGGCAAGAAGGACTTCAAGCTGCAGAAGGTCGACCCCTTCTTCACCGACAGCACGGGCGAGTACTACAACGCTTTCGACAAGCGGCTCGAGGATTTGACGGGGGAGAACTCCGAGTCGCAGTTCTGTATTGAGGAGTATCTCGTCACTAGCGAGAAGGAGTGGTTCGATCGCTTCCGCGACGCCAAACTCGGGCGCTTCAAGTCCCCCACCCCCTCCATCTTCCGCGACAAGCACGGCGCCTCGTCCATGGGCTCCTACAACGACGAGACCGGCTCGCGCCTGAGCGCCAGCAGCAACGAGGGGTCGCACGAGACCGACGACGAGTTCTTGCTCGGCAAGGACTACGTGCCGCCGACGGGCCTGCGCCGCTGGATGCAGATCCGTATTGGTGACTGGCCCATCTACAGTATCTTTTTGAGCGTGGGCCAGATCATCGCCGCCAATTCGTATCAGGTCACCCTGTTGACGGGCGAGGTCGGTCAGACCGCTGAGAAGCTGTACGGGATTGCGACGACCTACCTGATTTCCTCGATCTGCTGGTGGCTGGTGTACCGCTACTTCAGATCGGTGGTGTGTCTGTCCGTGCCGTGGTTTTTCTACGGGTTGGCCTTCCTGTTGATTGGGAGTGCGCACTGGATTGGCAACGAATTCAACCGCGGCTGGCTGCAGAATATCGGCAGTGCCGCCTACGCGGTGGGCTCGTCGAGTGGCTCGCTGTTCTTTGCCCTCAACTTCGGGGACGAGGGCGGAGCCCCCGTCGAGGTCTGGATCTTCCGCGCGTGTCTCATCCAGGGCATCCAGTCCGCCTACGTGATTGCGCTCTGGTACTGGGGCTCGACCCTGACCAAGGCGTCTAGTTCCGGGGTGCTGACCAGCACCGGTACCCTGGCCAACTCGTGGAAGATGACGGCGATCTGCTACCCGATTGCCCTCGTCCTGTGGGCCGTGGGGGCGTTGCTGTGGAAGGGACTGCCTACCTACTACAACCAGACCCCGGGCAAGGTCGCCTCGTTCTACAAGTCGGTCCTCCGGCGCAAGATCGTGCTCTGGAATTTCGTCGCGGTGATCCTGCAGAACTTCTTCCTGAGTGCCCCCTATGGCCGCAACTGGGGCTTCCTGTGGGGGTCGGCGCACACGCACGGCTGGCAGATTGTGATCCTGTGCATCGTGTTTTATGGCTTCGTCTGGGCGGGGTTCTTGTTTGTGGTCAGTCGGTACTTCAAAGCGCACAGCTGGTTCCTCCCCGTCTTCGCCTGTGGATTAGGGGCGCCGCGCTGGGCGCAGATCTGGTGGGGGGTGTCGGGCATTGGGTATTTCCTCCCCTGGGTCACCGGGGGATACACCGGGGGGTCCTTGGTCTCCCGGAGTATCTGGCTGTGGCTGGGGGTGCTGGACAGTATCCAGGGATTGGGCTTTGGCATCATTCTGCTGCAGACGCTCACTCGCACGCATATGTTGTTCACTTTGATCTGTTCGCAGGTCCTGGGTTCGATTGCCACCATTTGTGCCCGCGCCTTCGGGCCGAATAATGTCGGGCCGGGCCCGATTTCCCCGGATCCGACCTTCGGAGCGAGTGCCGTCGCCAATGCCTGGTTTTGGGTCGCTTTGTTCTGTCAGTTGCTGGTTTGTGCCGGCTTTTTGCTGTTTTTCCGCAAGGAGCAGTTGGCGAAGCCGTAGTCGCCTGTTTGTATTCTCTTTCTCTGTCTTTCTTCTTACATTGATTGATAAAGTGATCCGCACTCACCCTGATGTACATCTAATGATTGATCTGTATAGACGTCAGCTTATACGCTGAGCAAAATGCGTTCGTTTTTCTTTTTGCTTTTCTCTTTTTTTCTTTTTGTTCTTCTAGTTGTTGTTGGGTGGGTTCGTGGAGGAGGTTGCTGCTGTGGACTCGTCCTTCTAATCGTGCTAGAGCCGGATGGGTCACATATATACTTGTATATATATCCGCGCATCATGACCATTCTTGTGATACCCAATACACTACCCTTGTGAGAAGAGTTGCGTGGTTCCGGGTGCTGTAGTGTGTGTAGTCATTCGATGGGAACTGGCGATTTGCGACCGTGGAGAGGAGCCAGCCATCTCCACGGTCGCAAATCGCCAGTTCCCGCTCGATTCATCTGGAAGCACGTCTAGGGACCCGGGAAAGGGTAGTCACACCTGGTCCGAGGGTGTGATCTCGAGATTAACCAGGCAAGGGGGGATAATCCAGGCCTGGCCTCCGTCGAGCCTGCAGATCCGACCGAGGCAATCGGCGGGATGGATCAACGTGCAAATCTTCACCATGTCGGCGAGCTACTGTAGCAAGCATACGTCGACATGCAATTCTCCGAACGAGGCCGATGCAACCCTTGATCCAGGTCTGATTCTTGTGCCATCGCATTACGCAACGATGACCGGCTCGACTCTCTCGATCGGCGGAGAAATCGACCGCAATGGAGGGGAGATCCAAGGAAATCGTTATGTTTCAGGGGTCCCCGGGTAGACACGCCAATGACTAGCAGTCGGGAGTTGAGGAGTCAAGTCTGCAGCTCTCAATAAGCTTGTTTCGCTGGAGGACAAGTAGGGTAGTGTATTGGGGTGCAGTGGCAGTGAAGTGATCCCCGCGGGGAGGCAGCCCGATCGATCGAACGCAATCGAAAAACCCTAATCCCTAATCGCGCTCCACCCATGATGCCCGCCCGCATCATCGATATGTGCTGTTATGTGGTGATAATGACGAGATCACCTTCGATCCTATACTTCACAGAGTAATAGAATGGTGCCGATCAGGTCATCGGCAAATCGTAAGGACGATGTCATCCCCCCGGTGGAATGACCGCAGATGACCTCACCTTGACATTCATTCACTTCCTTTACCTTCATCCTCAACCATGGCCCGGCTATAAAGAGGGCTCAATTCCACTGGTTTAGAGAAATCTTCATCAACACCATTTCCATGACCATCAAACATCTTATCCACAAACCACTCTACACCCACGCTCGCATCTCCATCGCTCGATTTTCCTCTAGCAAAATGTCCGAAAAGTACAAGCCCTCTGGTACGCCCCTTCTCACCCCCCCCCTCCCTCTACTACTGCCTTTTCGATCAGTCTCGCTAATGGAGCACAGAGCACGGCGGTCTCCGCGAGGACGGCCAGCCCGACAAGCGCACCCAGCAGTCCCAGTTCGCCTATGGCAAGGTCGACCCCCACAAGGCCGGCCAGGAGGGCGGCTCCATCGGCGGCCAGGCCACCGGCAGCCACAGCGGTGGTAGTGCCAAGGGGGAGTTCGCTCATGGCAAGGTGGACCCCCACGAGGCAGGCAAGAAGGGGGGCAGCAGCCTGGGCGATGAGTGATTGCGTTGACATGATGCTACGACGTCCGGATGACATTATGATAGGATACGTGATTGGGGATTGATGTATGTAATATGAATGAACCAATGATTGCCAGAGATTATGAACAGTAGGGTATAAAAATGTAGTTGTTTGGAGATAGAGTACTAGTGGCATTAGCTGTAGTCGCTATATATAATCCGTACCTGGTTAGGTCTATATGAACAAGTTCTAGTTATAAAACCACCCATCCCCCTGCATCCATCCTACCATCTACACCCCCCCCTAATTACCGCCAAGGCAACCCTGACTCTATACACGCATCTGCCCGCTCAAAATACCAATGATGGGCATCGAACCGCAGCAGATCCGGCACCCCCACCCCGGTATTCCCCCGCACATAATCCCCATCACTATACACCACCACCTGACTGGCCACCACCGTGCTATTATCTGGCGCGGTGATATGGTACTCCGGACTGACATGGGAGTACCCCATCGCCAGCAAGGGCAGATTCGGCACGGGATCGACCGTATGCGTGAACCGGTAATTGGCGCCTTTCTGCTGCTGGGTGGCCTGCGCGGTGATGTACTGCGCCAGGACGGGGTTGGCGACGCGCGGGGAGGCGAAGGCGTAGAGCTCGACGGTCTCGCCGGCCGTCGCGCGGAGGTCGGCGGCGGCCAGGGTGGCGATGGCGGCCCCCAGGCTGTGGCCGACGACTTGCAGAGAGTAGGTCGGATATTGTTCCCGGGCGCGCGTCAGGGCGGCGGTGATGTTGGCGCGTACATTCGTCCAGGCGCTCCAGAAGCCCAGTTCGGCGAAACACCCGGGGCAGAGCTGCGGGTCGGTGTAGAGGAAGGTCGCGTCGGTCACCCAGTTGCGCACGGAGTAGGAGCCGCGGAAGGCGAGGATCAGGGAGGAGTGCGTGTGGTCGACGGCGAGGAAGCCCGCTGTGTCGGTTATGGTGGCGCTGAGTAGTAGTGAGTCAAGAGGAAGTATATGGGGTTAGTGGGGGTTAAGGGGGGATCTACGTACTTGGAAAAGTCCAGCAGGATAGTGGTATCCGCTGCTTCGACAGCCGGACAGTTGCCCGCCCAGCAGGCCAGCTTCTGGCCCGCCTGCGCGATGTAGTTGGGCTCGCAGTAGGCCGCAGCGGCATATTGAACCCAAAAGTCAAACGAGGCGAGGGTTTCCGGGGTGATGGTCGAGGGGGTGGACTCCCTTGCTTGCAGCGCAGGAAGGGCACTGCACGGGAGGGCCGACAGTGTTGCCACCAAAAACCGGGGGAGATGCATGATCCCACGACGACACTAACCCTGACTGACTGACTTGACACGGACACCCTGAGAACCGTGAACCATTCTCTTGCCCACGGGGCTGCCCCCCAGGGATATCTATACCCGCAGTTCGACTCGTGTTATTGAACTTGTCTCGGATCACCGCCCGGCTGAGCGTGCCAAAGACGGCAAACGGTGGAGCCCTAAGGTCTCTTTGCGAACCACTCCCAGTCCGACCCGACGACGATCCCTCCCATGTGGAGGATGTTAGTCCCCTTGCAGATCGAGCTGGGCTATTTCGGGATGCTGCAGTGGGGCTGCGATTCAGCTGGTGCAGCAGATGAAGACATCCGAGCCGATTTCCAGCATGTGAAGGCGACAAAGCCGAATGAGGTGGCATTGATACATTGTCTGTTGTCGGAGACTGTCAAGAGACCTCAGTTCAGACAGAAAGGATGGACGAAGGTCATCACGATATCTCCCTCGCTAACGGGGGTGGGGTAAAAGAGGACTCGTGCACAAGACATACGGTCCATCAATGCTGCAGGAGCATTCCGGCACGGTCAAAGGATTAGATCAGGAGAATTGAACCAGCATTCTTTATGCGGTGGGATAGGGAGGTAGGAGAACTGATAGTATAGAAACGTCCCCGGTCTGCGCCCATCCGCAACATCCCCATCACCAGGCAAGGGTACATGTAGTACGTAGTCTGGTCACCACGACTCAAGATGTGGCCGCCTGCACATCATCGCGCCGTGCTGCAATCGCACCAGTTCACAGTCCACACCCCGTCCGATCTCCCCCCGCGCTGGAGACCCAAGGTGGGCGCCGTCCAAGCCGTGATCATCGACGATTGCCTGTCCACCATCTACGCCGTCGCCTGCACTGACGCCGACGACTGCCGGCGATACAGTATCTTCTGCGAGGCGGCCCTGCCGGATGATGGGGATCCCCGCTGGGTCCGCGCCCTCTCGCTGCTCAATGACTTGGTGCAGCTCGCCCGCACCAACCGTCCGGACCTGCAGGTGATCTACGGGAGCATTGAAACCCCGACCATCGCGCAGTTCTGGCGCGAATCGGTGCCGGCGGATAATGAGTTGCGGAAAGCCGGTCGGTTGGCCGTCTACCTCAGTCCAGGTGGGGAATCCTTCTTCACGCGCGATCAGGATGCGGAGCTGATGATGTTGATCGGGGATGATGGGCCGGGGGCCGGCTTTGTCTGGGAGGAAGTAGACTCATGAAACCCGTGAGGGGCCATTAGGGCTCCTGGAGTAGATGCCTGTAGTCTCCTAATGACCTACATGAGGACCGCGGAGCTGGTCCTGTTCAACAAACCTCAAAAAAAGATTGAATCATACTAGCTATGTATAACCCCGAGCCACAGTTTGGCGTAACGTGAAACGACGCATGAGTACGAGATGTTCCGACGGAGGTAGATTCTGATTAAAAATGTATTGACTACAAGCATGACAGATTATGCTCAATGGTGGCCCTGGAGGAAGCGTAACTTTCCATCTGGTCCGGCCAGGGTCATCCTGATTCAAACAGCATCCGACATCCTGCATGGTGCATGCCAGGTAACTGGAGTGGCATGACTGATGCACAGTGATCCCCCCTGACGGAGCTATTCTCGCAAGCGAGCCGACACTAACGGACTGCCATCCACGATGCGTGCAAACTCATGGGCATCGAGACAAGCCTGCCGGGAGTTGACCACACTCGGCCCCGCGCGAGCGAGCACATCGTTCTCATAGCGCTGGAGCGACTGGCGAAGGTCATCAGTGCTCAGTGACCTATATGGTGTACCTCCATTAGTCCCCATACCCCGGTCCGGCTGACGAGAGACGTGGCACCTCACCTCTCAGATCGCAAATCCACTCGCCTGGTCAAATCCAGCACATCGACAATGGCATTATTCGCCCCCTCGCCGCGGACTACATCACTCCCATCAGCCCCCCAATCTTACGAGGTCACCATCAACCAGGCTTACACATGGTCATCGTATGCGCCGCATCGCCCATCAGCACGACCCTCGGATGCGCGGGGGCCTGCTCTGGCCGGAACAACCAGTCGGCGATCCGAATGGATCGGACGTCGGTGCTGTCCGGCAGCCGATGGACCAGCCCTTTGAAGGGCTCCACCCAATTGGCCGTCAGGGACTTCATCAGGGCGAGCCTGGCTGCGTTGTCGCTGGGCACCGGAATCCCCTGGGCGTCGGCCCAGGAGACGATGACCTGGCAGCGGTATCGGTCCTCGCTGCTGTCTGGGAAGTTGTTCGGTGTATCGAGGACTAGCGCGACGAGGTTAGCGAAGACTCCCACGACGAAGACAGCCACGGACTGCTAAAGTAGAAATAGATGTTGGTCTCGGGATGCGACCCTTGGAACATGAACGGATCGATAGCCTCTGCCCCGGCCAGCTCCTCCGCAGAGTACAGGGCCGAGCCCCCCAACAACTGCACCGGCAAGGGCGCCATCTCGTGGCTGTCGGGGTACTGAATCGCGCGGGTCCGGGAACGCGCTCCATCGCATCCGATCAGCAGACGACCGGTGGCTGAGCTCCCGTCGTGGAAATGAGCGGTGACTCTGTCGTGCGTGGAGTCGATGGCCGTGAGGGTCTTCCTCCACGCAATCTCCAGCCCCGTGGCCAGCAATTGCCGCAATCGCACGCGACTGACCCGGATTCGCTCCGCCGCGGGCACCCTGTACAGGACCGATCCCGTCTGGAGATCAAAGAAGGGGAAGCGTCCCGTGTCGCCCCGCGCAGCCGCCGCTTTATTGACGTATGTCTCCGGCAGTTGCGCGACGAGGGGCTCCGGGAGCAATTCGCGCAATGCGGGCAGGGCCCAATGCAGGGTCAGCCCCCAGCCACCGCTCCGTGCGTCGATCGCGGCATCTTGTTCGAAGAGCCGGTACGGGATCTGGTGTTGTTGGAGGTATTGGGCTAGAAGGAGGCCACTGATGCCTGCGCCAGCGATGAGAATTGGTAGGTCAGTCATTGGAGTGGGGGACTGCGAGTGAGGGAGATCACGATGCGGGCTGTAGATGAGGGGGAATGGATGGCTGCACGCTTTGGAACGATGGACTGACAGCTGGCGTGGGGGTGGGGGTTTCAGACAGCCCAAGGACCCCGGATGGAGAGAGAAAAGGAAATGAAATGATAGGATGACCGTAGGATGCCGTGTCTCTGACTAACTTATGCTGGTGACGTCAGATACAGACACTCACGGCCAATCCTCATGTTAAAAGACCCTGGAATTGCAGCATGTCTTTCATTCATCTATTCCTGCCTCCCGAGATGGACTCTATCCCCTCAGGGTCTTGAATGTCTCAGCCTAACGATGGTTAAGGTCATGGCAGGTGAACTCCGGCAATAATCACACTAAACCACACTAGACTACACCAGACTACTCCGTACACTAGACTCCATTATACTACACTATCATTGACTTCACCCCACCATCACAGGCAGCAACAGTTTGACCAGAGTCACCCTCCCCCGGGTCTCTCCGTGGGGAGATTCATCCCATGGCAAGTGCGTCTGTGCCAGCTGATGGCAGCTGGTGCCAGCTAGTGCCACCTGCGCCGATATTGGCACAGCGACGATCAGACCCAGTCAAAGTTACCTTAGTCTATTTATGTAGTGTACGTCGTGCATCGTTGGCAGAGGAGGGTGCCTCAGGCTATACTATAGTATAGTGTGTCTGGTTGCCGCAGAATGTGGCTGGGATGATGATCATTGCTTGTGTGCATAAGGGAAGAGTCGGTAAGCTGTGCAACATAAACAGGTCACTGACCATTCATCCTATCAATTGACCCGTCTATCATGGAGCTGACTCGGCCCTATGATGGGGGTTTTCTTTTATTAGATTGCGGGGCTTTCCGCTTGGGCTGCCGTTGGTGGTAGATCTTCATGAACCTCTCCTGAATATATATATCGCCATTGTCCACCACCGGGAGGATGGCTCGTCCGAGAAGACTCCCCCGATCCATTCGCTTGACTGCGAGCAATCGAAAGACTGAGCTGATATCAACATGATTGAAAAACCCGAGAAACTGGCATACTGGAAGCAGCGCCTGACCCAGATCTATCCTGGGCGCTGGGGCTATCGCATCCGCACCGTATATCCCATCCCGGAGAGGTCGGAAACAGGGTCCCCCTACCTGAAACTCGTGGTCTCATACCGCGGCGAACCCTTCCTGGTCTTCCTGGTCGCCAACGCAGGCTCATGGACGGAGCTGGAACACAGTATGAAGAAAGAACTCTGGGTCCTGAGAAACAGATCCTGGAGGCGGCGCCGCGGCGTGATTGCCAACGGGGTGCTCGTGAGATTTTATCGTCTGCAGCCGCCTGGCATTCTCAAAGCCATCGGGGATCCTGAAAACACTTACCGTGAAGATGAAGGTGACCGCAGGGCGATCGATCGGAGTCTGACTTTCTATAAGAAGGCAATCCAGAGTGATATGCAAAGGGAGAGAGTGATGCTGCAGAGCAGCTTCTCCCCCAGTGATGATTGTCTCCGTTCCCTACCGGGATTTTTTGATTTGGCTAGAGACGTTTTCGTGGCGACGCAATATAGGTCCCCGTATATTCCTCATGCGAATTAGCTGTAGAGCTGGGATGGTGATTTGCAACTGTGATGTTGAACTGATCCCGCGTTCATCCCGGGCTTCTAACCGGCGTGTGCCCAGAATCTGCCTGTATCTTCAGTTCGCTCCTTGACCAATTCGATTCAGAATAAAAAAATAATAAAATAAAAACATCTAGATCATCTTCAGCGCACAGCGCTAGCCTGAATGAGAATCACATGATCCTATTCCAGCGAGCTGCTCGCCCAATCCAGTAACGATCATATCATTTTGCCTTGACTACGTACTTCATAAGTTCGGTAATTCTCTTCGCGCCATGTGCAATGTGCAGGCTTAGCAAGATTCGTAGATCGACTACTCACTGCCGCCGTTGCCACAGCAGTCTTCGTACAGAAGCCATTACAGAAGAGCGAGAGAATGCTCACAGATCGCTTGACTGTAAGGGCGGAAAGAGATACAGCAAAGGTTGGTGCCCTTGCAGCCCACCAAGCCTTCACCGGGTATTTGAATAGTTTCACCCGTAGCGAACTACGCGCGTCAGAAACTATAGTAAGCCATGACTGGGAGTCAACATGTCAAGCACTGAGATAGCCCTACATGCTTGTCCAGGCACCGCGGGTCTGCTGACATCCCACAATGGAGACTGGCGACCGGTCTAGATCCTTCCTTCAGATATTGCTGACACTATCACTGAATGGTATCTCTGATAATCGCTTGCCAGAACCCGACCACGAACCACGCACGAAATAATCCGGCCGAACAACACGCAACCTCCAAGGGTCCAAGCACCACCCAATAAAGGCAGTATTAAAGTACTATCCCTAACTCGAGATGTAGCGATTAAAACACGCTCAGCATCCAAGTTAAGGTGTGGACTTTGATATCGACCAACGGGGCAATGAAAGATTGTACTGCCATGTAGAGTATGGCGCCCTCTCACAGAAGCTTCCCTGGAACGGAGTAGCTGCCCCACGATACACGAGGCTCGTGGTGACACCGGCTTATCTGATCGGTATCTCCTTTGCTCGGTCCCTGCATGCACTCTTGTGGAATATACTTGCAATACCTTTAGAAAGGGTCGTGACGATTGATTTGGGATTCTGTATATTCCCTGCCCCAATCACCGAATAGTCGTTGCTCCGCAAATCACATCATGAAAATTCCTCATCGACATGCGCTATGGTGAGTCATGATGGTCTATTAAGACATCATCGCCCTTGCAGTCTGACCACCAGCCCCTAGAAGACAGTTGAGCGGTGAAGAGTCGAGGGGGATGGGAGGAATGTCCTCCACGAGTGGATGGAGCTCACAACCCCGGACATCCGACGGGGCAGCAAGTGGGGGGCAACCCCACGAGGCATAGACTGTAACGAATCATGAATGAGTCAGATTCATGATTCAAAGGCCCAGATTTACTGCAGTGGGTGAGACACCACCTCTCCCCGTGCTATACGCAGTGTCTGATTGGCCACAGACCTTATCTTGTCAGCGCTTAAGTCGCTAGCTGCGTAATCCTTACTATGAGTCAGCTCAGATAATGCAATGCAAATAATTTGAGAAAATGTCGCGTGAAGGGGAGGGTAGGTTCGTGATTCTTTCGTCTTCATCTCTCTCTTTCTCTGGTGAGAGAGCTGAACCACGATGCTCTCGCACAATTCGAGTTCCCTGGTGCTAGGCGCAGTGGCTGTCTTGGTGACGGCTCTGACTAGTATTCCGGCAGGTGGGAGTATTATTGCGCGTGCCAAACAGAGACGGTCGGAGCAGGATGAATCGGCGATTGACAAGAATCTCTACCAGGACGAAGATGGCGAGGCGACCGACGAATCGGTGCGCAGCTTCTCCGACAAGTGGCAGCGTGTCGCAGTCATTCTGTTCTCGACGACGGGGCTTCTCGCGACGCTGGGACTGGCAACCCTAACAACATTGCAACCGGCTACCAAGAATGCGGTGTTTTCCTGGCTACAATTTGTTCTCTGGGTGAGTCCAATCAAAAAGAGCAACAAACGAGAGCCGGTTCATTAACATCTTTCGACATAGGTAATACTTCTACTCCAAGCAGTCGTCTTGTTCGTCGAGCCGCAATCGACACAGCGATATACCCTGGGCCAGTTCGCCTTCCTCGGCAGTGTCGTGGCCATTCTCGTTGCAGGTCTGGATCTCTATCAAAAGGATGTATTTCAGCACACGGTCAAGCCAGACGACATCTGGCTGTACCTGGTCACGACGCAGCTCGCAAGTGCCCTCCTACGGGCGCTGGGCAGCCTCCTGCTTCCCCGTCGCCCCGATGTCTTCCACAATGGTACGTTGGTCGATCGGGAATTCTCAGGATCGGCGTTAGGTCGCTACTCGTTCGCCTGGGCCAACAGCCTGCTCGACTACACGGCGAAGAACCGGACGCTGGCCTTGACTGACCTGCCTAGACTGCGTGCCAACACGAGAGCTGACAGTCTCCATCGACATCTTGAACATGTCCAACAGTCTCGAAAAATGTGGAAAGCGCTCCTCCGGGCGCACTGGCGTGGTTTACTCATGGCCCTGGCTCTGACCGTGATGGTGAGTATCTTGAGCCTTGGACCGCAGATGGCCTTGCTCAACATCCTCAGCGCCCTCGAGGCCCGGGAACGCGGAGAGTGGTATCCTCTGCGGGCAGGATTCTGGGTCTTCGGTCTGGGGGCCTTGATGTTCATCTCCTCGGTGTTCGAAATGTGGTTGATCTGGGTCGTGTCTTCGAAGCTGTTTGTGCCCATCTATGCAGAGATCTCAGCCCTCGTCTTCGCCAAATCCATGCGGCGGAAGGACGTCAAGAGCATTCAGAAGGCGAAGAAGAAGACAGAGTCCCAGGCGGACGGATTTGCGACCGAGATCGAGGAGGAGCTGGACGACGAGGCCTCCGTCAAGAAGACCCGACAAAGCATCATCAACTTGGCCGCGGTGGACGGTCGACGCATCACTCAATTCGCCACCTTCTCCTATCTCATTCCATCCTCGATCTTCAAGCTGGTGCTAGGGTGTGGCTTCTTGATCCAGATCCTCGGATGGCGCAGCGCTCTGTCTGGTATTGCGGTGGCCTTTATGGTCACCCCCTTGAACTCCTTTGCCGCCAAGCGATACACGGGCGCACAGGTCAAGCTCATGAAGATGAGGGATCAGAAGCTGGCGATTGTCACTGAGGTGCTCCAGGGCATTCGCCAGATCAAATTCTCCGGGTTGGAAGCGCAGTGGGAAGCCCGCATCCACCAGGCCCGCGAGAAGGAATTGCAGGCTCTGTGGACCTCGTTTCTCTTCGATGTGATCCTGATGGCCATCTGGATTCTAGGGCCCATCGGTCTTTCCGCCGTCTCGTTGACGGTCTACGCCGTGCTCCACGGGGGGATCTCCGCCTCCGTTGCCTTCACAGCCATGTCGGTGTTTAGTTCCCTCGAACTCTCCCTGGCTATTCTACCGGAGATTATCTCGCAAGGGCTGGAGGCCAAGGTCAGCAGCGATCGCATTGACACCTATATGGACTCCCCCGACCGGATCGTCAACACACTGCCCGCCGACAAAGTCGCCTTTGATAATGCCTCGGTAGCCTGGCCGACCGAACAGGGCGTCGAGGAACCAGACAGGGATCGCTTCGTGCTACGCAATCTGACCCTGCAATTCCCCGCCCAGGGCCTCAGTATCGTGTCCGGTCGCACGGGGGCCGGCAAGAGTCTGCTTCTCTCCTCGATTCTTGGGGAATGTGACCTGCTCGAGGGAACGATCCAGGTGCCAGTACCGCCTCCTATCGCGGATCGCTTCGACGATCGCGCAACCAGTGCCAATTGGACCGTCGACTCGGCCATTGCCTATGTGGCGCAAATCCCATGGATTGAAAATGCAACGATCAAAGCCAATATCTTGTTCGGTCTACCTTACCACGAGGGACGGTACCAGAAGACGCTCGCTGCCTGCGCTCTGCAGAAGGACCTGGAGATGTTGCCGGATGGGGATTTGACGGATATTGGCGCCAACGGGGTCAATTTGAGTGGTGGCCAGCGATGGAGAGTCTCTTTCGCCCGTGCGTTGTATTCCCGTGCAGGTATTCTGGTTCTGGATGATATCTTCAGTGCGTTGGATGCGCACACCGGACGCCATGTCTACGAGGATGCCCTCACGGGTGAGCTGGGTCAAGGCCGCACGAGGATCTTGGTAACGCATCACGTTGGCTTGTGTCTGTCTCGAGCGGATTACTGGGTGGAATTGGAGGATGGTAACGTGCGTTATGCCGGCCCTGTGGCGGAGGAGCAGAAGAAACACCATTCAGCCCAGGTGGCCGACGACAGTGATAGCAATAGCACTGCAGTCGCCGAGGAGGAGACGGTCGAGGAGGTCATCTCTCACACCACCCACCGACGGCTGAGCACTGTGCAGCCCGATGCAGCTGCTGGAAAACAGTCGTCGCCAAAGAAATTTGTCGAAGATGAGAAGAGAGAAGTAGGCTCCGTCCAGCTCTCGATCTATAAGAGTTACTTCTCCATGGGGGGTCATGGGCCGCGATGGGTGCTCACGGCTGCTATATTCCTTTCCTACACGTCACTCGTGGTAACCAGGGTAAGCTACTACATTTCCTCTTCCTTATCGCATATTTGCAGGTGACGGGAGCTAATACCATAAACATCATAGGCGTGGTGGATCAACGTATGGACGGCCTCCTCCTCGCAGACCCATTCCAGCCCCGAGCTGTACAGCCTGGCCCTGGTGCAGCAACCTCTCGTACGACCCGCTTCAGCCCCCGTGGACTCCGAGCTGAAACGGTACCTGTTGGTCTACATCGCAGTCAGCGTGCTGGCGTGTCTGATGGGCACCATGCGCTTCTATCTGATCCTCTCGACCAGCGTCCGCGCGGCCCGGAATCTGTTCAAGCGACTGACCTACGCGGTGCTTCGTGCTCGCATGCGCTGGCTCGACACGGTGCCATTGGGTCGCATCCTGAACCGCTTCACCTCCGACTTCAACTACATTGACTCGACCATCGGATACCAGATGGGCTACACGGGCACCCAAATCCTCAATGTCTGCGGAGTCATCGTGGCCGGCGTCCTCGTCAGCCCATTCGTGCTCATTCTCGCCGCCGTGCTCCTCACGATCTGTCTGCGTCTAGCCTTGAGATTCCTCTCTGGGGCACGCGAGGTCAAGCGTTTGGAAAGTACAGCCAAGAGCCCCATCTTCGAGCATTTCGGGTCCAGTCTGGCTGGACTCGTGACGATTCGCGCGTTCGGGAAGAGCAGTATCTACACGGGCATGATCTACGAGCGGATGAACGCCCATGCGCAGGCCTTGTGGGCCATGCTCCTGTTCAACCGCTGGTTGAGCTTCCGGATGAATCTCGTCGGGGCCCTGTTTGCTACGCTGACGGCCACCCTGATCGTGAGTATGCCGAGTATCTCGGCTTCGCTGGCGGGGTTTGCGCTGAGTTTTGCCCTGCTGTTCAACACCGCCATCTCGATGGCGCTGAGGAGTTATACAGATGTCGAGCTCAGCATGAACGCCACGGAACGGGTGATTGAGTATTCCAACATCGAGCTGGAGAACCAGGGGGGCATCGACCCGCCGGCGGCGTGGCCTACCGAGGGCCGCTTGGAGGTGCAGGACTTGGTGGTGGGCTACGCACCGGACCTTCCCCCGGTGCTGAAGGGTCTGAGCTTCAGCGTCGAGAAGAACCAGCGAGTCGGGGTCGTTGGCCGCACGGGCGCTGGCAAGTCGTCGTTGACCCTCGCTCTGTTCCGCATTCTCGAGGCGCGCGAGGGCAAAGTTCTGATCGACGGGCTGGATACGGCCAAGCTTACTCTGAACAGTCTGCGCAGTCGACTGGCGATTATCCCGCAGGATCCGGTGCTATTCTCCGGGACTGTGCGGTTCAATCTCGACCCTTTCGACGAGTACACCGATACCGAGCTGTATGACGCCCTGACTCGGGTGCATCTGATCTCCCCAGACGGCGCGGAGGCACCGGCGGTGGCGGCAGGAAATCCGACGTATCGACCGAATGCGAATATCTTTACGTCTCTGTCTGCGCCAATCTCTGAAGGCGGCCTGAATCTGTCCCAGGGCCAGCGCCAGTTGCTCTGTCTGGCGCGGGCGATTGTATCGCGCCCGAAGATTATGTTTCTGGATGAAGCCACGTCGGCCGTGGATATGGAGACGGATGCCCTCATCCAGCAGTCGATCCGAGCTGAGTTCGGTCGCAATGATACCACGCTGCTGGTCATCGCGCATCGACTGAGTACCATTGCGGATTTCGACCGTATTCTGGTGATGGATGCCGGGCGCGCGGTGGAATTCGGGGCACCGAGGGAGTTGCTGGGGATTGAGAACGGGGTGTTCCGGACGTTGGTGGATCATAGTGGCGAGAAGGAGTTGCTGGAGAAAATTATCCTTGAGAAGGAGTAAGCGATCAGTAGCCTGCGCCCAAAAAGAGAGTGAATTGAAGCATTTCAACGAATTAGACTGAACAGGAAATGTGATTTTTGGTTATTTATACAGCAACCTGAGACAATCGGCGATTGGCTCAGACGAACAAGTTCCACGCTCACCACGAGGGGGTAAGATCAAATCCGCCCAATGTAATTCTGGAACCGTAACAGGGTTCATATAAAAGGATTACTCCCAGTAAGGCTGAGGTGGATATCAGTATCCACACCGGAGCACAAGCCAGGCTTGATAAAAGCCTAAAGATGTGAATCTTGCCGCAAGGTCAAGTATGTTGGTGTGTGATGGTTCAACGCGTCAAATGTCAAGGTCGACTGTCGTGTTCTACCCTAATTATGGCCTCCAATCCTATGCATAAACGCCAGACCTTGATCTTCACCCGGACGAGAACATTCCCAATGGTCGTGGGCTGCTGCAACTGCCGTACGCCTATTCAGAACATGCACCAATAAATGGCCATGGACCTTGTGGACAAACTCAACTCTGTAGAGCTTCATACGATCCGCCGCCGAAGTTTCAAAACCATATCATGCCCAGCCACGACTCTCCCGGACCCCAGGCTCGGTTTCGCCTCATTCAAACGCGGGAACGTCTTCCCTCGAACTCCCAGAACATCTTCATGCGATTGCACAGCCTCAATCTCATACCTCCCGAGCATGAAAGCCACGAAGGAGAGCACCAGATGTCGCCCTGCCACGCGGCCGCTGCAGAGAGTCTGTATCGAGCTTCTAAATATGGGCCATTGTCTCGCGGTGCTGGTTTTTCCTCTTTTTAATAAGTTTAAATATCTTGTAGATGGCTATCTTTTTCGTTAGTTATCTTATCCAGTCGACTCTGAAGTTATTTATTTTTTTATTGTATATTCATGATTATTTCATAGCCGATTAAGGGAGATAATGCTTTGAGTTGGTCGAAGAAGCCCAGAATAGTCTAAGCTTTAGGGATCAGACTTAAGGATGCCGCGACTGCTATACTCGGGTTTCCGCAAGATATGGCTGACATTGAAAATCAGAGGATCTGTAGAAGCATGCAAGATACAAAGCAGACGCTGTTATTCCCTATAGTTTGAATAAACTAGCAAGGTCAATCCGGTTTATGTATTGTAGAGAGCAGGTCGAGACTGCTTGCCGACAGTCCTTACGTCTCTTACTCTTATTTCACTCTTCATTAAGTTTGCTTGCCTTGATTTAATACGAGAGTGTATAGGGAAGTTGTGGTATACTCTATATAGCTACTACACCACTGAACCGTATCGAAATTAGATAGTCATTCTGACCTCGAGACGCCTGGGTATCTTCCGGGTCACAAATCTCAGACGCCAAAGAGCTTAAACACATAATCTTTGTGAGCCATCAGTTGTTCTAAACGTAATCATCTTGAAGATCACGTGAGCGGGGTAATTACTTCTAATCAGATGTCAGGATACAAAAAGGGCAATGCGAATCAAGGGGGCATCTTGTAATGCAACGATAAGCTCCATGTCTCATCAAACAACCGGAAAGTGCTGCTCACTACTTCTCTTCTCATCTTTCCAAACTATTCTCTGCTTCACTGAACTACGATGGCCTGCATACTAGATTCAGGGATTGATCAACTCACATTCGATCTCATTGTCCAGCTACAACTCCAAGACGCGGACCTTTACTTCGAGTCGTCAAAAGGAAAATCGCGCGATCCTACAGATGAGGAACTGGCTTTCCAACTACAAAATGAGGAATGGGGTAATATCTCTCAGTATTTGCAAGATAGGCGGATGGCCATGAGTTTCGCAGCTGCCGTGCAAGCTGATGGACATGTTTTGGCCGAGACCCTGGTTGAGGAAGAGAACGCCTCAAAAGATCGGACTATTGCTCATCAATGGACCGAAGATGGATGTGTTATGCCTTCGAATGAGCTTGATTTGGTGCCAGAGGCTTTGGACGACGAGACTCTAGCTAAACTTCAGATTTTATACGTTAATAACATGGAAGACTACAACACTATAGGAGACTTGGACACGACAGACTGTGAAAACGAGTGTGCTGAATCATCTGCTCAGGCTATCCGACGAGCTAGTCGCTCTCTACCGCGAGCCCGACGATGTGTGGCTTGTAGGGAACCAACCGATTTCGTCAACGTGGTCCGCGCTCCTTGTCGGCACGAGTATTGTCGGTCCTGTTTAGCGGATCTTTTCAAAGCTTCAATGACAGACGAGTCACTATTTCCTCCGCGATGCTGCCGACAACCCATAAATTTGACCATCGCTCGCATATTTTTGGATTCTGCTTTAGTGGATCAATATGAGAAAAAGAAGGTTGAATATGAAACCCCAAACAGAACGTACTGCTACTCTTCCAATTGTGGTGCATTCATCAACATGTCCTACATTGACGGTGAAGCGGCCACTTGCCCTGATTGCGGGCACACAACTTGTACGAACTGCAAAAGACGAGCACATACGGGTGACTGTCCCGATGACACCGCCTTGCAACAACTACTAGTAACGGCGCAGCAAAATGGGTGGCAACGTTGCTTTTCCTGCTGGCGAATGGTGGAATTAGATCACGGTTGCAATCATATGACGTTTGTAGTCCTGATCCCTCAAGCCCTTCTTCTTGATTCTACTAAACTCACTCTGACGAAACTGACAATAGCTGTCGCTGCGGTGCTCAATTCTGTTACAATTGCGGATCGGAGTGGAAGAATTGTCAATGTGAACAATGGAACGAGCATCATCTCCTAGCACGTGCATATCAAATAATCGATCGAGAAGCAGATCAACCGGCCACTGTAGCCGTTCCGCAAGACATCGATGAGGCTATTCTGGAGGACCAGCTCGTACCAGCGGCCTATGAGCAGCCTCACTCGCCAACTCAGCAGACGCAACATGATGTCGCGAACTCGACAGATGCGGAGCCGTTTGCAACCCCAGAAGCACTTCCGTCGCCAACTACACGGACAGCACGAGATACTTTGATCGCAAGAACCATTCAGGAGCTCAGAGATAACCACGAGTGCAGACACAGCAAATGGAAATACTTACGTGGACCTCATCGATGTGAAGAATGCTCTCATCACTTGCGCGAATATATATTTGAATGTCGTCAATGCCGAATTCAAGCGTGCAATCGGTGCAGAAGGAACAGACTTTGATGGTAACCATGGAAAATGCTCAAGATATACGCCCTAGTTGAACCGCTTTTTAGCCTCAGAACTGGATGAAATGGAACAGGGCGGCCAGGGGGCACAGGCTGATGACTCTTCAAACCATTCACATTTCTTTAACAACTCTGCCTTCATACAACTAAAGCAATCCTGCAGGAAAGAGAAGAACAAGCTTAATCATAGGAATATCACCTGCTTCGTTACATTAAAATATATCATAGTAGTAATAATCTTTAAAATCAGAATCTGCTCTTTTTCTTATTATTAAATTACCTTCTTAGACAAGTAGACTGAGGAAAGTGCCCTGCTTATACTGCTTCTTATTAATTAGTGGTCAAATTATCTTACTAAAAGGACCAGCACTTCATCTAAGTAGTTAGATATATGTTACATTCTGCTCGCATTATCACGTCAGGCAACCGCGGCTCATATTTATATTCAAAGAATATACAGATAGGAGGCATCCCAGCTGTCCTTCTAGTACTCTCTGTAACGACTTGTACAATGTAATCGAGCTTTATTGATTGATGAAAAGCTCACCCCGTAGTCTGTATGCTAATAATAACTGTCAGTGTCATGTTGCTGAAGAGCCCTCCTATCTATAAAGGATTCTTTACAAATACTGCAATAGATGTTATAGTCTAACCGACTTCTCCCTTGGATATATGGTTTGACTGTTGGTAGCCACCAGATTTCTCAGGAAATTCTTTTATTACTGACAAATATAGTCATTCAAGTTTCATGACTGATTAAGGCAGGAAGGAATATGCCTACCATAATTCCTGTTCTAGCTAAAGCACTTTTTTGATCATTGACAAAGAGAAATCGTATGGAAACAGAGTTAATGACTTCAAGATTTCGTAAAAATGCTGCTGGTCTTCAAGAGTTGACAGGTGTTGTATAGCATATCTTGATATCTCGTAACTTCGAGTGGGAAGGGCTGTTCGGCCCGTAGACATACTGAATTATATTGTTGAATTCCGTATCTGTCCACTTTGACTGAAGGCCAAACTCCATTTTTCTGCTTAGCCAATGTCTTCAAATCCTTAATCTGATATTTATTAGTAATGAAATATATTTCTGCATTAATAAAATATGGTTTTGCTTGATTTTCTCCATACTGGTGATGTCTTTGCGCGCAGCTCAATGAAAAACCTGTGCTAAGGTCTTGGCAACAGGGCTGAGAGGAGTCTCAGCGTGTACTGGTTAAAAGCAATTTTAGTTATAAATGATGTCCTGCTCTGGTTGCACAGATAGTTGTTATCAAATTTGTGAGTCCACCAATGGGGGGATTAATATATAACAAACTGTTGGATAAGTTCACTTTTTCAGTTATAATTTTTGATTTTGACTGATAAAATAGAGCAAGTTGTAAGTAAAAGTCAAGTAAGTTAGTTTCCCTATATATTGTTGATCCGATATCTATAATATCGTGCGGAAGTGACTTTTGGACGGGTTCGATTTCGCTGATTACAGTAGGGGTAATTGCCCCTGTATACCCAATCAATGAAGCGTGCAACCGTTCCTTCTGTCGTTTTGTTAAATCTATATATTCCCTGTCGGCCCTCATCGAGAGCACCATCCAAGGCAGCAATCACTGGTTTGCATTTCAAGCCGAGCAGCTTTTGATGAATTTTAAATAAACGTCCCGAGTGACCAGCTTGGAGAAAAACGAGCTCTGAATTGAGAAAGCTGTCACGAGGTTAATGACACATACGTCTATTTTCTCGAACAAGTAACATACTCGATATATGGCAATTCGCATCTGTTGGCCTTTTTCACCATGGCTATTTGGAAGAGCAGCGACGACTAGTGAGCTAGCAATGAGAAGTTTATTGAATTGCAGATTCGAACGGACGACTCAAGGCTGGAGTCTTGGAAGGTGGAATTCAATTGCTTTTGTTTGCCTTTTATATTATGACTTCCTTCGCCCGGGTGGGTCTAAATGGTGGCACAAACAAGGACTTCCAATCATCATCACCAAATCGCAAACTGCTGACACGTGCTGTGTCGTTATTTGTCAGGAAGATACAGGTTGCTAGTTTGATCAGGTAGTGATTTCTGTCGACAACAATACAAGTTGAGTGAGACCGACTGGGCAAGTCTGTATAGGAAAGGGTTGAGATGGTGCTGGTATACACGGACCTTCCCTGCAGGCAAGTAATTACTCCATAAACCCGGGGGAAATGTAATGAAATGTACTAATCTCCGAATAGGAAACTCAAATCTCCTTTTAAACCATAGGAGGCTCTCTCCCTCCTACTCTTCTGTCCATTCTCTAATTCTGCGGGGCGAAAGTCTGATCTGGACCCATAATAACACTTAGCGAGCCCTTGAAGGGTACATGGAACCTACGTTCCAATAAGACGCGGATTCCCTCTGCTGGAGGAGTCTTCGCAACCTCGTTGTGGGGGCTGGGAGCGCAAAGGTAACATAATGGCAGGGTTCCCGCTCGTGGTTTCCTGTTACGCATTTACTGGATAATAACCTGGCGCCCAGGACCACATATGGCAATGCGGCGGTCTGGAGAACTCTTGATATGCTGTATCTTTGGTGATAACAAAGAAAAATCTCTCATAACAGGGCCTCGTTATCCAACAAATGCATGACAGGGAACCACGAGCGGACACCCTGCTACTATGTTGCCTTAGCGCTCTCAGCCCGTAATGGGGGAAGGTATTGATTTGCGCGTAATGCAAGAGACGGAGGAGAAAGATAGGCTACTTCTGTGTCCTGCAGAACAGTCAAAAGGGGATCTACCTAAACATTCCTGCCCTACTAGGGCACTGCCCAGTTCGAACCAAGGAGGAACCTAGCTGCTCTGTCACAAGGATAGGCATGGCAACCTATAATACGCTCTGTCCATCAGACGTTATTTCATGTCCCTTAATCTTATCTTCTTACAACCCCCTTCTGTCTCCTCACATTTCTTTTGTCCGCCATCTATCTATCCACAGGACGTCAAGTCTTAGCCCTCGAAGCCGCGTCCGAAAATGGAAACTAAAAACTTGATCCTACGGGACATCAACTGGAACCTCGACCAACAGGACTTACGCTATATATCGCAGAAACCGTACGGGAAGTTGTAAGTGAACACAGGAGCCCTGCTAGAACCGGTTCTCATAGCAATCAGGCTTCCAGTGTCTTTCAGAGCACTGGGACGCGTCAAGCAGCAGCTCAGTTCTCATGCTTCTGTCTTTGCCGTCGATCTGAAATGTCCTCAAGGACTAGTCCTCGCTGGCCCTCTTAGCACGATCGCCATTATTATTGCTGACGAAAAGGGCCTATTGTTCATAAGCTCTAAAGACGTGGAAAGCTACAAGTATGAGTTTGAAGTTCTTGGTCTGATCGAAAAGGAACTTGGCGCGTATGAAAGTCTACTTTTGGAGAAAGCGAGCCATGACCGTGTACTATCCTCTCTCCAAAAGGCAATGCCACAGAAATTCTGGCAATAGGCTGTTGAGTTAATTACTGCTCACGTTTGACCTATTCGGATATGCAGTAAAGAATTTCGTGTCAGTCTTTTCCATCAGTTAGGACCGCAACAGAAGAAACGAGTTAACTTCTCCGCTATGGTGACAATACAAGACACACCAACGTCAAGAAGCGAGAGAATTCTGGGAGCGTTAAGATGAACCGTCTATTCACTGAATTTGGATTCATATACTGGGCGTTCTATCTACTCATAGGTACGACCTGATTCCATGTGATGACATAGCTGCGGATAACTGGGCAACAACTTCCCGTACGGCTCCCTCATATTTGCACATAGGGCACCGACTGGTAGGGGTTGCTGGCTCACCTCGCTGGCGGTTTCACTAAACCCAAAAGTGGCAATTACGCTGTCGCAGTTCTGTTAATACCTAAAATAGTATAGCGTGACTGTCTTGGCAGCCCCAGGGGTTGACCTATTTGCCGGTCATCAGACCCACGGTTCGGTTGAGCTTCATGCGACTACCCCGCTCGATGTGCGAATCATAAGAAGTCGCTATACTGAGTAGCTAGTTGGGTTTAATATCCTGACGTGGTCGTCTTAGCTACGCTGCTTGGTTGGTAGGGGTGACGAAGATCATGAGCATAAGAGACGTCACAGGAAGTGTGCCGGGTAGGGAGGTCAGGTAGCTATGCATCTGAAAATGTAGGGCTAGTAGAGAGTAATTGTGGTGGCGAGTGCCACATTGACGACCCCAAAACGAGTGGCTTGTTAGTTCCCAACTCCGCAATAGCATGTATAAAACAGCATACTGTACCATGGGCATTTACTAGGTAGCACTGGTCCGAAGAAATTTTACGTTCTCAAGCAGATCAAGTTATTCCTGTGCTCATGGACCACGACGAGAATCTTGAAGAGGTTCAAAGGATCCTCAATTATCGATTTCGGAATATCACACTCCTATCCCATGCACTCACAGCAGCCGGTGCGGACTTGGATAATTATGAGGGTAATAGAAGACTAGCACCAATTGGCGTGGATGTAATCGGCCTTTGTTTGGATTATGATGCACATCAGAAAAAGGGCAAACCAAGTAAGAGTCCAGGGACGATAACCCTTGCCGGATCTTTCTCAGTGGAACACCAGGTGAAACTGCCGTCCTGAAACAACAACTCTGTTGTTATAAACATCTAGCATTGGTTGCTCAACGCACATCAATTGATAAGTGCATTAAATATAATCCTAGGTCTGGAAAAGGAAGTCCAACCGTTGTTGGAAAATCCCTTGCAGCGATAATAGCAGCGGCATACTTGGACTCTGGGAATCATTCTGATACCTGGGGCGTTATGCATTATATAGGGTCGGGTTACGTCCTATTTCAATCTGACTTGGCTGACTTGCGAGTACAATAGGTTTTTCATTCAAAACCAAGACGGTATAAACCCTGCAATGCTGGAATCAACTGCGGATTGTCAAACACACCTTCCTATTATAAGTCCACTTGTGCCCCAATGCAATATTTCGTCGAATGTGCATACGAGCCAACAGAACGTGGTGGTGCCACTGGTATAGACCCTAGCATACACTTCCCCAAAATTCAAATGATGGATAACAGGCTGGCTGACTTCTAAAACCAACATTATCAACGAGATAGGATATCGAAGCTGGTAGTGATTTCATGGCTGTGCCAAGGAGAAGAGCCGCTGAAGGCGCCCCGTGCGAGATACAGGCGAATAAAGCAAAGGTTAGTCGGTCTCAGCGCTCCCTCAACGATCGGTTGGAACCGTTCCTCGCTCGTGAGTCCGAGAGATGCAGAGCTCTGGGAATCGCCGTCCCAGAAGAATCGTACTATAAACCTGAAATCCAGATGGAAGTTGCGAAACTGGTAAAAGATACTCCAACAGAGCTGCCCAAAAAGCTGTTACTGGGTGTTGCTACCTCACAATCAGTGGTAATCTTGAAGAAGGCCATTGTAGGGTGGCGAACTCAGACTGGTATTGTCTCCTGGCAACTGTCCAAATCAGCATCCAAAGCAGAAGCGTTTCAAATAATTGAGAGTATGAGTCAAGATATGATGTGCTTGGCCCTTCTACGTCGATATTATATCCTCCGCTTGTTTGAAGATTGCAGAGGGTGCGACACGCCGTCATTCACAGGATTCGTCTCCGTCTCTGGCAGTGGTGTCCTTTCTCGCAAAAGAGGAAACCCCCTGAACAACGCGGAGAACGACCTGACAACAGCAATGATGAAGGAGATATTCCCTGCTCTTCAGCCCGGAACACAAGAGTACGATGTCAAGCGTGGTGCCGTAAATTTATATCGAAAGCTTGGCCGGAAATTTCATATGTTAGCATCAACTTTCGGCAAAGGCATACTTGCATTGATGCCGTATTATGACCTACCAGGAGAACCAGAGATGAGCATTTCGGACAATCAGTAAGCATTTTAATACCGGAATATTGCCACGCTAACGAAATTTAGGCTTCACTCGCTACGAGAGTCAACGTTTGGGCAAATCATTTCCATTCTCGAACGCTCCCAAGGTGAGGTTATATGCCAGTTCAGCGCCGCTGCCGAGAGAATCGTTGATGCCTTAATGGAGCTTCCGGTAGAGTGTTGCCCGGTATTTGCGTTTGAAGAAATTGCGGAGAGCCGGATATTGGAGTGCCCGAAGAATTCGTCGGGCCTCCTTTCCCTTCTTGGGCTGAGATTTCAGGCTCAAATTGTGACAGATCCATATCCGCGCGCAGACGAATCGACCTAGCTAAGCAGATTTGGAGGATAGTCGAGCTACAAACCGAAGAATACCAGCATTTGCATATTCTAGTTGAAGCTGGATTATTACAGTATCGGTATGTGTTGGAATAATATTGTCATGGAGAGATGCAGTGTGACTGTAGGCTTAGTATGACTGCCGAGTGACAAATAATAACACAAATTTCATACCCTGCACGCCTTATCTGTAATTTAATCCACCGTTGATTGTACGAGTGCGTGCTCGCAGCTTCTGAGGGATGCAGATAGCCTGCCTAGGACCTCTTGAATGTAACTCGAATCGAAATGCAACGAATTACTGCTCCACTGCCACGAAGCCTGTTGTCACGGGAGAAGCATATAAAGATCGCAAACTCCCGTACGACTTCTTCTCCCCCATCGGACTGTTAAGACATAACAAATAAGGGCAACCATAAAACGAGAGAAAGAAAATGGATGAATTTCGGCCTCGGAGCTATCAGCAGGAAATGGTTGAAATGAGCTTACGCGAGAATATTATTGTTGTGGTACTTTGCTATTTGACTGAGAAGGGGACGACTGCTTGTATCAAGGCTAAACAGTGAGCCAGATGGATACGGGAAGCGGGAAGACTCATATGTACGCGCAATGCGCCCGAAGATCACCGGAGGAAAAAAACCAGGAAAATGAAGAAGAGCAAGCATGAGGATAATGGCAGAGCTGCAGCGCTGCGCCTTGGAAAAGGTGTGAATGTTCAACCCCTCCACGGTTTCTCGGTCTCAAACATATCCAGATAGTTTGGTTCCTTTGCCCCACTGTCGCCCTTTCGATCCAGCAGAAAGAAGCTATCGCTTCTCACATCCCGGCGGTGAATACCAAACTGTTAATCGGAGACGACGGCGTCGATAGTTGGAGTGAGCAGCGGATTTGGGACGACACCCTTCGTGACGTGCGGATTGTTGTCTCCACGCACGCCGTGCTAGCGGACGCCCTCGCCCACAGGTTTGTGGTGATGGCAAAGTTGGCCCTCATTGTGTTTGATGAAGGTAGGTTAATGTTATCCTACTCGGCACTCTCGGCTAACTAGTGCATTAGCCCATCATTGTGTTAAAAATCATCCTGCCAACCGGATTATGAAGGATTTCTACCACCCCACAAAGAACGAAAAAGGGCCCGAGTCTGTCCCCCCGAATCCTTGGCTTGACTGCCAGCCCTATTATGAAAACGAAGCTACATGACATGCCGTAAGTCTAGTGTAGACACCATGAAGAGAGGGGTACTCATTTTCCGGGTGCAGACAGATAGAACGGAATCTCAATGCAGTCTGCAGAACACCACGAGCACAACGACATGACCTCATGAGATATGTTCATCCGCCGCAACTCGTCTTACTCAGATAGGCTGCTCCTGACGACTCAAATCGTTCGTTGTCAACGCCATTTCTCGAGGCTGTATATCAGGCCCACTCTCAGGCGCAATATCATCTTGAACTTCCCAATCACTTACTATCTAAGGCGGTTCAGGACCAACTGGAGAATTTCTGCGCAAAGGAGGTAACCTGCTCGGCTCCTGGGCTGCTAATTACTTCATTGCCGAATCGGTTCAAAGGCTTGTCGGAAGAGCCGGAATGAACGATTCTTTATGGGCTGACCCTGTTAAAGCACGTTAGCCGAGACATCAGGATATATTCTTCAACTGACCCCTTCTACTCCCAGCTCCTCTAGCATAGTGTCAGAAAAGGTTTGCCGCCTTTTGGCATTCTTGAGGGCAGAAAACAATGAACGTTTCTCGGGGATTATCTTTGTCCGTGAACGCGCAACTGCCTACGTACTGGCGGCTGTGATACGATGGCATCCGCTTACACAGGGCCTGTTCCAGTGTGCATCATACGTAGGCTGTTCAAAGAACAGATGCAGAAAAAGTGACATCTGTGACCTACTAGGACCTGGTACAGAGGATGTTCTCCAGCAATTCCGACAGGGCCAGACGAATCTTATCGTTGCAACAGATGTTCTGGAGGAAGGCATCGACATGACGGCTTGCCATCTCGTTGTGTGTTTCGATCAACCGAACAATCTCAAATCTTTCATCCAAAGACGGGGCCGGGCCCGACAGCAGAAGTCAAAGTTTGTCATCATGGTCGCAGATAACGATATAACAATTGGAATCGCGCGGTGGCAGGAACTCGAAGGCGAAACGGTGCGGCTGTACAGAGACCACAGGAGGAAGCTAGAGGAGATCTCCACACTGCAAAATATTCCAGAGAACGTTGTTCTCTAAATGAGATTACAAAACAGGTTAGTATCCAATCCTAGCAAGAGTCTTGGGTTAGTAATAACAATTCGACCAGGGCACTACTAACAGTCGATTCAGCGGTCTTGACCTTTACCATTTCTGCTCCACTCTGAATTTAAAACCGCATGCCGATCTACGCCCATCATTCAACTACGAGCAAAATGAGGACGGCCATGTCCGGGCCACAGTGACACTTCCCAGTGGCGTAGACCAGTCACTTCGCGTTGCGTCAGGAGCTAAGTGGTAGCTCACGGAGCGTGCAGCACAGAAGAATGCAGCATTTCAGGCCTATATTGCTTTGCATCGAGCCAAGTTGATCAAGGCCCATTTCCTGCCGGTAACTCCCGAACGCCTCTGGCGAGATTTGGCAGGCGCACAACCAATCCTGACGTCGAATTGCGATTGAGGCTATCTTCGACCCTTTGGAAGCAACTAGCAGATTCCACAGATTATAAAATGTGTAGAAGCCGCATGTCCATATCCCAGAATGGGAAAGATCGTCCCGATCTTGCAATGATTCTCATCACACCCGTTCAATTTCCTGCAAAAGAACCTTTGGAGTTATTCTGGGACAGTGAAACGACCTTCCTTGTTTCTTTGCAATTCCTGGAGTACTCCAGTATATCGCCGGCCGAGCTACAGTTGATGGGTGAGACCACATCCGTTCTGCTGTCGTCAACACGAACAAAAGTTCCCAGCAACGGGGCTGTGGATTGTCGTAATGTCTTGGTATCTTCGGACATTCCTCTCGATGAGCTTGAGACATGGTTGATGGAGAATCAAGAGCGGCGGAATTGCCTGGATTGGTACCGTGACGAATCCTCTTCTCAACCGTCGGGGCTCGTCCGATGCGAACTTCTGTATAACAAGCCCCACATATTCATTGGATGGATGCAGATTGGCCATACTTCAGAACCTTTGGTGTTCTGTGAGCCTTTCCCTAGGAGAAGGACCTCCTTGTGAAAAGCACTTTGCGCTAGCCGTCGTCCGCCAAGGGAAACCCGGGTTGTGAGGAGTGTCGGGCAAAAAAGGTTCCCGCAAGCTTATGCACCGTTGATCTTCTGCCTTGGGAACTGAGCCGCGCAAGTCTCCTTTTCGCCGCGTTGATGCAGCTACAGCAGAGACTCATGATTGCGGCGCGCATGAATGAGTCCGTTCTTGAGTGCCTTTCTTGTATTAGCCTTGGATTTCTCGCAGTTGCTATTACGGCACCATCAGCTCAATGGACGAGCAATTATCAACGTCTCGAATATCTCGGCGACGGCGTCTGAAAATTTGCCGTGTGCATCCAACTGTTCCAAGATCACCCTCTGTGGCACGAGGGTTACTTATCCCAACGCAAAAGCCAAATGGTATCCAATGCATCGCTCGCCCACGCCGCCCTAAAGGCAGGTCTGGGACCGTTTCTGTTAACGGAGCCTATGACGAGCAGAAAGTAGACTGTCCCAGCGGTTTCCGACAAACCTTGCCTGCCCGCGGGCAAACGTACGGTATCTGGAAAATCCCTTGCAGATACATTAGAAGCACTTGTAGGGACAGCTTATGTTGATGGCGGTATGCCGCTCGCTTGGGCGATGATCCATGTGTTCATAGCGGAAGTTCCGAACCGAATGCCCTCACTAGCACGTCAGCGGACCTCGCAGCCGGACTTCATTATGAGACCGGACTTGGAAGAGAAGGTTGACAGGTTAATAAGTTATCAGTTTGTCGATCGATCCCTTGTCTGGGAAGCTCTCACACACCCGTCATGGCAAAGGGATCTTAGTACAGGATCGTACCAAAATTGAATTCCTCGGTGATGCTATTCTCGACATGATCATAAAGGATGACTTTGCAAACATACGCCGCCGTTGACTGAAGAGGAGATGACGAGAGCAAAGGCGGCAGTAGTCAACGCACATTTTCTCGCATTTGTATGCATGGAATTTGGGCTACCCAAAAATCAGATCTGTATTCGCGAATTACAAAGCGGAGAATTTATTCGGGAAACTCAAGTCGGCATCCTGGAGCTTTGGAGGTTCATGCGGCATGATAACCCGGATGTTTCTTCGGCCCAGAAGTTGTGTCTAGAGCGATATCAAAAACTGCGTGAGCCGATCCGTGCGTGCTTGACAACAGGAATTACGTATCCCTGGGTTAGTTTAGCCCAGCTAGGAGCTGAAAAGTTCTATTCCGACGTCATTGAAAGTATTATCGGCGCGTTGTTTATTAATTCGCGTGGGAACATTAAGCAATGCGAGGCATTCTTGACTCGAATCAAAATACTACCCTACTTGTCTCGCATTTTGCGGGAGGAAGTCAAGGTCGAGCACCCAAGATCCATTCTGGGTCGCTTGGCAAAATCAAGCCGAGTCGACTACAAAATTACACGAAATGCCAGCAATGCAAGTTTGTACGACGTCTCAGTTGTTCTGAATGACGAGGTTCTAGACCGCGTTGAAGGCTGCTGGTCACAGGAAGAATGCATCGTGACAGGGGCTGATTTGGCAATTGCGACGCTGCGAAACCGCCGTTCTCGGCCAGCAGCTTCTATTGTAGCAGAATCTTGAGGTTTGAAATATGGCAAATGAACGCTTTCTTTATCCAATCCGGTTCCAGCGCACCGCTTGGCAGTAAATGTAACGGGAGTAATTAATGAATAGAAGGAAGGCACCTGCCCTCTGGTAGTACCCACAAATATAGGTAACCTCATTTGCACTTGGCGGCGATCGCTTCTCTGTACGTTCCGGAATTCATAATCTGACTGAAAATTTGTCGTGGTCGTATACGTCCGGCTCTGTCATCTCCCTCGACAATATATTTTCCTGCGCCGCCCTGCACCTCAATTAAAGACTCCCACCATCAGAATCCCACTGTCTATCCTTTCGGTTGTCATTCGAGACAAGATAGATAATATTTACACTTTGACGTCCGATCGAGGTAGAATCCTTCGATGTCGTGGTTGGGGACGCGGACGCGGCGGACAAGGCGGCGGGTTTCGAGGTCATGACGTCCACTCTCGTGGAGACACTGGTCCTCGCGGTGGGAGAGGTTCTAGGGGTGGAGAGCGAGGCCGAGGTAAAGAGATATTCCGGTGAGCAATTCTGTCCCTGTGCATTTGATACGGGTTGGCTTATCTATAGAGGGTGATGCGCCAGGCAAGCTCAGGCCCCAGATCTTGATCGAATGATTCAGCAGAAGGAAGATGGTATTCAGAAAGCACTAGCGGCCAATTCTCCCCAGTCTGAAGGCAGAGGTCGTCTTCCCACGCGACCGGGGTATGGAACTCGAGGAAGCAAAGTCCTTCTCTAAGCAAATTATTTCCAATTATTGGTCGAGTCCAAAGATGGCTTGTTTCGCTACAATGTTGAGGTCTCCCAAGCACCCACGGGCCGCAAACTGAAACAGATTTTCCGTCTATTGCTGGTATTATCTCTCTTCAACGAACGCGAGCGCGATGTTTCATTACAAGCCCGAGGTGCTGCAGGCCCTGAATATTGTGATGGGTTATTATCCCAAAACTAACGGAGAAATAATATCCCTAGGTTCAAACAAACATTTCAAGATTGATCCAAGCTCAGTCGAACAGTTTGATTTGGGTGCTGGGCTCGAGGTTCTCAGAGGCTTTTTTGTGAGTGTTCGCGCTGCTACCGCACGTTTCCTCATAAATTGTCAGGTCAAATATGCCGCATGCTATCAGGAAGGAAAGCTGTCAACGGTAATGGCTGCATACCGGCGAGAAGGACGGGACAAGATATCCCACGGTTCAAAATTATCACAGGCTTGGCTTCTCCTGCAGACGGGAAATCCCTAACCCACCCTCCAGTTGTTCCTAGACCACGGTGGTGGTCCCAGAGAAGTACAATTCTGGCTTGAAGGGGCTGGTCCAAAAACCATTGGTAAGATAAAATCCAAAGGGAAAAAGCCCGCCAATTCCGGACCAGACGAATCTGGAAGATACACCACAGTCGAGAATTTCTTCCGTGAAAGTACGTTTTTAAACGGACCTTCCGTCTCAGAGCAGTCCAGTCCTAACGTCAAATCCAGGATATGGGATCAATGTTGATTCCAATGTACCAGTAGTTAATGTTGGCACGCGTCAAGATCCGTCCTATCTGCCAGTCGAAGTCTGCGTTGTTATAGCTGGCCAGGCAGCGGGTGTCAAGCTGAGAGGAAGACAAACTCAGAACATGATACGATTCGCGGTGCGCAACCCCGCTCAGAATGCTCTATCCATCACGACGAAAGGTGCTGGTGCACTGGGGCTGACGCCCCAGCTCAATACGACGTTGGTACAGTTTACCTTTCCCTTGCTGTTGGGCCCTATTAACCTGTCGTTGCAGGGAACAGCTCGACCCGCTCACTATTATATTGTGTGGGATGAGATTTTTTCTGTACAGAAACCGCAACCACCCTTCGAGAACGCAGCCGACCTCCTTGAGGACTTAACCCACAGTATGTGCTATTTATTTGGTCGCGCGACGAGAGCTGTCAGTATCTGTCCGCCTGCATACTACGCTGATTTGGTTTGTGAGCGCGTCCGCTGTTATCTCAAGGAAGTCTTTGATGCAAGCGCGGAATCCAGCATATCTGGCAGTATGCTCGAAGGCGGTGGCGGCACCGGACGGATGATAGAGACCTCGGACGTTCGAGTCCATCAAAACGTGCGAAACACGATGTACTACATTTGACATCCTTCCTGCTGGGTTATTGGATCCTACTTCGTCATTGTTCTTTTATTGGATCTTAATGCAAATGCGATGCATAATCCTCTTTGGAATTAAATCACAATCAAGTCCCATTGACTGGGAGCTAAGTTCACTACAGCCATTGCCAAGTCCGTGAAATCGTGGGAATTTATTTAAAATGCGGTCTCCGATGTTATGGCCTAGTTTGCCGGCGCAGAGCATGAGCGTACGATGGTCTAGTTTGGGCTAGTCAAAAGGAGGATGTTGAAAGAAGGTTTGTCCTTCGGACGTTACGAAACTTAAGAATGTACTGTAGCCTATCAACTTCAAGCCAATCGTGGATTCAGTGGATTGATTCGCATTGGCATCCTAACACTTGTAACCCCGCAATGGATTGCTCCTCAAACATCCTTTCCAATCACGAAGCTTTTGCAAAAACTTCACATGAGCTTGCCAACTGAGTTTCACTCGTCACCTTTACCGTCAATACAAAATAGATAAAATCAACTGATAGAGCGTGATATGATTATCATCTCAAAGGCCGTCGACTGAATAGCTTCTATCGGATCCTGCGAGTTCCTCGTCCCATTTCTTCGCCACATACGGGGGTAAAACCCTCCCAGCGCCAGCGCACTGCGCCCTTAATTCCAAGACGGTCGCACAGTCTTCGCGGGTGATCTCAAACCTTCCACACTCCGAGCTTCGCGCAAAAGCCACTATCTTCTTCAGCAGGTCGGCGAACCTGGCCAGAGTGGGTTTCTGATCTTCTTCCCAATGCTTGACCCGCTCGCGTACGTCGACGACTTGGATATCACTAAACACCCCAGCTTTGTGGTGGGCAAGAATAAAGTTAGGGACCTGTGCAATCCACAGCCGGGGTAACTCTTGGCCGAGTGTATCCTCGTCCTTCTTCCTAATGGAGCGGGTTTTCAGGTCAAAAATGGCCGACTGAGAGGTGAATTCACCTCCGGCTGACACTTTGAGGGTTTCTGAGATTTTTAGACCACTTTCAGGTAGGTTGGAAATAGCAACGTTTTTCAAGGAAGACAGAAGATCTTCTGCGGCCTCTGGTGGATCCCCTTCTGAGCTGCGACTGCTACTGTTCTGTGCCACCGAAGGTAGATAACCGTCTGCTTCAAAGCGGACTAAGCAACTCATACCAGCAAGGTCGTACTTCATCACTCTTTGGTGTGACTCGGATCCTTTCACGTCCGCGCTCCACGTGGTATATGCCTCGGGGAAAGTGTGGCCGTACCCGTATACATTTGGGATTACCTCGTCATGGGCATTTTCTCTCCTCATGAAAAAGACTGTTCTCCCAATGGCTTCAACGAGGATTCGAAAGGGCTTGCCCTCGCCGCGGACAAAACGTAACAAATTCCCGAGTGTACTTCCGCATGCGACAATGTCAGTGTCCCGAAGCGAGAAGTCAGGTTTGCTTGCAAGAATGGCTTGAATCATTGGTTCCATAGGGTGGCTAGGATAGCGAGCAGCATTCTGATCTCGAAAGTATAGTCCCGAATCCTCCGCCAGCCGAGTTGGGTTTGAGAGAGGAGCCCACCTCGGAGGCTCACCTGTTCAGCAAAACCTGATTAGCGGCGATATATCCTTTCGCGATGGAAACCCTTTGGTGACATGCTTTCTTACCCGGTATGAGGATATGAGGCTCTCCTCCACTGAGCCAGTTGTAAGAAGCCAAGCATTGGCTGTCAATTATCTGAGCGGTTATATCCTGCTTCTCCTCTTGAAGGTCAATTGGATAAATCGTTGCAAGAACCTCACCCCGTGGGGGAAGAGGAGCCTGCTGCACGCATTGCTTTCGACTCCATGGCGTACTGTTCCTTCCATAACCACTTCCGTAGCCTCTATCGCGTCCATGGAAAGTAATTGAAGACATTGTAAGAATATGAGATGATGGCCTTAAGGTACAAAAATATGTTTAGATATCGTCGTGGAAAGTGTAGGAATCTCGGATTGCAGCCACAAGGTGTCCAGTTTGATGGAAACTCAATGGTACTTATAGAACAGGGTACTTTGCTGTATTGCGCCCTTGCTGTTTGGTAGCCATGTAGCAACTCTTTGCGAGCCTTCGTGGAATCCGGCATGGGCCCCCTCGTTGCCGTGGCATAAACTGCAAGTTTGCCACCTGCTGCGAAGCCAGCACTCCCATGCAAAGCCTTACTTGGGCACTCCAGGGATAATCCTTGCAATTTACGTACTAGGTACGTGCAGGGTCAGGCAGCTTTCTGGCGGGGTCTCATCCCGCCCACCAGGAAGAGAATATATATACACATAATGCCTGGTTGGAATACCCTGAAGTTGCAAGGAACGCTCTGTCCCATATGATAGTCAGTCATAAGTTCATTTTCAAAGCCTTAGCCCGCACACTCACAAACAGGATTGCAACATGTCTGCGATTAGGACCCGGTCGGATCGCCAGAAAAAGTATCTTCAGGATGTCATCGCAGGAAAGCACTCAGTCCAGAATGTGAACGACTTCAAGGGATTTGTCGAGGCAATTTTAGCCCAAAATGACCACTCTGTTGCTGTTGAACGTCTCATGGCCAGCCCCGGCGCGTTGACTGCCCTTCACAAGGGACTGCGATTTAACACAACGTCTGACTTCATTAACCAGTACAAGGCCAAGTTATTACAATACTTGAGCGATCCGGGAATCAAAACCCTCTGTAACGGGCAATTTCTCGAGCGACTCCTCGTCATTTTTCTTTAGCCGCGTACTCTTTGGAATGCCTGGATGGGAGCGTTCGCATCCCGAACGCTGGACGACGATGCAATCTATGAATTGGCATGGATGATGACGGAATGACTCTCTTTACTGAGCTCTTGTGGAGTGGATGTTACTGCAGACGCGCAGACGATGGTGAACGATGGGTCACTGTTTCGCTCTCCTTCATTCGAGCTGCGTGGACTCGGCCACAAGCTGAACCATTTCCTGCAAATGAAGTGTTCTGGGAACACAATCGACCCGTCCGCGTTCACAGCGGGCGGCCGTCATGATAACGATTTCTTTGATTTCCGAAAAATTGCCATTCTTCCAACTTCCGATGAGTTTAGCTGCACGGAAAGACCATTCCCTCGTCGAGCCGATGATGTTGCGGAACTCTAAGGTCACCAGCGAGTCACCGCTTTCCGTGATAATCAATTTCGGCTTTTGAGAGAGGACATGCTTTCCGAACTAAATATATATATGATATATATATGGAGGATGTCCAGATTGCAAATGGGAGGAAAAAGGGGCGAAAATCGACGTTCCGCCTGAGGAATCTTTCTGTTGCCCGGCTCTCCTACGGCAGAAACGATGGCATGCGACTTCACGCATGCTGCCTGGGAGTGAGCTGAAAGTCTGGTCTCGAGAACATCGGCAAACTTTTTAAGGAGAAACGCATATCGTATGTGAAGCAAAACCGAAATTTTGTGAAGCACCAAGCCTTTGGGTGCTTGACCCGGGGAGCCGAAATTGTGGCCTTCGTTACCATAGAAAGGGATGAAGATGCTCTTGTTGCTGAGCCACCGATAATTATGCTCCGGATTGCTGGAGATGAAGCATTTAAAAAACGCTATTATATCTCAAGTTATACAGCGACGTACATTTCATTCTTGTGGAGACGCCCATGTTCGCCTACGAACCCATTCTGAAGTGCCTTCAAGAGACAGTGGACATTCCCTTGACGGAGGAATTATTTCTGCACCAAAAAGGCCAGTCCGTGAGAGAGTCAGACATTGTCCCTCTGAATGTGACCAACGCAACCAAGGAGCAGGGCGTTGGTGATATCCAAAGCATTTTGGGAACGTCAAAGCCGGTGAGACTGGATCCATCACAGCTCGAGTCACTGCTTGCGGGTTTGATTCAAAGAGTCAGCCTTATACAAGGTCCTCCAGGTATGTGGATGGGAAGTCACCTTGTTCTACCCAGATTGAATAACGCCGTTGCTTACAGGTACTGGGAAATCATTCATCGGCGGCCTCCTGACCAAGGTCCTTCACGACCATACGAACGAGAAGATACTTGTCATGTATCATACAAATCATGCTCTAGATTAGTTTTTGGAGGACCTTTTGGACATTGGTATTAATCCTTCAGGCATAGTTAGGATCGGCTCCAAGTCAACAGCGTGAACACAGCCGCTCAGTTTATTTGAACAGCGATCATCGTACAAGAGGTCACAAGAATCGTGGAACATACTAAACAAACTGAAAAGCGATGCACATTCTGCCAAGGACGCGTTGAATACTGCATTTTCAGGCTACCGAAACCTTGTTTGCACCTCACATATTGTCATGGACTATCTGGAATTTGAGGAACCGGATATTTATGACACCCTTGCGCTGCCAGAGGAAGAGATTGGCATGACGACATTCGGTAGTGGAGGCCACGCAATTGGAAAAGATTATCTATACGCGCGCTGGGTCAAGGGTATGGATGCCGGGGTGTTCGCGAATTGCCTCCCTGACGCCAGCCACAGTGTTTGGGAGATGAGCAAGAACGTGAGAAATGAGAAACGTCGCGCCTGGGAACATGCAATACTGGACGAACAGATCTCGACTGTGAAAAACCATGCCGCACAGTTCAACCAATATTGCAGCCGATTAGAGAACCTTTTTGGCGACAAGACCAGGGATATTCTACGATCCAAATGCATTATCGACTGCACAACTACAGCCGCCGCTAAATATTCAAAGGACATTCGCAACGTCTCTCCAGGAATCGTCCTTCTTGAGGAAGCAGGCGAAAATCCTCAATTCACATGTCCTCGCGGCATTGGCCCCAAAGACGAAGCAGTTGGTGCTGATCGGGGATCATCTGCAGCTACGGCCCAAGATAAACGAGTACGCATTAATTATCGAGAAAGGCGATGGGTACAATCTGAATGTTTCCCTCTTTGAGAGGCTGATCCATGTCGGGTATCCGCATGCAACATTACTAAAGCAGCACAGAATGTGTCCGGAAATCTCAGCGCTTGTTCAACGTCTCACGTATCCCAATTTGGAAAACGATCGAAAGACCATGAATTGTCCCCGGCCGCGAGGATTGCAGGATCGCGTAATCTTCTTCCAGCATGAACACCCTGAACTCAGCTTCACGGAAGTAACCGATAAACGGGATGAAGGATCCAAACAAAGCAAGAAGAATATTTTTGAAGCAGAGATTGTTTTGCAGATTGTCAAGTACCTCGGCCAACAGGGTTATGGAACCGACAAGCTGGTTGTCTTGACCCCTTACCTGGGACAGCTGCATCTTCTGCGAGAGACTTTAAGTAAACAAAATGACCCAGTACGGAACGACCTTAATTCATACGAGCTAGTCAAGGCGGGCTTTCTCTCTCAAGCGGGTGCCAACCATTCAAAGCGGCGGATTAAGCTGTCGACGATAGGTAAGATGCAGGCGTGATTTTCGAGGTTGTCTTTCTAATCAAGGCAATAGATAATTATCAAGGTGAAGAATGTGAGATTGTCATCGCGTCTCTAACGCGAAGTAATAAAAACGGAGACATTGGTTTTATGGCGGCTTCTCAACGTTTGAATGTCCTGTTGTCACGGGCACGGAACGTTTTGATAATTGTTGGAAACGCGAACACATTTGTCTCAAGTCGGAAGGGAGAAAGTCCTTGGAGGCCGTTTATGGATCACCTAAAATCCAACGGCCATCTCTATGAGGGATTACCCGTTAAGTGTGAACAACATCCTCAGAAGACCGCAATTTTAAAAACAATGGGCGATTTTGAAAGTGAATGCCCTGATGGTGGCTGCCCTGCACCATGGTACCTTCCCCACGAGATGATTACTTGGTATTTGGAGATATTCCTACTTTTATCGCTGAGTTCATACTTTAGTAGTGTCAAGCTGCGGTGTGGGATCCACGAATGTCCATCTAGGTGCCATCAGCTGGTCGACCATTTCAAGATGACATGTACCAGGATCATTGAGTGGACCTGTTCGCGTGGACATCGCAGTTCCCAGGCTTGTGCGCAGATCAAAGGAGCCTGCCGGTTTTGTAATGAGGAGATCGGGCAAAAGAACGCAAGCGACAACGGAACCTCAAGCTTGAAGCAGAGAGAGAGAGAGAAGGCAAAAGGAATACACCGTCAACTTGCCGAAGCCCAAGATGAAATCGCACATTTGAAGCGTCTGCAACGGGATCGATCTGAATAGGAGTCCTTCGTGAGCATTGGGATGAGGTACATCATCTCAAGAACAATCCAAAGAGGCAAGACCCAGCTATATTCAGACAGCTTTCACCACCAAGGCACCAAAAGCCATCAGTGACACAACCACCAAGCCAATTGCCGATGAACAGGTCCCTCAAGGCAGCGGTGGAGTTAAATGTCGCCAGAACAAGTCTGCGACGACACCATCAGCTGCTAAGGATGATTGGGAGTACCAGAAAAAGCTCCTTGATGCTCAAAGTCGGGAAATTGACACGTTGATGGAGCTGATCGGACTTGAATCCATCAAGGAAAAGTTTTTAACTCTCAAGGCCAAGGTCGATGTATGTTTTAGGCAGGGAGTTGATTTGCAAACCGAAAGATTCGGGTCTGTCTTGCTCGGAAACCCAGGTACAGGAAAGACAACGGTGGCGCGACTTTATGCTCGCTTCCTGGCCTCCGTAGGAATTATCCCAGGGGATACATTCATTGAGACAACCGGTTCGAAGCTGGCAAACGATGGTGTGTCAGGGTGCCAGAAGACCCTCGAAAAGATTCTGAGCACCGGTGGAGGCGCATTGTTTATTGACGAGGCATATCAACTTGCGCATGGAAGCAGCTTCGGAGGAACACAGGTCCTAGATTTCCTCCTGGCAGAGGATGAGAATCTCACAGGGAAGATTGTGTTCATTCTTGCCGGATACCAGCACGCCGATGGAGAAATTTTTCTCCCATAATCCGGGGTTTCCAAGTCGCTTTCCTCATGAACTCAAGTTCAATGACTATGACGATAACGAATTGTTGAAAATTTTTGATTACAGTATCAAGAAGCACTATAAAAATCAAATGAAAGTTGAGGATGGGCCGAGCGGACTGTACAGTCGCATTGTCGCACGTCGTGTTGGATGAGGCCGTGGCCGCGAGGGGTTTGCTAATGCAAGGGCGATTGAGAATATCGGGGCCAGAATTGCAGAGCGACAGTCCGAGAGGCTCAAACGGGAAAGGCCAAACCGGGTCGGTCAATCAGATGACTTTTTGTTGACGGAGGATCTCATAGGGCCGGAGTCATCTCAGGCGCTGGAGAGTTCGTCTGCGTGGCAATAAGTGAAGAGCATGATTGGTTTGGGATCAGTGAAGACGACTGTCCAGTCATTGCTGGACAGTATCCAGTATAACCACCAACGTGAATTGCAAGAACTGCCACCGGTCGAGTTTACCCTGGCCAGGGTCTTCCTGGGGTCACCTGGGACTGGTATAACAACAGTTGCGAAACTTTGCGGTCAAATATTGGTCGATATTGGGATTTTATCTAACGGCGAAGGTATGTGAATAAGTCATATGTGGCATGGGGCTGCATTCGCCATCTCTGACAAGCTCGCTAGTGGTAGTAAAGAATCCGTCAGATTTTGTTGGCAGCGTGATTGGCGAGTCTGAGAAGAACACGAAAGGCATACTTGCGTCTACTTTAGGCAAAGTTTTGGTTATCGATGAGGCCTACGGCCTCTTTGCAGGGGGCACTTCGGACGGCACTAGTGCGAAAAGCGATCCATACCGGAGTTCCGTGGTGGACACTATCGTGGCGGAGGTGCAGAGCACAGCCGGTGAAGATCAATGTGTTCTGCTTTTGGGTTACCGGGAACCGATGCAGCAGATGTTTCAGAACGTCAATCCAGGCCTCAGTCGACGGTTCCCGCTAGATCAGGCGTTGGAATTTCAAGGTTTTGCCAAGGGGGAATTGGATCAGATCCTTACCATGAAGCTGAAAGAGCAACGGTTCAATGTCACCGAACGTGGTCGAAGGGTAGCCTTGGATATGTTAGAACGAGCAAGAAACCGGCCTATTTTCGGAAATGCAGGGGAGGTCAACATTCTGCTCAACTCAGCGAAAATGCAGCTTCAGAAACGGATCTCTTGTGCGCGTCATGCGGCGGGTTCGTTGCCGTCTACTTTGGACGCTGAAGACTTTGACGAAGACTTCGACCGTAGTGAGAGAGATGACAGAAATGTGGCAAGGCTATTTGAGGGTGTGATAGGATGTGACGAGATTATTGCGAAGTTAGAGGGCTACAGACAAATTGTTAGGAAGATGAGACAGTTGGAATGTGATCCCCGCAATGAAGTGCCCTTTAACTTTCTTTTCCGTGGACCTCCAGGTAAGGATCTAATTGGGTCACGCGTTGTTCAAAAGAGGATTCTGATACTGTTTTCGAACAGGCACAGGGAAAACGAGTACAGCAAGAAAACTGGGGCAAATATACTATGATATGGGCTTGCTGGCTTCGGCAGATATCATTGAGATTTCAACTACAGATCTGGTTGGACAATACGAAGGGCAGACTGGTCCGAAGACGCAACAAACACTTGAACGTGCGCTTAGTAAAGTTTTGTTCGTTGACGAGGCATATCGCCCTGCCGACGGAAAGTTTGCGCAACAAGCCATGGACCAGATTGTGGACCGCATTACCAAACCCCAATCCGCGCAAAGACTGATCATCATTCTCGCTGGTTACAATGCAGACATCAACCACTTGATGACTATTAATCCAGGACTTGCAAGCCGCTTCCCGGATTCATTTCAGTTCAACTCCTTATCTGCTCCTGATTGCATCACTCTCCTCACATCTTTGCTCCAGCAGCAGAAAAAAAGATACGCAAGATAAGTCCAATGTGGATTTTGACCTTGGCGTCCTTGAACAACCACGAGACGATTTCCATGGAGAGATGAGTCGGCATTTCAATCGCCTCTCGAGAATAGCCACCTGGGCAAATGCGCGTGACGTCGATATCCTTGCCAAGGACATTTTCAGAAAGGTTCTCCAGAACACCAATCGGAATGGCCTTGTTTTTACAGAACCGATCGTACTCCAATGTTTGGATCAGATGGTGACCGAGCGCTTGAAGAGAGAACAATGTCAGCGCACGCAATATTTACCGTCCCGGGATAAGGCTGAGGTAACACCTCCCAGTCTGTCTATTAGAGTTAAGAGCAATAGCTCCTCCAACACGAACATGGCAATGAGCAACACATCTGATGCTACAACTCGTTCACCTCCCGGCCACCGGCCTACAGATATTGATTCACGAGATACTGACGTCACGGATGAAGTGTGGAGCCAACTCCAGCAGGACATGGTCACTGCTGAAGCTCGAGACAAGGAATATCTGATTTTGAAAGAGACCGAGGAGACCAAAGCAAAGGCTCTCCGGAAAGCAAGGGAAGAAGAGGACCTTGTGGTTCGGGAAGTGGAAGAAGCAAGGCAAAGTGGGCATGAGGAAACTAGGGCCCGTCATGAACAAGCCCGCGTGCAACGCGAGCTAGAACGAAGGGCACAGGAAGAGGAACTAGAAAAAATCCGCAAACAGAGAGAGCAAATGGAACAAAATCGCCGCTGAGAGCAGCAAGCACAGGCAAGATTGCGGAAAATGGGAGTCTGTGTCATGGGCTACCGCTGGATAAAACAAACTGGCGGTTACCGTTGTGCTGGAGGTCGCCACTGGGTCTCAGATACGCAGCTTGGACGGGCCGCGGGCAAGCATAGGGCCGATAGGATCCGGTGGTCTGCTATGGAGACTGCTTGCAGACTTGCTTGAGATTCGATCAATGTATCTCCTGTATATCTCTCGACCACCATGGCTCAAGAATAAAGTACTATGCCAAGCACAGGCAGCGTAGTAAAACAAAAAAGCACTAGGCAGACGGCCATCCAGGATAATAAGCAAAATGAGAGCAATTCAAGAACTACTAGAACGAGCGGACTTCATTCAGTAGGCACTTCGCACTTAGTGAGAGAGTAGACGACAAAGTAATACTTAGAATATGTTCGGTCTAAGACTGGGAAATTGTTTTAGGCACCACATGCCTAGAGAGGCTATATTCCCGATTCTAAGAGCTGAAGTTGGAGTCGATAGCAACGGAGCCGCCTTTTACAGGTTAAGGTAAAAAAGGGGCACCTACCGGGAGCCAAATAGAAAGAGAAAGTGATTAGGAACTTTACCATTACTTCCTAGAATATGCGGGCTTTGTTTTACTACGCTGCCTGTGCTTGGCATAGTGCTTTATTCTTGTGACCCACTGCTTTGCCTCCGATGTTTTTTTGTCCTCTGCTTGGTGCTATCGTGGTTAGAGTGCCTCATGGCCTCTAGTACTGCGCCCCATTATGATTATTTAGTAGCGAAAATGTCTTCCTTAAGTTTTAGCCCAAATGCTCGTCTCCTGCTTACCATAATGCTTTCGCCATGGAAAATGGCGACGAAAATGACGACCCTTCAAGAACCTGTCTGGTAACAGAGCTCGTGGATTGGAATGGACAAAGGGCGGTCATAATAGATCACTGAAACTCTTCGGAATGGTCATAGCCGAACAACATCTGAGGTCGATCCTTCCACAACCGCTAAGCGATATCAAGTTGAATAGAACAACGGCATAGAGGAATCAATAATTGAATTATGGCGCAGAGTCCGGTGTGAAATCGAGTGCATTAGCGCGAGGCTGAAATCCCGTGCATTAGCGCGAGGCTGTGTCGATGTCTCCCATTAGAAAGCTGGAGACGCATGCTCAGCTCCGGGGCTGAGTTGAACGTGACTGAAACTTTGCGTGCCAATTTGGATACAACCGACGTTGACGGCTAATATAATACCACCTCACTTATCCGGCTTCTCATCTGCCCTTGCCTTCTCTTACGTCGTAAAAAACTCAACCAAATCAGAGCAGAAAGCAAGGTTTCAAACAAAAAATGGAAAGTGATGGACAGAAAATGAAATGGAATCGAGAATCTCTCAAGCGAAGCAGTGCGCTCTCCTTTCCTTCACTAACACAAATAGAGCGTAAAATCCTACCCGATGCGCAAGCTATACTGACAAATTTTTTTTGACGACCAGGAGTGGAGTTCGAAGACGATGAGTCAGCAGACGATGACTCTGAATATAATGAATCAGATGATTCCGAGGAAGAAGAATGGTGGAAGGAAGATGAGAGCGAAGACCTGGATCGCGAACGGGATATTGAAGAGCACGAGTATACCACGTCCGGCGACACGGCACGAACGGTGAATATTCGACTCTTTTTGACTGATGAGGGAATGAACGAGTCTAGGTGGATAACAAATTTTGTCGCCCAATGCACTTGTGACGGCGTTGTTGTCGCCACCGCTCTGGCTCGGTATATTCATCGAAAGGGCATACGCTCCGAATTCTGGAAAAAGATGGAAGTGCTTAGCGAGGAAACATGCAATGTGGCTTTCCATGTCTTTGATCGATATGGAACAGTCAAGGCCAAGTATAAGGACCATCCAGTACAAAGAGGAACTAGCGCATGGGGAAACGAGCTTGACCACGGCCCTGTTTTCCTGATCGAAAAACTCCACGTTAAAGAACTGAATCTGCGTCGGAAAGGGCTCGGGCAGAAAATAGTGTCTTTACTTTTGAACAAAGCCCGGCTGTTCTGCTTAGACGCCAAGCCAGATGGCAAACATTCCGATCTTTTCTACGGTTCCACCAAGGCCTTTGAGCTAGCATGGACTCTGCATGCTCTAGTTAGTCCCGGTGTACTGACGGATGATATTAAATCACGGTTAGTGGGCAAGTCTGCAGAAGAACGCTTGAGGATACGCATTCGAATTCAATCTGGTGCTATCGACTTCTGGCGATCGTGTGGTTTTCGCCGAATTGGAGCATCTCGGTGTTTCGCATTTTCTTTCGATCCCCAGCATCCGTCTCGCGCCATTGCGGCGGCTTCTGATTTCGAGCCCCGTAGAAGCCATGCTGAAGATCTTGAGAACGAGGAACTCGAAGTTATCTATGAAGCAGATCGATTTACTGAGGTAACGAAAATGAAATTGGAAAGACTTCGGGACACGTTGCCGCTGCATTATGCAGCCCTTGCTCTGACAGATGACGAGCTCAGAAATCATTTCGCCGCTCATGCGGACGACAAGATTGGCTGGGACCGGATAACGAACTCTGAAGCCACGCTTCTGCACATAACGGCTTGCAAGCTTAAGCCCCTGAGTACACAGTGGCTACTTGAGAATGTTCACTACGCCGACCGCTGGAAGACGGCCCGTGATATTGAAGGGTACACCCCGCTCGAAGCGTTACAGGAGACTTTAGAGACAATGCGAACGCAACAGCAATACGGTCTTTTCAGGGTCTTGGATCTATCCGACCATTTTGAAGGTTACCCTGATGCCGCAGTGTCCTGTCTCTCCTTGCTATTTGGGCAAGGGGCTTCGGGGTTTAATAGAGAATGCCTCCGCTACGGATGTACATGCGGAGGGTGTGTTGGAGGATTTCTATCCGCCCGAATGAGGTCCTCTTTGATCTTTCAGGGCGAGACTACGTTCGACATTATGCCGAATGAGATTGATGATGGCGGCTTCTGGATAGAGGTCAACGAATTCAAGCTCGAGCATCTCGATCTCGAGATGCGAAAGAACCTCAAAACCAACAAGTCTCTACGAAGAGGCTTTGTGAATATTTTCCAAATTGCCGCGGAGTGCCTTAAGGCGCGAAAAGTTCCCACAGCGGAGAATCTCAAGTGGTTCTGTAACAACCGGAGCGAGTGGCCACCTGATACCAAGAACTACTTGCAGCGCGCTGGTACACAGATGGGCTTTCGGGCCGTGCTTCGTTGCATGTTCGACGCCGCTAAGGAAGAGGATGAGAAAGCAGGTAACGGGGAGTGTCAACTCATATTGAGGGAGGAATGGTCACGCCTACCAACTTGCAGAAACGATCATGAGTTTGAAGTAGTTGCCAGGGCTTGTGGGTACAGCGGGGATGATTTCATTTCGTTGCCGTGCTGGTAGACGGAATTATATACTTGTCTGGGCTCGCCGCGTCATTCAGGAGATCAGCTTGGTTGGTAGGACAACAGGGACGCAAGAACGTAGGTGGACAACGCGGTTGGAAGAGCTATTCTTGTTTTAAGCTTGCGACACAATCACTCAGTTTGGCCGAAAGATTGGTCCAAGACAGGGAAAGCAAGTGCGTAACAAAGTAAAAAGTCCCCTTTCGTGGCCTATTAAGAGTTTCTTAGTAAGGTCCACAAGATAATCCCAGCTATGAATTTCTTGTTAGAGATATGCATATCTGCGCGTGGAACCTGTCTCTGGGTTTATTGGTCTGCTTATCTCTATTACTACGCCACGATTCTCAGAAGAAGATCAGTAGTGACCGCCACGAAGCCGGCCAGCGCCTCGAATTATTGGCTATATTACGTAAGTAGCTCCTGAACCTGAGAACATTACCCATGTAGGCCATCACCGGCCCGTAGGCTCCCACTTCCCGGTGAAGTAATGATCTAGTGTACAAAACATTAGGGTTTACTTTTAACAGAAAAGGCGTTGAGCACCAAAAGACAAAGTAGCACATACGATGAGCGGTGCTTTCGTTCCTGGGACTCTTCAGCTTCGTGGAGGAAGTAAGGGCTTATAAGCCCATTGGGGGAATACCGTCTCAGCGCGTCTATCTGCCCGACCGTGCGGGGTTCGCGTTATGGTGGGTTAAACAACAAGCTTATTGGAGAGATTACCCAGCCGAGCGTGCCATCCTGGTCACGTCCCCCACGGATGGTGGCTTGTACGAATTGATCCACCTTCCGAGGGATGCTACCGGTGCTGTGGAGCCTACCGATGTCAAGCGTGGTCAGGGAACATCTGCTGTCTTTATTGCGCGCAACCGCTTCGCCGTCTTCAGCCAAGGCAACCAACACTATCTACACCGTTCACCCCCTCCTGTCTCGGCTTATCTCTACCGAGTGGGCATGGGAGAGAGAAGACGGAGAACAGAAGAAGAAAAGGCAAAGGGGAGAGGGATGCATGCCTGTGCCTGGGATGGACTATACTCCGTACTGTTACTCGAGTGAAGCGCGTTGCGTACCTGCTTGGCCCTTGCCCATTCAACCCACCCAGCAGCACTTGCCTTGATGGTCGTGCGAACCTGCGACGGTATTGAGGGGGTCTTCCTGCCATGGCCGCGGTCCCGTCCGACTCGACAGCGAGCGGGCTCAGCCCTTCCTCCGCTAACACGCAACTTGGGCCCCCGCCGGCTACATGAGGTCCATCGCCATCACCGACCTGCAGAGCGAGCTGCTGAGCGCACCCCACTCAGGTCAGCCAACTGATATGGGCAAACTTCCGCACGCTGGCGCAGAGCGCGATGATCACGGCTGGACCTTATGTTCCGCGGGCGCGATGCCACCAAATTAGAGTCTCCTACCTCCCACGATACGTCACGCGAAAGTGGTATTATTATAAAGATACTGATTGGGGTTTACTTCCGCATCTAGCCTTGAATAACCGGTGCTATTAACAGTTATCCTCACTCTAATCCACAAGGGTTGGTCTGATGGACCTTCATCAGACCTAGGATGGGGCCCGGTAGGCATTCTGATT